ATTCCTCCTGATCAAAAACTAGTTTTCTTTTATGCTTGAAATGTCTGATTTTCCAGAGCATTCTGGTCACAAGCAGTAAGTAAGGCAGTTTATACAGTATTCACAAATGTACTCTGTGATGATTGCCTGTGCTAACCTGGATATATATCAAATCACATCTTTATTACAACCAGAGACCAGCATAAACCTGGACACATAAGCAGAGGAAAATCAGGAGGCGGTTTAGTAGCGCCTTTTCCAACCAACCAGTTTTAGTAAAAAGGCATTTGGTTTTGATGAGTTACAGCTTGCTCCATCAGATGCTTGAAATGGCTGAATTGATATAGGATTCAAATTGGGATTTATAAACCAGATTATTTTGTCGTTCCAAAACAGCTTTTTAAAAATCCGTAATGGGAGTGCCTTGGCAAGATTAGCGTGCTCTGATATTTCTCTCTGCCCGGATTGTTTTGAGACTTGAGCTAAAAAAAAAAATTAAACTCCATTTATTCTTTGCAGGCTTCCCGAATAATGTGGTGTTTATGTGTCCGTTGTGCAGTGTTATCATGACATTGAGGAAATTGACTCGTGCTATGGATAGGAAGGCTAAAATTGATGGTGGGTGAAGTGATTGAGGTCTTGATGGAATCTGATGATTCTTCTCCCATGGATCTCATTGATGAGAGTGTCACCAATGAATCCCAATTAAACGAAGGATTTCCAGATTTAAGAATTGAAAAAGCATTGTTGAAAAACCAGCTACGAAGATACCGGCATCCCGTGAAATCATGCGTGTGCCCTTATTTACAGATAAACCCAACCTCCTTGGCACCAGGGTGAAAACCATAACGGACACACAAACAACAACGTTTTACAGAAAACCTACAGATCACCATGGAGACCATACGCACGCGCTTCCAAGATTCTGCCCAGAATGCATCACACCAAATCAATTTTCCATAGGTTTTTACTCTTATGCGTTTGCTCTGACCCATTTGACAAAGAGATGCTCAACTGATGGAATTAATCCAGGCAGTCAGGAGACTGAACAATCCGCCCAACAAGATCAATAGACTGATCAATAGAAGCAAATTGATTCCTAGGGAGAACCTATTAAAAAAAAAACCAGAACAACAGAACACTCTTGGCTGTTATCTACATCTTACAGCTCGAGCCACTCAAAGGCGTTATTAATAAGTTTGCAAACCATGCTGGATATGGAAGCTGCATTTTCCTAGGCCCTGGGTGGCAGGACTATATTTGCATACCGAGCCCAACCTGAAATGAGATTCTCATAAACAACCCCAGAAGAATGAATGATGCTACTAACATGGGAAACAACTTTGGGTTAGCTAAATGAAGGGGTCTATTTAATTCTCATCTTTACCAGCAGCACCATCACAGACCTCTGAAGACTAGGTAAAGGTTCCCCTTGCACATATGTGCTAGTCGTTCCCGACTCTGGGGGGTGTTGCTCGTATCCATTTCAAAGCCAAACAGCCAGAGCTGTCCGAAGACGTCTCCGTAGTCATGTGGCTGGCATGACTCAATGCCAAAGGTGCATGGAATGCTGTTACCTTCCCACCAAAGGTGGTCCCTATTTTTCCACTTGCATTTTTTATGTGCTTTCGAACTGCTAGGTTGGCAGAAGCTGGGACAAGGAACGGGAGCTCACCCCATTACGCGGCACTCAGGATTCAAACCGCTGAACTGTTGACCTTTCGATCAACAAGCTCAGCATCTTAGCCACTGAACTAAGTTGGGTTTTTTTCCCCCATATTTCTCCCTCCAATGAGATTCACATCATCATCTGCCAGCCATGGCTCTCTGAATTCTACCTGGAACTAATGTGTGCAGAGCAATCGATGGATAGAGGTTTGACATCAGGACTCGAAACAAAGGCAAAAGAACACCAGTGTTCGACCCTTCGGAGACTCCATTAGAGATTACACAGTAAAGACTTCCAACAGTTCGTTTAGTGACCATCTGAAATTACAGCGGGACTGAAAAAAACGTGACTTTTCACACCTACGACCGTTTGCAGCATCCCCATGGTCACGTGATTTACATTTGGATGCTTGACAACTGGCTCATTTTTATGACGATGATAGTGTCCCGGGGATCACGTGATCCCCTTTTACGACCTTCTGACGAGCAAAGTCAATGGTGGAAGCCAGTTTGATTTAACCACCGTGTTACTCACTTAACAAACGTGGCGAGGAAAGTCGTAAAACGGGGCAAAACTCCCTTAACCAATGTCTCACTTAGAGACGTCCATTCTTGGCTCCATTGTGGTCCTAGGTCGAAGACTACCCGTATGAGCTGGTTTGGGAGAAAGACATTTGAGGAGCCCAACTGAGCAAGCGGTTGCTGAAGGTAAAAAGATTACAGGCTGTCTCAGGAGGATTTGACAAACACAATGGGTTTCCCACCCATTACGATGGTTAAATACTTGTGATCTCCTAGGTAATCTGCACAATCACCCTGTCACTTCCCCTTCTATCCGACCCGTCCCACTTTAGATCAGGTTTCAGTTACTGCATCAGATGAAATGAGATGCCGCTTGCAAAAGCTTAATCAAATGTGCTAATCTGAAAGGGGCAACCAGACTCAATTTTTAAGACTCTCACGGACTGTCACACGTTTCCCCCCTATAACAGGGGTGTCAAACTAAAGACCTTGGGGCTGGACCTGACCCGCGGGGTGCTTAGATCTGACCCATAGGGCCACCCGGGAAACAGCAAAGGACCAGCCGCGACAGCCTCCTGCTGCCCTCTGCCGGTGAAAACGGAGCTCTGCTTTCACTGGCGGAGGGCAGCAGGAGGCCGTCGGGGCCAAAAACGGGGCCTAGGAGGGCCACCTCCCAAGCTCTGTTTTCGCTGGCAGAGGGACTATGGGCCAGTCCTTCGCTGTTTCCAGGGTGGCACCGTAGGTCAGATCTAACCACCCTGTGGGCCGGATCAGTTTTCGCTGGCAGAGGGCTGCAGGAGGCCGTCATAGCCAAAAACGGAAACCGGGAGTCTGTTTTCGCTGGCAGAGCGCTCGGGCTACCACAGGTGCCCCCAACACGAGTGACGTCAAGCTAGCCACGCCCACTCCGGCCCCCAAGGTCAAACACAACCCTGATGCGGCCCTCAATGAAAATGAGTTTGACATCCCTGCCCTGTAATATAAGATGGGGAAATATCACGCAGGAACCAAAAACATAGACCGAAGCACAGGCATTGGATTAAACATCTTCCAGACTTATTGGGCTCAACCGAAACAAAAACATCTCTGACACCAGAAGAACCCTTGAATTCTTACTTGAAGAAGAATTCAAAGTAAAAAGTAAATTTTTAAGTAAAAAACTTAAAAAGTTCTGCACACAGCAAAGCCACTGAAAGCTATTCACGTGTCAATCATTAACTTCAGGTCAGGCTGAAACTGAGACAAAGGCCCAGCAGGTTATCTGCTACCACCACCAAAAAGGGGGAAAAAATGACCCCAAAGCATTCCTTTCTGCCATTTTGGTCTTCTGCATTTGATCGCAGAATTCAGCAGAAATATTTGTACAACCCACGCCCCCTTCCAGAAAAATTCCCCAGAATTTCCCCAGAAAAATTCCCCAGAATTTCCCTCAAGGAAATTCACCGGGATACCAAAATTACTTGCTTCTTGGGACAGAATTGGCAATTTTAATTTTTGGATAACTTTTCAGGGCAGATACGCTATCACTGAATGTCTGTTGGCATGCAATGGGCCCTTTGTTGAGCCAGTTCTTTGTGTACCCTAGATCTGTGGACTAGACATTTTTAAAAATAACAACAAAACTGCAACAAAACTTCCGAGCGTACGCTCAAAACAAAAGGCTTCTCATCGTTAGAACAAGGGTTTTGGTCTATTCATCTCAAAGCCCCTTCCTCATTTCATCCCCTTTCCAACTTTTACTCTGCATCAGCAGTGGAAATGATTAAATTAGGCTTCTGCTAAGCAGCCGCCAAGTCAAAACCCTCCATCAACGCAATGCACACCAGCCAGAGAGACATCAGTGGTGCAGATTTTCCTTTGGCTTGGTTTATGAAGAAATGAAGAGAGGAGGGGAGGGCAGGGGAGGGGAGGAGAGGAGAAACTTACGATGTACTTAGGGGAGTTAAGTCACCGGAAAACAAATATGGCTGCTGTTACCACTGGATGCAATTCTCAACAAACTGGATAAAGAAAGCGCATAGCTCTGCACTCTTGGCGTTTATAAAGAAAAGTCAAAAGCACAAAAGACGATACGGGGAATGCCAGAGAAACCAGATAGCAAACTGTTTATTCTTGCCTTGCTGGTTCTTTGTCCACATTTATATGCCTTATCCGAGGTCTTTTAATTCATCTTCGCATGCTCCTCCTTGGGCATCACCTTCAACCAGACTTTTGAAAGGTAGCAAGGAAAAACATGCATCTTTATTTGTGGGATGTCCCCCCCCTTCCCCCGTTATTTCAGAATGCTGCAACTCTACTAATAAATAAGCCCATCAAGGAGTTTCATCCTGATTTTTCAAGCCAAGCCCTTTCTATCTTTTATTTATTTTTTATTAAATTTCTAACCGCCCATCTTACCTAAAAGACTCTCACAAGTAATCTTGTTCGTTTGTTTTTAATCCCGTTTTTTTTATTTTTTGGGGTGCAAGTCTCACCGAGTGTAAAAAATGTTCCCCAATGAACATGGAACTAGCGTTCAGGCTGGCATAATAAAACCAAATGATGAATCAACACAGGAAGCCTGTAATTCTATTCTAGTCTGATAATATTAGAAATTACCCCCAAAGCAGAAGAGGATAAAGTTACACAGCCTGTCCCTCTACACACACACACACACACACACACACACACACACACACACACACTGTACCACCCAGAAGCTTCAGGCAGAACTCTGCCTCAAAGTCGAGCTTCAAAGGTCAAAATCCACTCGCAAAAGACAAAAATCCTCACACGGTTTTCCTACCTAGGGACTATTAAAAAGCTCCCAGGCCCAACGGTTTAACACTTACCGGGATGTGCCATGTGGATGGTATTGTTGCCGTGCTTTGCGTAGTTATAGATGACCACGGCCGCCGCGCCCAGTCTGGCCGCCCGCTTAATCTTCTCCGTGAAGGTGCAGTTGCCTCTTGCGACGAGGGCAATCCAGGGCGACACCGCGGGGGCGAAATGCGTATCCCACGTGCAAGCTTGGAACTTGGAAGAATTGGAAAGCACCACCAGCCCACGAGCCTCCGTCACGGGAGAATGCACGCCGAACATGCCGCACTCGCACCTGTTGTTGGTCGAGGTTCGGTTGAAAGTGTTGAAGTAGACTAAACTCACGTTGGCTTTGATGGGGAGAGCCCGGACGGCGCTCAAGAGGCCGGCGAGGATCAGAAATCGTGCAGGGCTGGGTTTCCACCCGCCCTTCATCGCTCGGTGGCTTCAAAAATAAAATCCAAAAACGCGTCGAAAAGCATTCGATTGCCAAGAGCCTCCCGTTTCTCCTCTGCGTTTAATCTGAAATTACAATCCTTTGGCAGGTAAGCAACACCGCTCCTCCCTGGTCATTAGATCTTGCGTTGCGTCAGCTCAGTTCTCTCTTTGCTTATCTCAGAGGAATAAAACGACCTGATGCCGGAGCCACAGGGCAGGAACTCAGGCAGCTAATTTTCAACCCCACCACTCGCAACTCTTGTTGTTTCCACACAACTGCTTTTAAAGCAGGCATGCCGGCTGAAGGGCTCCGTGCAGGTTTTGAGCGCCCTTCCCTATGCACGTAGATACAGGTGAGACGGGCGGCCTTTAGGAAAAAGAGGAAGGTGCTTAGTCTGCAAGGTGTTATGTTCCCATCTAAATAAACACGAGGGAATTTGAGGGAAAATGGCCAATCATAATTATTCCGGTAGAATTCATCTAAGTTTATTTATCTTCGAGTCTTGGTTGATTTCTAGTGACTGCCTGGACTAGTCCCTTGAAGTTTTGTTGGCAAGATTTTGGAAGTGGTTTGCCATGGCCTCCTTCCTAGAGCTGAGGTGGTCACCCAGCTGGCTTTGTGCCTAGAGCAGGACTAGAATTCCCAGTCTCCCATTTCTAGCCTGAGGGCGACTACACCTCCGATGTTATAGTCTTGCAAACGCTTTGGAGACACTTTAAATTAAGAAGCCAACAGATTCATCTACATTAAATAAGCCTTTTTTTAGGAAAAAAAAATCAAAACTTTGTTACTGTATAACGTCACTTTTATTTTAAAGCACTTTTTAAAACGAAACCTCGCTTCAAATGAATGTTATAAAAATACATACAGTTTGAACGTATCACACTGATTTTAGAAGGGTCTAGGGCTCACTACATTTTTTTTTTAAACCCGAGTTTGAACACTGAAATAACATGCTGGCTCTATCAATCTTTTGCAATTTAATTTTCTAATATTGGTCGTAACCATCAACATCTTTGGCAAATCCTGTTCCCGCCCACTACCCCTCCATATTGTGAAATAGTAGTAGGAATCAGAGGAACTATTTGAACTAAGACGCTTATATAAATGCATTTATTCCAACTGGAAGCAATGCATTAATACAACTTCTGGCACTATAGACAATTACATGCTTGATGCATTTTTATTCTTTCTTTCAGTACAACATTTTTTTCAGACATCATCATCTTAAAATCAATATATTTAAACAGAAGTGAACTGCAGGACATTATAATTGTTATAAAAAAATTAAAATCCTAGAAAAAAAGGGAAGATTTTGGTACCAAAAGGACCAAGTAGGGCATCTGTCAAACCTGACATTTCTTGAAAGAAAGAGGAGGCTGGAATTACTGGCATGGTTGTTGTTTCAGTCTGGGGAAGGAAAGACAGCAGCGAGAGAGGTTTTCGGGCATACCCAACAGTTTCTCTGTGGCCCTGCCAATAAAACAACTACAATATCAAAGCAATAGTGCAATACAATATACAAAAAAAAGGACCGCTCATTTCTTCCAAGTCACACTAAAAGGCACACTCACTTCTTCCATGGCTGAATGCAAATACACACATGTTCGACTTCCCTTTTCTGGGTGACTGGGTTGCAGCTGTACTATGCCCGCTCTCAAACCACGTGATCAGTTTTTACCCGTCTGCGCTGGACTGGTACTTCTGCACCCAAGGCAGTTCTACTTCATTTCCATTCCATAACAAAACCCAAAATTACGACTCCTGATTGGAGTGTTTTGCCCATGTCCCCCCACAGCTCATCATCTGCGGAAGAGGCCGCCACCGTATAATGATCAGCTGGCAATGTAATCATGATCCAGAGTTGACAAAGCAAATCTAAGGTGCTTGATTACGGCAGTGACACACTCCCCGCTGCAGCATTTGTGCAGGCTCCACAAACAAGTTCCAAAGATGAACTCTGTCCTGGTGGCTTGCCTTCATCCTTCATCCAAGCCTTCTGCAGGCTGTTGATGAAAGGCGATTTAATGAGGCAACTTTTGAGGGAGGAAAAACTTTTTTAGCTCACTGCCCGCAACAAGCTTTTCATAATCAGACCAAATTCAGTCACCCAGAAAGCAGAGATAAGCAGCAAAAGAGCCACAGTCTTCCTATGTACGGCCTTCAGTTATCACAGGGCAGGATCTGACTAACGGATGCATAGCTGGCTTATCTTTTGCTACTTTAAACTTAAACAAAGGTTAAGAAAGCAATATGTGTGCAGTACTTGTTGCCAAAAAACACCCTCATTTGAGAGGCAAGTATCTGTCAAAACACTTCTGTAACATTCAAGTATGAAAGAACCAGAAACTTTCCTTAACCACTGCTAAAATATCCAAATTGAGGATAGCATAGCAGGAGAAAAACATTCTCTTGCAAGTTTAATCCTCTTCTCAGTTTACAATACATTTATGTCAAACCATGGAACTATGTTTGGTTGACTACATCAACTTCTGTTATCTTATATATTTTCCTAAGAAAGACTTCGGTTTTCTCGTTATCCAGAGGACAAACATCCAGAATACAGATGACACGTTGGTTCTCCAGGGCAGCGGCTTTGAAATCATCTAGTATGCAAACAGATAATGGACATGTTACACATTTGGGGAAAGCAGTCCCCCATTCATCAGTTTACCTAGGATTAATTCCAGAATGGTTGTGAGCAAGAACAGGAAAGGAAAATAATCCCACCTCCAATAACGTGGCACGCCAATTACAACATAAGAGAAGAACCTTGCCTAATATGCAAAGCAATCGTAGCTCCAGGTTACTTTTCAAACCCTGCGATAGCAAGAGCGTCAGCCGTTTTGATTTTAAACAAAACCCGTAGATGACAAGAATTAAAAAGAGGGTAATGCCGTGATTTACAATTCTTGAAGTTAAACAGTGAGTCACGAAACGACCCACTCCACTACTGAAATCCACCGTTTTTATTTTAAAAGAGCATGGCAACTTCTTATCTTTTACAGAATTTAGAGGAGTTACTCTTGACAGTTTTTTTTTTTAATAGCTCCCTGTTTCCCAATATAAAAATCTATAGAAACAAACTGACTGGCCCCATAAACATCCCTTCCTTGATCTTCCATTATCTGGAAGATAGAAATTCTTAACATAGCAGAGAGAAATTTGGCATTGATAATTTGAAGACAATAATTTGCAAGCAACCCACACTCTTGAGTTATAAATTCAAAGCCACTGAAGGCAAACCACCTGCAATGAAAATATATTTGTTTAAACATGTGGTCGGCTGCTTTAAATTCTTTATAGCTGCCAGGATAAGTATTTTTAAAAACAGAAAAGAAAAAAAAAAAAAGAGGAAGGGGGAAGTTTCAAAAGTGTCATTACTGGATAATAGTGCTGCTTCCTCTTCAGAAGAAAATAGATCAGTCCATCTAGATTTAAATGATTTTTAAGGCTACAAGAGCACTAGTCAGCAAAACCCTCAATCTGGCCCTCAATAAAATTGCTTGGAAGACAGCTCTACAGTGGAGATTATTATGAATTGAGCTATCAGATTCCTAAGACTTCATTTGTAATTGCTTATTTTTAGACAAGTGACAACAGCCATGTACAAATCATTGTTATCTGGAAGATTCCTACCTGGAAGTGAAAGTAACTCAAAAAGTCCTCCTTGGTTAATGGTTTCCTGGCAAGGTGTAGTACCGTTTTTGTGAGAAGGTGCTGCATTTTGTGATGCCTCTTTGACTTGAAATAAGTAAGAGTCATTCAGGAGGGCAACCTCTACAGCTGTATCATGATTTACGCCTGTTCAAGAGATACGTTACTTTTGTTAATGCCAAAAAGCTGGGTTTATGAACTATAAAAACCGTCTTCAAGAATCTGAACAAAGCTTTAAATCCAAGAGTCAAGTCTCATGCTTCATTTCCCAAAGCTGCAGACAATTGCCTGTCCAGCCTTTCCTTGAAAGAATTTAGGAAAACACCTGCATTCCTACATGGTTTGTTGTTGGGTTCATTTTTCCAATGTTTAATTCAAAACCAATGTCATGACTCGCTTTAAGCAGATAGCCAGTTTCAAAATATGAGCATAACTCTATTAATAGAGACAATTCACCCATGGGGTTTTTTTCCCCCTTATCTGCCTTCCTTTCTGACTACTACAGTAGATTTTGAACTGTTTCTATCATTGTATTTCTAAACTGAACAACATATAGTTAATTGACCAGTGCTAAACTGGTAATATTCCCTGTTTTCCACATACAGTTTGGGGCAGATCAAGTATGGTGGCACAAATCCAGGAACGTTGTGTTTTGCTTTTAGCACCCTGAAAGTTTGGGTTTACTCTTGAAATTCCCTACTTTCAAGAATAATCTGCTTTACAATCTCTGTGGCCATATGGAAAAAGGTTCTTTGGGTAGACTAGTCTACCTCCCTTCCAGTTGCTCTAAAAAGAAAGAAAGAAAAAAAGTCCCATTCCTACACAGCAGCAAACATGAATCACGTGCCTTGTAGCACTTTGGGGCATTGTCTTTCTGGTTAAGACAAAGCTCCACAAAACATTCAATTTTCTAAGTGTGTCGACGTTAGTAGTTACTTACCGAGAATAGCCACTTGATAGTATTCAAGAGGACAGGCATTTTCAAAGTGACTCATTTCTCCGCTCGCCAGGCATTTTTCTGGCTGGAATTTGGCTGCTTGAAGATTGTATTGTTTCAACAGGACTTCTTTGTGAGCGTAATTAAATTTGCAAGGGAAGCTTTCTGGGAAAATCTTGCTGAAGTTCAAGTGCTGCGCTAAGTTCTCTTTTACGGAGGTCCAGAGAAGGCTTTCCCAGGAATTGTGACACATCCTTTGTCGATGAACTTTTTCAGATCCATCAGCTATTTCTTTGTTACCTGCTAATATAAAGATAGTAATCTGTAATCCAGATTTTAAATATTATTGAGCACCTCAGCTCCAAAAGGGCTGTTTGACCAGGAAAGGCATTCAAAACAGCAAGTCAGATGAGCTTGTTCAGCCTGTCTAAGGGGAGCTCCTGAAGACTTCTGAAGGTGATGTATATTCTAGAGCTGAGACAAGGATCCTGGCCGATAGAAAGGCAAACTATCCCTAATCTCTCCAGAGCTGTGAACTAAAAATCATCAGCTTTCACAAATGAAGGCAAATCTACTGTATTTTTCGGACTATAAGACACACTTTTTTGTCTCCCAAAAGGGGGTGAAAATGTCTGTGCGTCTTATAGACCGAATGTTGCTGAAGCCCCACCCACCCGCCTTTTTTTTTTTTGCCTCTGCACGCCCCATTTTCAGGCCTTTTTTGGGGGCCTGTTTTTCGGCTTTTTTTGGCCCGTTTTTGGCCCCTTCCATGCATGCGCCCGGCCTTCCACATATGTGCTTTACTGGTGCGCGCGCCTTCCATACATGCACCTGACCTGAAAAACGGGCCTAAATAGGATGGCATAGAACCGGAGCGGGTGGGCGGGCCCACCCATGATTTCCGCTACCGGTTCGGGTGAACCAGTCCGAACCGGCTGAATACCACCTCTGGTGACATGGGATTATCATCTGAAGTTGATCCCTGAAGGAGAGACCCTCAGTTGCACCAGTGGAAACAGCAAATTTTATACCAACTTTTTCATAACTTACTAGGAATTGAGATTTATTTTTTATTTTTTTGGGAAGCCCTTAAATTCTTTTGTGGCATGCAGGATTATGAATTCATTTATTTGATTGATATGACCACCCATTTTTCTATAATGGGCATAATATATAAGATGTTAGGTCATTTTAAATCACAGCTATACAACCTCCAAGGTCTGTCACCCAATTATTATTTGGTTTTTGCTTCTTCCTAAAGGGAAGTTATTATTAACTATATTTTTCACTAGATGAATTCAAAGTTGATTTTTGTTCTCACTCTACCCACTACTTTTTAAAAATGCACTCACAGGTGTTCTAAAATTTAACTGGAGCCGTCCGCTTGTAAAAAGTTGCTCACCCCAATCTAAGAATATTTGCCAATCCAATTCCGATACTGCTTGAGCGAGTAACCTTTCTAGCTTTGTAATAAATTCAATTTTTAGATTCTATGGCCACTGATATATAGAAGTTAATCCAAAGACTAAAAAGAGATAAGCAGAAATGATAATTATAATAAATATAACAAGAAGTACTAATGTAATAGATAAATGCAATACAAATTAACTTTTATTTTATGATATAGTCCTTCCATAAACAAGTTGCTTAATAGCTCCTGACAGAAATCTAGCCGCTAATAGGACAGGTCATTATTAAAGACTAAAGTACATTACTAGATATTTTTTATGACTAGGAAAACAATTTGATAGTTAATTGAATGATTGATATGTCATCTATTCTGCTTTATTTTTATACAGTCTCTCATTCATCTTTAATTTGTATAATAGAATTAACTCCAAATGGCAAAGGCCATGAGATTATGTGATCCAAAATGCTGCATTCATGAAATGAATGAAAGTGAATAATGCAAAAAGCTGCATTAATGATTTCAATGAAGGTCTAAAACAACTGGATTACGTGTCTCTTTTGATGCAATTTGGAGGCAGGCATCCATTTGAGAGGAATATTAACCAGCACTGCAGCAAACTTCAATTGTTGGGTAATACCAACTGTCATGGCATTGGAATTCTCCTCCTGATCCCAAGGAACCATTGGCTTTTTTTAAAAAAACAAACAAACAAACAAACAAAAACTCTACAACTTAATTTAGCTATTTTGTATACTAGATCTGCATACCAGAATAAAATAAGGCAAAATAACCAGTAAGGATCTACAATAGGGGTATCAAAGTCCCGGCCCGCAGGCCAGATGCTGGCCACGCCCAAGCCCGGTTTAGTGAAAGGGAAAAAGTCCCGGTACGTCACGGGATGACGCTGTGAGTTGGACACCCCTGATGTACAAGATGCATACTAAATGAGGGGCCTCGAACCTTTTGAGCACCGGGGGAGAGGATATTTCTGCAGACCTGAAAGGGGCGTGGTTTCATGTGTTGCCTGCATCTCATGGATGGGGCTTCACTTGTTTGTGCGGGCTGGTTACTGACATGCTGCGGTCTGGAGGTTGTCCCACTGACTGGGGGTTGGGGACCCCTGTCCTAAAAAAAAGCGCTGAGGTGGCGCAGTGGTTAGAGTGCAGTATTGCAGCTACTTCAGCTGACTGCTAGTTCAGCAGATCAGCGGATCAAATCTCACCGGCTCAAGGTTGACTCAGCCTTCCATCCTTCCAAGGTGGGTAAAATGAGGACCCAGATTGTTGGGGCAATATGCTATTTAGTATACTGTCTTTGGTGTAAGCCGCCCAGAGTCCTCGGAGAGAGGGCGGCATAGAAATATGACTAATAAAAAAATAAATAAATCACATTGCTACATTCATAAGGAAGTACAACCATTGCACCTAATAAGAAGGAATCAATCTGAAATTAAAAAGCAAGGCTACCTATTCCAGGCAATGTCTTTACTACTTCTTCAATAAGCACAAAGGAGCTAAGCAACACAGAAAAATAAAACTTCACCTAGGCAACCATGTAAAAACCATATATATTAACATATTAACAATAACATCAGAGACGGAAGAAGCATATTATTACTATTTGTTTTCCACCCTAGTTTACTGGAAGGTAAAAAGCTGTTACTAATATAATCTTCAGAGGCGAAGTACATACTTTCGTGCGTCTGTGCTGTTTCCATCACTTCTGCATTGTCTTTATTGGCAACAGAATTATCTTGCGAAAAATTGGGCAACCTTCAAAAATCCAAGCAGATCATCACTGAGAGCAGCAAAATATCTGATCGTATTATGCATAATTATGATTTTTAATTCGTAGAATCTCGAGGTGACTAATCTTATGTTATGAGTCAAAAAGAAAATATGACAAAGCTGGTACGTGAGTATATGTTGATAAACACCCTGGGAAGGGGATTCCCCATCCTTCCCATATAATTTTCCCGCTCTTCCCCCTGCTCCAAAGCTATTGTTAGTAGTCTGGCTGGGGAAAACCAGATCTCAGGTGAGTCACTAATACCTATTGAGAAAGCAGAGGGAAGCACAGCATGTACTATCAATTAGAACAGGACAAAAATGATAAGAAACATGTGATGACAACATCACAGAAATCCAACCCTTAAATATGTGCATCCTGACGTCTGACCTAATGTTAATTTACAGCAAGGGTGTCAAACTCGATTTCATTGAGGACCACATCAGGGTTATGTTTGACCTTGGGGGGCCAGGTTGGGCATGGCCACTCAACATGACTCGTGTTGGGGGTGCCTGTGGTGGCCAAGTGGTAAGGCAGGACTTCCCTCACTCTCATTATAATTTCCTTCCTTCCCTCTTCATTCTCCTTTCTTCTTCCTTCCCCCCTTTCCTTATTTTTCCTTCCTTGTTCTCTTTCCTTCTTTGTCTTTCCTCTTTCCCTTTCTCCTTTCCTGTCCCTTCTTGCAGAGTAAAACAGCATGGACAGAAGACTCTCACATTCCAGTGTTATTTGCCTCAATGGAAAGACTATATTCCTCTCCCCAGAACCATCTAGGACAGAGCTGTCAAACTCATGGCCTGCGGGCCAGATGCGTCATGCACTGGCCATGCCCATGCCCAGTTTAGCGAAGGGGGGGAGTCATGATACGTCATGTGACACCATGACAACGCGAGTTTAACACCCCTCGCGGTAGGAGGTGTAGATGAGGTTACAATGGGACACAGGTTAAATTCCTTTCCCACATTATGAGCTGTACAAAAATACATGGCACACATCCTTTGCAAAAAAACTGGAACTAAAAAAAAATATCAAAATTGCTAGACAGCAAAATGAAATGTCACCGCTTTTTTAAAAAAAATGCAATGAAATTACGAAGAATTGGCCACTTACGTTCTTCTTTTGCTTGTTGACCTTGTCAAATATGAATGCTGAGAAGTCACAGGAGGGTGATCCGTGGTCCTTAAAAATATAGTTAACAAGCGTCAAGTTTCTTTGGAGGCGTCAATTATTTTACAATAAAACAGCTTCTTTTACCATGAGCTCAGATCACATAATTATGTTTCCAAAGAGAATCAAAACGCTTCCATCTATTACCAATTAGTTCTGTTTTCTATTTTTTTTTTGCTCGTCTGTGAGGCTGGGTGATATTAAGCAAGAAATGTTTAAATGTACTGTACGATGATGCGAGTAAGTGACAGTGTATGAAGTGTTAGCTTTTTATAAGATATTGCTTGGAATTTGGTTCACCCTCCATTCAAGGCTCCCTCAACAGGAACTGTTAAAATAGTACTAAATTATAGATGATCGAGTCTGCCTGTTGAGTGAAGGAACCACTAGGGGTGTCAAACTCGCGGCCCGCGGGCCGGATGCGTCACACACTGGCCACACCCACCCCCGGTTTAGCAAAGGGGGGAATTCACGGTACATCACGTGACGATGAGTTTGACACCCGTGCACTACAGCATCTCTGACAGATGACAATTTGGCTTCCATCCAAGACCTGCAGTAAAGGAGAACTGATCACTTCACGCTGTAACCTGTACAGACTGACAGATCATAGGATCAAGCAGTTCCACCGGATACCTAGCCCTGTAATTTGAATCTATCGTTCTGGTCCTGCCCTCTGGGGGAACGGAGACTCAAGGGGACTATCTCCCCTTAGCGTTCTCTTCTGTGGGGCTAAACGTACCCAATTTTTTTTTTATAACTGCTTGGTTTCCAAAGCCCTTGTCATCTTGAAAATCCAGCTGTGAACAATGATACTGAGAACCACACACAATAATTCTGTTCTGTTCTGACCTGGCTCCTAAACACAAATCCTCTGCAGTTAAATAAATGTTCCCTTTATTAGGGTCTCGCTCTCACAGCAAGCTAACAAGTCTGTCCGGCTGGAAGATGAATAGTTGTCTGCCACACCTATTCATCTTCGCCCCCTGCACTTTATCCCCAAAGCTAGGGATGGGGCTTCGCTAGCAGCGGTGGCTCTTCCGTCCCAAGGACTGGCCCATAGATTTCCACAGTTCTCCTCTCCTCTGCCTTCTGCGCATCCATGCGTCAGGCACTGGACCCAGATGTTCCTCCTCTTCCTCATCAGCCACCTCCAGACCTGGGGGCTGTTGACTCTCCATCTGAGGGCTGCCGGATGGCCCAGGCTCCGCCTCTGTCTCTCTCTCTCTGCCAGTTCCATTCCCTCTTCCCCCTCAGAGCTCTCAGGTTGCCTTGATGCTGGCTCTGACTCCCACACTGCCTCATCATCTGATTGGGCTGCTGAAGGGGCTGGCAGCCAACAGGCCACAACAAATTCAGGTGGGGTCTGACCAAGGCAGTGTAAAAAAGTGTTTGCTATTTTTAGCAGCTGTATCAGACTGCTAGCTCATTGTCTAATTTGTGGTGAACAAAGACATTCAGATGCTTTTCATTTGTACCTACTGATAAGGCAAATCTTCCCCATCTTTTATCTGTGCCTCTCCTTTTTCCTACCTGGATTCAAATCTTCACATAGACCTAGTGGTGGGTTGCTACCAGTTCACCCCGAATTGGATGAATCGGTAGCGGCGGCGGCAGGAGGCTCCGCCCATCCGCTTCTACGGGTTTTGAAACCCGCCCCTCCATGGACCCCTGTTAAGTTCCATCCTATTCTTTTCAATGTGCTGAAAATTTTTGGGGCTAACCTTGGTGCTGCTGTTCAGGGTAGCTTACTAGATGGGGGGGGGGGAGACTAGAAAATTGTTTCTCTTTTCTTTGGGGGTCGGATGTGTGTGTGAGACACCTCAACAGACTCAAGGAAGGTGTTTTCCAAATTTTTGACACACCAAGGCCAAAAGGTTTGCCATCCCTGGACTGTAACATAAAATACACAATTGCCAGAGAAACTAGAGGTTCTGTTCCACTTCAAAAGCAAACACTTCCTTACTCTACAGCTGAAATCCGTCTCTTTACACAACTCCTGGTTACTATGGTTTGTTGCTCCAGAGATGGCGACTTCTGCCTAGAAGTTGATTCTCTCGCTTGCTGCTGTTCTGACAAAGACGTACCTACTGATGAGCTTTTCTCGATCTGCAGAAATAATTTTAAATCAGACTTACACACTGTCTACCAGTTAGTACTCTCCTTTTTTTTTTAAAGTTAGATTCAGTTTCATTTATAGCAAGTAGCAGGGGGGAAAAAAACCCACACAGGATCTTAACTAAGATATAAAGTTCTGTCTCAAACACCCTTCCAATTTATTTCCACTGCTTTAGTCAAACAATGTAGAAAACGATGACATATTTCAAGATCTTTTTTTAAAAAGGTCACGGTATCACGAAAGCTTTCTAATTTTACACATGTTCAAAATAAGAGGAAAAAAATAAGTTAAGAAGTCATCACTACAGGTTCTTTAAATTCAAATACAGACTATCTCAGTTTTAATCATACTCATAATGTCTTGAGTGCTAGGCTATTAATGTTGAAGTACTATATACCTGCATTGGTGATTCTCCTGAGGCATCCTGGGAGGTACTGCTGCAGCTGACACATCTTATAGCACTAATTATCCCTTGAAAAGCAATGTGCTTCTGTTCCCTGTAGTTCAAACTGTCAATCTCCTTCTCAATTTCACTGATGGATATCAAAACTAATTCTTCTGAAATGCAATTTTTAAGGAAGACAGCACCAAATAAATACTGGTAGGTAAAATTCAGATGGCAAGGAATCTAACATTATTGTTTTTTAAACTGGCACAGCACCATTGTGAATAAGTTTATTTTGCAAACAACTGAGAAAACCCGGCTTAGACTATAATACAACCCATAAGCCTCCTTTAAGGCCACAAAAATGGCAGACATCCTCAGGATGTGTCCTCTATTATGGGATGTGTCCAGCGTTCCTCTCATTCTCATCCCATTTAGGAGACTTTGTGTATTGTGGAGTAATTCCCCCAATTGTCTCAAACTGAGCTGCCATGAGGAGAGAAAGAAACAATCTGGTTGACAACCGTCATTCCATCATGAAAAAAAAAAAAAAAAAAAAAAAACCGGAGACATTCTCTGTTCCTCCATTTGCATGGTGATCTTCAATTAGATGACACCATATAAAGTCACTTTAAAATTCAAACACTGCCCAGATGTTTTTTGACATGGAGCTAAAAAACGACTCCAGTTGAACTACTAGTCTTACAAAGTTTAAAAGGGGATAACGAGTGATGAAGAATGGTTATGCTTTGCTACAACCTTAACTAATGACAAACTCTCAGCATCTACAAATATTTCCAATCGGGCACAGGTGCACAGAAATATTTTGTCTGCAAATTTAAGGCTACTCCAAACTGGCCTGCAGAAGGAAATTGGCATACCATTCATATTTTTACAATATTCTGCAAATGTACGTGGGAGTGGCGGGAAACGATGGTATCCCCCAATGACGACTTTGTCCACGTAAGAAGCTTCCTCTTGGGTTCTCATCCACTGGATAAAGTTTTGCACCTTCGGATCTTTTATATATGGCTGGCCCTTGTGCCATCCTATGTTAGAGAAAACAAAGCAAAAAAAAAAAAAAGGCATGGCAGAATAGAATAGAATAGAATAGAAACTCTGTCACTTTAAATGTACCCTATTCGACATACATTAAAATGAAATGAAATAAGAACGCATGAGGCTGTCACTCTTGAGAAAACATCAGCTGAGTGCCAAATTAGGGGAAGTAATCAAGCCACTTGGGGCTGTCTCATCTGGCAAGATTCTTATGTAAGGAATAAAAAGAGGCAGCACTTTCAATTCTCAAAATTACAGCTCCGCAAACATGGGTAACAGAAACTGATAAAAAGGATAGGGAGAAAGACAGCTGATGTGATTTGATAGATTAAGATTGGAGATGAAGATAGGTGTTTTTATAAAAGAGGTTGTTTTGTTTTTTTACCTGAAGTAAACATTTGAGTTTTCATAGATGTTGTTAAATAGGCTGTACTGGAGCCATTCTCAGAAATATTTTGTTCCACTCTCATCTGGGTACATACCAAGTAGGTCACTAGAGAGGGAGAAGCATCATATTACCTATTTATTTATTTATTTGTCTTAGAAGTTACTCCAATTGAAGCAGATTCAAAACAGCATGCCATTCCTCATTTTTATTTATTTATTTATTTATAAAATTTATTGGCTACCCATCTTACCATATGGTAACTCTGGGCGGCTTACAATTACATCCAAGTTAAAACGTAAAAAGTTAAAAATCAAACCTTAAAACCATTTTTGTAAATCCCAATTAAAACAAAACTAATCGTAACTTTACCTACTGTATAATAACCACATACCAAATCAATTTTTACAAAAAGATGATTGGTGCCTATCCATGACTGTAATTGATTGATTCTGATACATGTAAGTTTTTAAAGGATAAGTTTTGAAAGAGAAAAGATCAAAAGGGAACTAATTATTATAATCTGTAAACCTAACTCACTTTCTAAGGTTTTTCTGCAGCATTCAAATTATTTTTTTTTCAGAACACTTTCTGCCACTGTGCTTATACAGTGCAGATTAAGAGATAAGAGCAGTATCTCTATCACTGTAAACTATAGAAGACAATTTCGTGTGCAGAGATGCCATGTGACACTGAAAAACATCCTGTGTGTACAGGAAAATAAAATGTTGCCAGAGGAAATGTAGAGACAACTGATTGTCTAGATACTAGACGAAGCATTCTTTGGAGAATGCTTCGTCTAGTATCACCTGCAATCTGAAACTTTTAATATTGCATCAGCTCCTTATGAGAAACAGTTCGTTTGTCACCAAATGGAGAACACTTCCTGGAGAAACAATGTGGAAGAGATGGGGGACACATGTGATCATTACATTCATGCTCAAACTGTAAAGTTACCAAAAGCATGCAGATGATTATTAGATGCTGGAGTTAATGAGACCTTTGGTGTGATCTAATGTGGTGGTTCTTACTTTTTAGGTTCATATTTACACACCCTCTTTTAATTTATAATCAATAACAACACTCTGAATTCCTAATGGTTGTCACAAAACTGCAATGCAATCTTACCTTCTCTTGTGAGATAAAGCTATGGACTACAATGAAAGCTTATAAGCATTGACAGCTACTTCACATTATCTTATTCTCAATCAGATGGAATATGGAAGGAAAAAGGAAACAGGAGGTATATGCCGTCAACATGGTGTCAGTTTATTTTGCTGTCACTAAACCAGTTCTTGCAGCCTTCTACTGATGTTACTTAGTTTGGTAATGAAACGTCTGCAAGAAAACCACCAAGCTTGGGGAGCACCAAGGACCCTCACTTCAACCCCAGGCTATAAATATTCGCTTCCATCTGCTAAATATATGGAGTTTAGAATAAAGGAAATCCAAGAATTCTTTAGAGTTCATCCTTGTGAACTGTGACGAAGAAAATGTGTTACCCAATACTCCAATTCCGAACAAATTTGACAGAAAGCGATTACATTAAACAGAGATTTATAGAATACGTACTTGGGTAAATTTGCTCAAATATATCTGGCTGAGATGTGGAAAACAATTCTATTATAAAAGGCTGTTCTGAGGTCCCATCAACAACATGTACCCAGCGATACGTCCAAAAGTCATCCACACAACCTACATAGACAGAATAAATGTTAATTAATCTATGTTCTAAACTTGTTTTTACAGCCAAACATATAATCTTTGAAAATACCTTTTCTCTTCTTGCGCTCGACCCGTCCAACATATTGTACAAGTCCAATGATGTCACAAAACTGATTTTGTGCTAACTTATCCAACTCGGATCTGGAATTCAAAGCACAACAGAACTTAGGGTATCAAAAAGATAAAAGCCACTAGATTCCAGAAATTTATTTATCCAAGAAAGTCACTAAATGGAGGCATTCAAACAATAAAAACAAGCTGGGCTACGACTTCATGTGAGAATTCGGTTCTTCCAAACTCCCAAACCACAAATGTTTGAGAGACATTTGAAAACTTTATGGTCAAAAATGGCGACTGTAGCCAGGCGAGTTTTTGTACAGTTGCATCTCACACACCAATTGTCTCCTTTTTAGGATTGGGAGGTCTTCCTTAGTCACTTGTGATTTAGTCGCTCCTATTTAGATTACTCTAATGACTGTCTTAGAAAGCCTTCAGAGGCTACATTTGATGCAAAATGAAGTGGTCCAGGCAATGAGGAGTTTAATTTTGATACTCTATTGCAGTGATGGGTAACCTTTTTGCCATCGCGTGCCAGGAGTATGTGTGTGTGTGTGTGTGTGTGTGTGTGTGTGTGCGCGCACGTGTGTAAAAGCAGGCCCACACCCATAATTCTATCCGCCCTGCCCCGCACATGCAACCCCCCTGCGATGGCACAGTGGGCCTGGTAGGCCTGTTTTTCTCTCTCCCCAGCCTCCAGAGCCTAGGAGCTTGGGAAGTGCGAAAATGGCCTTCCCCACCCCCAACCCCGGAGGCTGGAAACGGCCAGTTTTTGCCCTCCCCAAGCTCCTAGAAAGGCTCTGGAGGCTGGGGAGAGCAAAAAACAGGCTGCTTCTGGCCTCCAGAGGGCCTCGGGGGTGGGTGGGTGGGGAAGGCCGTTTTTACCCTCCCCAAGCTCCTAGAAAGGCCCTGGAGCCTGGGAGGGGGAGAGAGAGAAAAACAGGCCTTCCCCATCACCCCACGAGGCCCTCCGGAGGTAGGAAACAGTCTATTTCCTTACTTCCGGTGGGCCCAAAAGGCCTGAAAATCAGGTGGCCGGTGCACGCATGTGCGCCAGAGCTAATCTTGCATGCCCACTGATATGGCTATGTGTGCCACAGGTCTGCCATCATGGCTCTATTGGATTTATTTTATGAGTGTGTTTACTATTTTTGAGAGGCATTTTGGTAATTTTTCTGATATTTAAGTGCCCAGTGTTTTTACAAAGTAGATGGCATACAAATAAAATTAAAATAAAAAGTTAATTTATCATGCAATAGCTCTATTCATCTGGAATAAATGCACAGAGAATCTATTGCTTCTTTACAGAATTTTACCCTGGTTTCTTCTAAACCGAGAAAGCCATTGTATCACACATGGTATACTTGTGGCAGCAGACTTGTGGCAGTAACATTCACAAATGCAGTTAATAATAATCTGGCTTTGTTGTACCATCTGAACACTGTTGATAGTACATACAGAATTAATATCTATTACCATGTAGCATTTATAAACATCAGAATTTCATTTCTTTTTTAGCCTTCCTCTCAATTTTTTAACAGTAATATTCCAGTCTGGGAAAAATAATAATAATAAACATAATAATAATACGGTAGTGATAATAGTAGTTATAATAACCTTGTTACAAACTGATATTCAACTTCAGGCAACTTCCATTCTGGTTTAATTTTATGTTCTGGAATGATGTTAATTTTAGCTGGAGGGTCTCGAACGTTTAAAGCGATTTCTAAAAAAGAATTAATCAGATGATGACAATTATGTTTGTCTGAATTACCAACTACATTAGTTTTGTTCTAGTCATTTAAACATATACATTTTTATAAAAGTTGGTTTGATGATCCAATTTTAAACACTTTGGGGAGGGCATGTGGCAAGTCACATAAACATGATGTTAGAGAAACTTGAAACAGGGCTTCAAAGGACAAGAAATTCCCCCCAAAGCAGCAGCTATTTTGAACTGTTGAGGACAGATATTGCATTTGCACTTCTTGGGAATTAAATCTAAAAAACCCCAGTCTCTACTACCTCCCTACCTTCGTTCTTTTCTTCCATCCGTAACTTCTTCTTTTTAATTTATTAGACTTGTATGCTATTCATCTCGCCTTTTACAGAACTGGCCTCTCCAAGGCCACTTAAATCACGGATAAATTACAAGAAATGTGCTACAGGAAAGAACGTTGATATCGGAGCACTAGAAATCAGCCTGAGCACTTAGATATATAGAAGAAACACATACAACCGCTAAATGGGAATTCTTTTCAAAAAAAACTACAGCCCACCACAAGTTTCCTTCTTTTTTTTCCCTACCAGCTGGGGAAAGAAAGCACGACTTAGCAAACTGTTTTACATTGAACAATGGTTATCAATATTCATAAGCAACAGGAGAATTTGGTTATAATAATCTCAAAGGAACAATCATGGGTGTCCATGAAAGCCAGCATTTATATTTATATAAACTCCCCCCTTCCATATTCTTAAATTAATGCATCAAGACATTAAAAATAATAAATCGTTCATAGTGTAATGAGCTAATTAGTGCAATTTAAGCAATCTATTAGAATTGGCCATGCTATTCTTTTACCGTGTACTTCAAATTATTTATTCAATATTCTAACACAAGCAACCAAAAAAGAGCCTGCTAAATATATGACAGATAATTAGCTATTTAGACATCCTATTTATGCCACAGGAGGCCTTGCTTTTCTTGTTAATATTCTGTTTAAGGTGCACCGATCCTTCATTTGGACCTTCCTCCTGCCAACATTATTTTTAACTCTCCGTTACTAACCGAACCCTATCAGCACTTCCAGAACACAAAACAAATAAAATCTGCTTCCACTGACCTATTGAGAAATAGATTTGAAAAGTCTCAGACTGATGAACTTGAATCTAATACATCACCAAGACAATTAGAATCACTGTCAAACTGTTTTAAATTCACCAACAGTTTTTCCTTTATTACTCCTTCTGACCAACAAAACATTTCACTTTCTTGACCACAGATTTTCTTATATATGCGTATGTAGTTATCATCTGCCTAAACCAATCTACTGCAGGATGAAGGTTTCTTTAAGGAAGGTTATGGGGCTGAAATCGACCATTCGGTGTATTTTGGTAGATTGACACTTTCTGTCAATCTTTTGGTTTAGGCAGGGCTGAGAATAACTGACTAGATCAAAGTCACCCAGCCAATTTCTGTGTCCAAAAGAAAATTAGAACTTTAGAAAATTAGAAGATACAAGCAAAAGCAAAATAACTGGAAACTAATTGTGGCAGGCAGAGCCCTCCTGACAAGAGATGGATTAGATACAGATCCCACGTCGTGTAGCCAAGTAGGGAAATGGCTTCCTGCTATTTGAGAATGATTACTGCAGGAGAGTGATTGGTTATGACAGTCGGTTTCTTCACTGCCTGAAGTAACAAACAAACATATATTCTTCGTCTCAGATAATCATTGTATGCAGGGAAAACGAATGGTCAGATAGACCTTTGTTGGTCAGATAGACAGAGTGGTCAGATACACCAAATGCAAACGAATGGATTTTCTTTAAAAGCTATACCCCTCCCCCCCAAAAATCGTATTTCAGATACTTAACCTATTGAACTGAATCTCTTCATGTGCAAATCTTCAGGACTTGACTGTATTTTAGAAGATAAACTTTTTTTAACAGCATATTTTTCAAGCAGCAGCACGGTGCCGATTTTCATACTGTGATACCATTCAGGGCATAAAGAGCCCCACAGCACCATTAACACCATGCCAGATTGATCAGCGACATCAAAATAAGCCTGCAAATATAAGAACGTTTGCTCTTGAAAGTTAAAGGCCACATTACTGAAATGCTATTTTAAAGGCCTGAGGTTGAAGCATGCTTTTCATTCTATGCACTTTGCTCCTAAATTTATCATCGAAAATTATATGCAACACGCTTTACAAAAAACAGAAGAGTTTACTGCCCTTATTCAGAAAGCTTTTACATTAAAGGCAACATTCTTCTCTATATTTCCCTATGTAAGTTCAGCAGGATTTACTTTAATCAAGGGCATACAATATTAAGCTGTGAAATTCCTATCTTACAAGCAAAAAATTCCACAGGAGCTGAAACTGGGAAGGAACAAGAGGGATTGAAAAAGGTAGGAACAGAGGGTTTAGTACCAACAAAAGAGAATATTTGTAGCTCAGGATTGAAATGAGGGATCCTTGGTGCTCTCTGAACTTGCTTGACTAGCACTGATGATTTTACCTAGTTTGAGTAATGAAACCTCTGCAAGAAAACAAGCAAGTTCAGTAAGCTCAGAAAACAAGTAAGCCCCACAAAGGGCTTAGTTTATGGTTTACTGCATATTACTGCATATTTACTGCATCTGTTTACTGCAGATTAACAAATGGAAAGCAAACGGATGAGATTTTTTTTCTTCTTAAAAACATCATCATGGTGGATACCATGGGAATGAGCCTATACAAGGTGAAGCTCGTTTAGCAGATGGCGTGTCAAAATGGAACACAGTATCTGAAAACAAACAGTACCAAAAGTAACAACATAAGGGAAATTTTCAGAAGGCTAAACTACTCAAGTCTGCAGAAGGCATGTTATTTCATATAATTGTTACAGTGGATGTAGAATCATACCTGCTTCCCCTTCCTCAACACTGACTAAGCAAAATAAACACTTCTAAACAAATCCAACAGGTAATTATTTAATTGCATGTTGTTGTACTAGAGGCATGCCGTGATCACATCATTGCACAAACGCCATGATTTCAGTACTTGTGTCGAACAACTAGTATATAAAGGTGGCATTTGGACGATGACATCACTGAGAAGTGTGTCATCATTCTGGCATCATTTTATTTTCCAACAGCCACTGCTGGCATGGTGAGAGTGTTTGGGTTTGTGCATCTAAACACATACACAAACACGCTGTATTTGGTTGTATTTTACAAGCTCTTGACTATGTTTACTAAAACAGTAAGTCAGCATAAAAATGATTTTATGGATAACTGAGGTTTATCCATCTGGGATTCACATATTATTAACACAAGAATGTATTTTAGACACTAGTTAAAAAAAAAAGAAATCTCTATCAGAATCATTCCTACCTGATATGGCACATCTAGCTTTGTTTTTGGTTTTCCAAAATACCGTAACCGAGACTTATGGATGATTCTGACACGCAACGGTGGGAAGCTGAGTTTGCTTTCCCAGGTCATGGCCAGAATAGAGATGGATGTTGGTTTGAATTCTATGGGAGGAAACAGAGCAGAGTAAATATGAACTCAGAACTGGCAATGCTGCAATGAATCCATTGCTTTTGTATGATACTACTACAAATACTAACTTCAAAGCCATTGCTACAACATAACTGCTCTGATACTGACTCAAAAGCATGCAAATGTTAGCTGTTCGCTTCAGATTCAAAGTTCCAAATCAAAAAGCATTAGAGCATTATTAAAGACAAAGCTAGTCGACAAATATTGAAAGTGCGGCAATTCAAATGCAACACCAAACCATAGCTTAGTGTTGCTTGAAAAAGCAGAAAGCTACTTCAGATTTATTTACTTAGAACACAGGAGAACAAGAAGCCTAAACCATTTCAGCGTAAGCCATAAAAACGGAATATCTCTCAAGCCAACAGGGTCTCTGTTGTGGGAGGGAACTGGAGGGAAAGCTAAAGCAAGGCAGGATGTAATTCAAATAAATAGACTATGATTCTTTAAATGAAAGTCAGGTTGATGTAATGGTTAAAAGCACCAGGAAGACCCTGAATTCTAATCCCCACTAGACACAAAGCCAGCTGGGTGTCTTGGACGGGGTGGGATGGGGTGGCTCTCTCTCAGCTCCAGGAAGGCAGGAAAGACAAAACACTTCTGAGAATCTTTGCTCATCTTGACTTCAAGGCCTCCTTGAAGCTCTTAGGGAGATGTCCAGGCAGTTGCCCTGAGTCAAGGCCGATTTAAAAGACATATACAGCCGTACACGATTCCTTCCTGAGATTTTGGCCAGTAGCTTTTGTGCTACTCCGTATCTCAAACCAGAGTTTGAACGAGCCTTCTTCCTGAAAGGCAAACTGCAGTTTACCATCCTGCCCAAACCTCTAAACTAGATAACCCAAATTTCTGAATCCAAGAAGAGTTAAAGAGCTGTTTTGCTACTCTGAATCTCAAATCAGTTCGACTGAGTCTTTCTTCCTGGAGGGAAAACCATGGCTTGCCATCCAGCCCAGACCTGTAAACCAGATAACCCAATAATTTTATGAGTCTAAGAACAGTTATGGAGCATCCAAGGACGCTTCTCGCTTCCAATGTCATGTTTTCAAGGACATCCCACCCTTCCAATGTCATCTCAATGTCAAGGACACCCCAGGCTTCCAGTGCCATCCCTGCACTTTTCCCCATAGCCTTTCTCTGGGCCCGGCCCTCCACCACTTACCCTCCAGACTGGCCTCCCTCAAGGGCTTCCTCGCCACCCACATCTCCCCAAAGGGATCGTCATTGTTCCACAGAGGAAGGTAATGCTTCCTGCTCCCTTTCAAGGGGAGCATGGTCTTCACATGGCAGATTCTGAGCTGGGAGGGAAGCCCGGCGAAGACCGAAACCCCTTCTAGGATTTCCAGCTCTTCAATGCACACAAAGCCCGGGCTGAGGCTCCTTTCGTTGTACATGTAGGAACACTGGGTGATCTTGATTTGTCGCCCGGCGCCCAGCCCATTTCGCTGGACCAGGCCGTTCAGCTGGGGGGCCAGGAGGCACTTCTCCTGGTAGGTGCCATCCGTCACAGTTACGTCGTAGTAGTAGTAGGCCGGGCAGGGGGCATTGGGCACGGGTGGCGGCTCCTCGGCCATATATCTCTGCAGGAGCAGCACCGTCACCGGGATTGCCTCTGTCAGGGAGACCCTCAGGTCAGAAGCTTTGAGGACTAGGCCCAGCATCCTCTGGAGCCAAGAGTCTGCATGGGGGTTGGGGGCACCACTTGGGGGGCCTGGGGCCACAGCAGGGCCCAGGGCCCTTGACACGGTGCCCACTGTCCTTGATATGGGGCCCATGGCGCCTGAGATGGGCCCCTTTTCCGTCAATTGCCTTCTAGGTCCTTTCTGAGGGCCTTCTGGGCCCTCAGAGGGGCCCCCACTGGAGTCTCTCCCTCTCAGGCCTTCCTTCTGCCTGGCAGCGCCCTTCTCCATTCCCTTCCAGGCCCGGCCCTTCTCCTCCCGGTCACCGCGGTGAGCTTAAAGCCTGCCCCCACCCCCCCTCTCCACTCTTCGGCCGCCCCGGGCGCCTCCCCGAGCTGAGGGGGAAAAAAAAAGCAGGCCCGGCTTCCTCTCAGAGGAGGCCGCGCTCAATTTCTCCGAGCGCGGCCGCCATTGCTAAAGGGGCGGGGCGAAGGCAGGGAGCAACGACCGCTCGCTTTGAACTGGCCAATAGGGGCGCGCGAAGGTGGTCAGGAGGGCAAGGGCTTCTCCAAAAAAAAAAAAAAAGTGGGGGGGCGGGACGAGGCGGCCAATCAACGCGCGGGGGGCGGGATTGTTGGGTGGAATATTGCGGGGAGGGCTCGGAGGGAAAGGGGCGGGGGGCGCTCTGAGCAAGGGACCAATGAGCGCGAAGGAGGGCGGGGACAAAGGAGGAAAAAGTTTTCTTTATTCTTGGCAAGTTTGTCCTGTGATTTTCCTTCTTAGGGGGAAGCCCCATAGCTTTCCAATGGGGTTTATTTTTAGAAAAATCCCCCAAGGCTGCCGGCTTTAAAAAGGCCATTAATCATAATCATAATTAGTTTATTTGTCAAGCATATATATAAGATAACAGGTAAAAGTATAAACATAATTTAAATACATGAAAAGAGCAAGTAAAAAGGAATATTAGGACAGGAACGGTAGGCACGCTGGTGCACTTATGCACGCCCATTAAATTGGGCTGAATGATAAATCACTTTGATTTATCAAAGTGATAAATAAAAAAAGTGATTAAAAAAAATAAAAGTATAGGAAAAAAAGTGCTTTGAAGAATTGGCAAGATATGAACCCTTCTTTATTTTTTTTAACTTAAAAAACAGAGAGAAACTTCTGTTTCAAGAGCCAGCTTTTGGAGAGGGCTTTAAAAGACCCTGTTATTACGATGCATTATCTGGGTTTTAGGAGTCGGTCGGCAGCGGCCAAGACTCAGCAGGAATCGAGTGGGACCCTGTCCAACTCACTCATTCTCTGCAGTTCAGGCACACAAAAAAGCCCCTTTCATAAAAAGGAAAGAGTTGGAAAAGATTTCGGATTATGATTTTCTGCCGTTTATGAAATCCCTGCAGCTCCTTTAAAAGCCAGTATAAAATGAAATATGTATATTAAAAAATGCAAGTACCCTTTACAAGGTACTCATGCTTTTCCAGTGGTTTGTTTTTTTTTTAATCCAGAAAAGCCAAATCCTTCCAAATTCATGGATTGACTTCTCTTGTTGAGTATGCAAACTTGTTTAGTAGCCTGGATGGGAAACTATGGGAAACTTTTGAAGTCACCTGCCCATGGTGAAGAGTGTGTTTTTTTCTTATTTTTAACCAAATGATTGGTTAATTAACAACACAATTATTCTGAAATAGTCAATTCAGTTCAGAATAGGGATCTTGGAATATATAGAATAACTGAGCTGGAAGGGACCTTGGAGGTCTTCTAGTCCAACCCCCTGCTTAGGCAGGAAACCCTACAACACTTCAGACAAATAGTCATCCAACATCTTCTTTAAAACTTCAATTGTTGAAGCATTTACAACTTCTGGAGGCAAGTGGTTCCACTGATTAATTGTTCTAAATGTCAGGAAAATTCTCCTTATTTCTAAATTGCTTCTCTCCTTGATGAGTTTCCACCCATTGCTTCTTGTCCTGCCCTCGGGTGCTTTGGAGAATAGCTTGACTTCCTCTTCTTTGTGGAAGCCCCTGAGATATTGGAAGACTGCTATCATGTCTCCCCTGGTCCTTCTTTTCATCAAACTAGACATACCCAGTTCCTCCAAATGTTCTTCGTATGTTTTAGCCTTCAGTCCCCTAATCCTCTTTGTTGCTCTTCTCTGCACTGTTTCCAGAGTCTCAACATCTTTTTTTAAATTGTGACAACCAAAACTGAATGCTGTATTCCAAGTGTGGCCTTACCTCAAGGCATTATAAAGTGGTATTAACACTTCACGTGATTTTGATTCTATCCCTCTGTTTATGCAGCCTAGAACTGTGTTGGCTTTTTTGGCAGCTGCTGCACACGGCTGGCTCATATCTAAATGGTTGCCCACTAGGACTCCAAGATCCCTCTCACAGTTACTACTATTGAGCAAGGGACCACATATACTGTACTTGTGCATTTGGTTTTTCTTGCCGAAATGTAGAACCTGACTTTTTTCACCCTTGAATTTCATTTCGTTAGATAGCGTCCAACCTTCAAGTCTGTCAATCTTGGAGGTCTTCAACCCCCTACTCAGGCAGGAGACCCTACACCATTTCAGACAATTGGCTGTCCAGTCTCACAACCCAAACCAACGTTTTAAACAGTGGAAGAAATTTCTGAGCCCCATTTCAGCTCACAATTCAAGGCTCTCATTTTGAGGCATTTATTGAAGCATCCAATTTCAAAATTGTTCCGGGAAAAAGCCATCATTACAGATATTGACTCTTGAGATCAAGTTTAATCTTTTCAGACGTCAAATTCTTTTGAATTATATCCCTATTACATAAACATGGATGGCTGGACAATGGAAATGGCTCCACTGCGCCCTTATTACTAAGAAATTATGGGCAGATAACTGATGGGCCCAATTACTCAGTGGGTTTTCATTTGCAATTTACAAACGAGTTGCTTACAGTTACGGATTGATGTTTATTTTTATCCTGCTTTATAAATAACTCAAGGCAATGAATTCACATAATACTCCTTCCTCCTTTTATTTTTCCAACAACAACCTTGTGAGGTGGGTTGGGATGACAGAGAGAAGGGGACTGGCCCAATATCATCCAGCTGGCTTTCGTGCCTAAGGCAGGATTAGAACTCACCATCTCCTATTGATTGGCCCAAAGTCACTCAGATGGCTTTCATGTCTAAGGCAGGACTAGAACTCACCGTCTCCTGATGATTGGCCAAAAGTCACCTAGCTGGCTTTCGTGCCTAAGGTGGGACTAGAACTCACCGTCTCCTCGTGTTTGGCCCAAAGTCACCCAGATGTCTTTCATGCCTAAGGCAGGACTAGAATTCACCATCTCCTGGTGATTGGTTCAAAGTCACCTACCTGGCTTCCATATCTAAAGCAGAACTAGAATTTACCATCTCCCAGTTTCTAGCCTCTAAAATGCCTCTATAATGAAAAATGCTCATATTCATTAAAAATGCACTAAGAAGAATCCCTCACTATTTTTTGTCATTTTTCTTTCCTTTTTCTATTATTTTCCTTTCTGTCCTATTTAATAACATAAAAGCCCTCGCCCCAGTTCCAAGCCCAGCGAAACAAGCTTATAAGAATCTATTCTCATCCTAGCCTATTCATTTTCACCATTTTGAGTATTCAAATGTAGAATAAAGATATCCTCACCTTATAAATATGCTGTTTATATTTAAACATCCAATGTACGCACGCCACTACATAAAATATGCTATATAAAATATAGTAAAATTTATATTTTATATAAAATATAAAACTTTTAGCTAATCTAGAAAAACGACTTCTCTTTCCAATCATAATACGGTTTGGTAGTGCCAGTGTTGTTATTTTTTCCCCTGTTGTGGCTTTTTTAAAACACGGTTTCCAAAATAACAAGAAACTCTAAATAACTGTTAAAGTATCATTTTGTGATATTCACTTAGATAGCGCATCTTAGTGGCTTTGATAAACAGCACTGTATACAGTTAGCATTTTAACAAGATACTGTAAGAGATCAGGCTGAACTTTGATTTATGGCTGGGTTCAGAGAATCCACAGAGAACAGCCTTATTTTTATATAAATGGTAGGTTTGCTCATGTTTCATTTAACTTAAATACAGTTTTGTAAGAAAGCGTCTGAGCTTTGTAAACTGAATTGCGCGATATTTCTCGGAGAAGCAATTTCAGCGCCGAGCAATTTTTCTCGTTGAAAAAGCAGATCCAGTGTCATCCCAACAAACAGGGATATCAAATTAAAATGCCAAGTTTCATCTCAGAGCCACAGAAGATAAAGGAATATTTCTAAACACTGTACTTGGTGTCTTTGTTAAAACCATGCAGCTTACAGAATTACACATATAAGCTCTTCTTATGTGTATGGCAGGCAGCGGGCTGGCTATGGTATAATTTGATGTTGTTGTTTTTTTCAAAGAAATGTTAAGTTGTAATCGTACCTGGCTTTAGTCTGTTCTTCGCTTCCAAAGGAGCACAGGTGGTCCTCGACTTATGACCACAATGAAGCCCAAAATTTTTGTTGCTAAGTGAGACGTTTGCTCAGTGAGTTTTTGTCAATCCGTTTTTACAATCCGTCTTGCCACTTTTGTTCATCACTGCCGTCGATAAGTCGGTAACCCGGTTGTTAAGTGAGTCTGGCTTTCCCCGTTGACTTCGCTCGTCAAAAGGTCGCCAAAAGGGGATCACGTGACATTGGGACACTGCAGCCGTCGTAAGTACGAAGCAGTGGCCAAGCGTCTGAATTCACATGATCACGGGGATCCCAGAGTCGTACGTGGGAAAAATAGTCACGAGTCACATTTTCAGTGCTGTTGTAACTTGGAATGGTCACTAAATGAACCGTTGTTAAGTCGAGGACTTACCTGTATGTATTGTGTGTGTGTGTTTGGGTGTATGGGAGGGCAGGTAATTTCAGTAATTTCCCTGAAAGCAAGGCGCTTTCTTTCACAACATCGCAAGACTTGGTAGTACAGTGGTCTAAAGCACCCTGTTATTAAGACCAGCTGCCTGCAATTACTGCAGGTTCGAATCTCACGAGGCTCAAGGTTGACTCAGCCTTCCATCCTTTCTAAGGTGGGTAAATTGAGGACCCAGTTTGTGGGGGCAATAAGCTGACTTTGTATAAATATACAAAAGGATGAAGGCTATTGCTTAGTGCATTGTAAGCCGCCCTGAGTCTCCGGAGAAGGGCGGCATATAAATCAAGTTAAAAAAAAAAAAAAGACTTTTGTGGATACACACGGAGTTAACTTTCAAGGACAAACTCAATATATTATTTATTCTATTTACATTTCATGCTTCGGTCCAAACCTTCCACGCAATTTATGGCTTCCAAAAATGCTGAGGCGAGATACAAAAGAGAAAAAGCCAGCAAAACAAGGACGCAGCTCAGTTTTTTCCAACCGTTTTATAAAAGGAAAAAAAAAAAAAAAACCAGCATAACCATGTTTGAAAAGATACGCTTCCATTTTTTTCTCCAGAATATTGCTTTATTTTTTTATTTTTTTTCTATTTTCAAATATACAATTTTGACACGACGAAGTTATAGTACACACACAGACATAAAAAATATTTCATTTTATATATAGTGCATAGAGCATAGAAACGTTCCACTGCTTTAAACGCACAAATTTGGGCTAAAGCCACTCGCAGGCTAAATGCAGCCATACTGTCAATGCCTTATTACTGGTAGTCCTCGATTTACGACCACAATTGAGCCCAGAATTTCTGTTGCTAAGCGAGGCGGTTGTTAAGCGAGTTTTGCCCCATTTTATGACCTTTCTCGCCCCGTTGTTAAGTGCATCGCTGCAATTGTCAAGTGAGTCAGACGGTCGCTAAGTGAATCTGGATTCCCCCTTGACTTTGCTCGTCAGAAGGTCGCAAAAGGGAATCACGGGACCACGGGGACGCTGAGACCGTCATAAATACGGGTCAGTTGTTTGAATTTTGATCCTGACGGGGGTGGGTGGGTACTACAACGGTCGTAAGTGTGAAAAACGGTCATAAGTCACTTCTTTTTCAGTGCTGTTGTCATTTCAAACGGTCACTAAATGAACTAAAAGAGCCTTGGTAGTACAGGGGTTTAAGGCACCCTGTTATTAAGCTGCTTAAGACCAGCTGCCTGCAATTACTGCAGGGTTCGAATCTCGCCAAGGCTCAAGGTTGACTCAGCCTTCCATCCTTTCTAAGGTAGGTGAAATGAGGACCCAGTTTGTGGGGGCAATAAGCTGACTTTGTATAAATATACAAAAAAGGATGAAGGCTATTGCTGAGCACATTGTAAGCCGCCCTGAGTCTTCGGAGAAGGGCGGCATATAAATCAAATTAAAAAAAAAAAAAACTGTTATAAGTCAAGGACTACGAGGACTTTTGACACATTAAAGAAATTTCAGGAATCGTTGGGACTTTGGCCATCCATGTTACAGTATATTACTGATATTTTTGCTCTCTCGAGAACCTCATACAAAATAACACCATTGCTTAGTGCTATATATCACCTTTAAAAAAGAATAAACAAAAATACTAGGAATGAATACGTTGAAGTCTCGAAAGGCTAAATGTTTATTTAAGTGTTACCAATTGCTTTGAAATCTTTTCACTCTCCGGGCAATCCCCCCCCGCACGATAATATAATCGAAAACATTGCTACGAGTCCTTAACACCAGCCTCCTCAATATATATCTCTCTATATATATCCCACGTACTTTCCACGCCTATCTAGAATTGCAACAGTCCTCTTTTCCTTCATTTGGCTTCCTGCTAACATCCCCTTCCTTTTAATCTTCTAACCTTCCTTTATACCCTCAGTGGCATTTCATCTGCTTGATTATTTCTTGGAACACTTGTTGGGGTTTATTTATTTATTTGGTACTATCTACTATTGATCTTGATTGTTTTTCACAGTGCTGCATTTTGTAATTAAGGTGAAGCAAAAACAGAACTTCTTGTTAATTTAAGGCTTGGATTCAACAAGCTTAGAAGCGAATGACACCAATTTCATCAGAGAGAGAGAGAGAGAGAGAATGAGAGAGAGAGAAAGAGAAAGAGGGAGAGTGGGGAGAGAGATTAAAGGGAGAAGGACTGAGAGAGAGAGAGAGAGAAGAGAGAGAAAGAAAGAGAAAAGGGAATGAGAGAGATTAAAGGGAGAAGGAGAAGGAGAGAGAGAAGAGAGAGAGGGAAAGGGAAAGAGAGAAAAGAGAGAAAGAGAAAGAGGGAAAGGGGGGAGAGATTAAAGAGAGGAGAGAAGGAGAGAGAAACAGAAAGAAAGAGAAAGAGAGAAAAGAGAAAGAGGGAAAGAGAGAGAAAGAAAGAGGGAAAGAGAGAGGGGGAAAAAGATTAAAGAGGAGAGAAGGAGAAAGAAAGAGAGAGAAAATAGAAAGAGGGAAAGAGAGAGGGAGAGAGAGAGAAGGGAGAAAGAGGGAAAGAAAAAAAGAGAGAAGAGAGAGTGTGTGAGCGAGCGAGTGAGAGAGAGAGCAAATGACGATTCTGCATTTAAAATGATTTCCTCTCTTCCCAAGAAAATCTAAAATTCAATTTTTTTAAAAAAATAAATAAAAATAAAATCCTCCCCCACCCCCTCTTCATTCCCGTACTACCGGAAAGTCTAGGAGGACGAGTCTTTTTGTTTTAAAAGATTAAATTATCTGATGGCACTCTTCTCAGGAAAACATACTCGATTAAATCCCAGCTGCTGGACTGAGTTTCGAACGGTGGGGAAATAACAAGTGGCACATTGCACCCCTTATGTGTATTTGCTCAGAAACCGGTCCTCCTGCTTGTTCCAAAGTCGAGGATGTTGCGGCATGCAGCCAGGACAGCATCTGTCGAGACAACCATCTGTGTCCCTGGCAGGTGCACGCACAAAATCCCTTCTCGCTCTGTTTTAAACGGATCCAGAAAAACCGACCTCCCTTTTCCCTCCCTGTCTACTTGCCGGGCATCAAAAGTCCTACCTTACCTGTCATACCAATTATTTACTTACTAGGAGTAAGAAAGGGCTTTGTTGCGTTAGAGCTAATGGCTCCCCGAAAACTAGCCTCGAGTAGTGATTTAGCAAAGTAGCAGGGGGAAAAAAAACCCCCAAACATTTGGGGGGTGTTAAGTTTCAGAGTTGTTAATTCACAGTTAAGTCTCATGGCACCGTAAACATACAAAAAAATGGGTTTATGGTCGATTTGCATGCAGGACTCATCGTTGGGCTTCTGGGCATAGAAGTTTCTTGGGATTTATTTTGCTTTTTTTTTTTTTTTTTGCAAACAGAGGAGTCTTCCCCAGCCTGTCCGGGTAGCTAGCAGGGAACTGCTGCCCTACCAACATCTGGAAGGCATCGGATTGGAGAAGTGCGCAATCAAGCATGAGCAGAAAGGGAAATATATAAGTTGTGCTAAATGGAGCGGCAATTCTGCCAGCTTAATAGATAAACTGATTTGAAAATAAGAAATTGCATCCCTGGGGGTTGGTTGGTTATTTATTTATTTATTTATTTATTTATTTATTTATTTATTTATTTATTTTCAATAAACTGGTTAGTCGGGCTGAGCATTGAAATGTTCCTCATTGGTCTATGACAGGGTTTGTCAACTTTGAGCGCTTTGAGATGGGTGGACTTCAACTCCCAGAATTCCCCAGGCAGCCCTTTAAGATATCTGGACTTCAACTCCCAGAATTTCCCAGGCAGCCCTTTAAGATATCTGGACTTCAACTCCCAGAATTCCTCAGGCAGCCCTTTAATATATTTGGACTTCAACTCCCAGAATTCCCCAGGCAGCCCTTTAAGATATCTGGACTTCAACTCCCAGAATTTCCCAGACAGCCCTTTAAGATATCTGGACTTCAACTCCCAGAATTCCTCAGGCAGCCCTTTAATATATTTGGACTTCAATTCCCAGAATTCCCTAGCCAGAGCATACTGATTTCTGTTCACACAGAGATAACAGCTCAGCTACTATTGCAACCGTTCAGTTAAATATATATTATTCTATTTTTTTATTTTATTTTTTTAGATAGCCATCTTCATTTGATCCTCTTTCTGTGAAAGTTTACTCTTGGTTTTTGTCCAGATACATAAGGCAAATATATATAGGACCAGGAGTGAAATCCAGCAGGTTCTGGAGAACCGGTAGCGGAAATTTTGAGTAGTTAGGAGAACCGGTAGCAGAAATTTTGAATAGTTCAAGAACCGGCAAATGCCACCTCTGGCTGGCCCCAGAGTGGGGAGGGAATGGAGATTTTGCAATATCCTTTCCCTGCCATGCACGCCAAGCTATGCCCACAGAACCGGTAGTAAAAAAACTTTGGATTTCATCACTGCATAGGACAAATAAAGTTATAAAAAACAATAGTGACTGAAAGATTTTTTTCCACCCAATTACTCTGACAAAGTCTCCAGAGGAAATCAATACTGCAACTTTTCAGTTTCCATGCCCTCCCAATATCTGAGCATTGGGAAAACAAGAAACTCTACACTTTTTTTTTTATTATTATTGAGTAAAAAAAACGCTAGGAGAATGTTAAACATGGGGACAAAGACGCCAAATAATTTTGAAGCGATAGATTGCAGCTGTTTCCACCTATTCTCTTTCAATCTTATTATCTCTGACACAGGAATGTGCTTTCGGGTTTGGGGAAAAGCATGGAATACAGTACAAGGACTCTTAGTTTTCTCCCCATTCCCCTTTACCCCAGCGTTTTCGCTTTTTAATAAAGTATTATTCTTTCGGTCTGCTTTCAATTATTAAAGCGAAATGCAACACGCGTTACGAGAACAATCAGCTCCAGAAATCAATGGCATCCCTTCCAAATGAACTCGACTGATGGCCAGAAGAATCTATTCTACCCCTGCTAACCACACATCCTAACTACCTATCACAACTGTGTGACACAAAAGGCATTTCTAAATCGTGTCAACCCCAGTCTTCCTTCCATGGAGCACACATTCATTAGGACACAATGCAAGTGTCCTAATCTTTCGCCAAATTTCACATCCGGACAGTCAAGGGGGAAGGTAGATGGGTTTGTTGTTATAAAGGTAAAGGTTCCCCTCGCACATATGTGCTAGTTGTTCCCGACTCTAGGGGGCGGTGCTCATCTCCGTTTCAAAGCCGAAGAGCCAGCGCTATCCGAAGACGTCTCCGTGGTCATGTGGCCGGCATGACTCAATGCCAAAGGCGCACGGAACGCTGTTAACTTCCCACCAAAGGGGGTCCCTATTTTTTCTACTTGCATTTTTTATGTGCTCGAGGAAAGCCTCAGAGCCTGGGGAGGGCAAAAACACCCCCCTAATCCTAACCCTAACCCTAACCCCCAAATCCCATTCCTGGCTGGCCCCGCCCCATCCACCCTTCCTCTCCCTGGAGTCCCCACATGGCCCGTTTTGGATGCAGGTAAGTGCAGGGTGCACCCGGAGGCTCGGGGAGGGTGAAAAATGGGCCTAGCGGAAGATCGGGAAGGCCGGAAACTCCCATTTCCAGCCTCCAGCGGGCCTCCGGAGCCTGGGGAGGCCATTTTCGCCCTCCTGGAGACTCAAGGAAAGCCTCCGGAACCTGGGGAGGGCAAAAACACTCCCATGCTGTGGTGCAGGAGGCCGATTAGGCCACACCCACCATGGCCACATCCACCCAGCCACCGGGCAGAGAACCCTTTGCTAAAATTTTTGAAGCCCACCCCTGGATAAACTCCCCCGATGGCTAGACATTGGGAACACAACCCGATTTTAGAAGTGTTGCATTCCCAATTCCTTTTCCAAAATATTATCTCTTTATAGGAGTATAACAATCTTCCTCTAACAGCCTTTATTCCATGACTTGAAAAGGGACAAGATTCCCAGCCCAGTCCTCGGATATGCGTTTAATTGGAAATCTAGGGAACGCAACCCCACAACTCACCTAACACACAAGCTTTCCTCAGGAAAAAAATAATAATAATTCTGATGGCAATTTCATGCTGGAATTTAATCCAGGGCTTCTTTAAATCCTCCACACGCCCCACCTTTCTCCCACAGTCCTCAGGTATTAACGCTTCTCCCTTGGATAAAAATAATTTGGTAGAAAGTATTCATCCCCTTAAAAAAATAATAATAAAAAAAAAATTGTGCCTTGTGTTTTCCCAACGGGTTGTACAAACTGTAGCGAAGTCTTGCAAACCTGAGAAATCGTACAACCCGAATTGCAAACCCTGAGAATATAAGACTATGGTGGAAAAACACAGCGTGTCATTCGGAGACGGCTCCTATGTCCTGTCCATGAGTCGTTAACTGATATAAAATACCTGATTTTTATTTATTTTTTTTTAAAAAAAGGTAACTTAGCTTCAAGAAAGGCTCTCTCGCTTCAGCTAAGTCCCAGTGAGATTAAGGGACGTTGTGATCATTCCAGTTAGAAGCCCGCCGTGGCCTTTTTAGACCTCATTTTGAGAGGGACGGTGGTCACTGCCATTAGGAAACATCATGCTTAAATGGAAGTTCTCCATTGAGATCTAAGAATTAAACGACTGGAAAGGCCTAAATCGCCAGATGGGTGGGAATCGTCTGTTTCAAATATTAAGGACCGCTCGAACAACTAAAGATGAGCGGGGAACTTAGTCAGATTAACAGAATTGGAAGGGATCTTGTAGGTCATCTAGTCCAACCCCCCGCCCAAGCAGGAGACCCTACACCATTTCTGACCGATGGCAGTCCAGTCTCTTCTCAAAAGCCTCCAGTGATGAAGCTCCCACAACTTCTGAAGGCAACTTCTGTTCCATGGGTTGATGGTTCTCACTGTCAGGAAATTTCTCCTTATTTCTAGGTTGAATCTCTCCTTGGTCAGTTTCCATCTATTATTCCTTCTCTGGCCTTCAGGTGCCTTGGAAAATAGCTTGACCCCCGCTTCTCTGTGGCAGCCCCTCAAATATTGGAAGACTTCTATCCTTTCTCCCCTGGTCCTTCTCTTCACTAGACCAGCCATGCCGAGTTCCTGCAACCGTTCATCGTATGTTTTGGCCTCCAGTCCCCTCATCATCCTGGTTGCTCTTCTCTGCACTCTTTCTAGAGTCTCAACATCTTTTTTATAGTTGTGGTGACCAAAACTGGATGCAGGATTCTAGATGTGGTCTTACTTTCTTGAGGACTTTTTTCCCCTCTGACGGTTTAGAACATCCTTAGAAATCGGATGGAGTCGCACGCACGAGAAGAGACTGTACTTAAGAATAAACAATTGCTAAATCGGCTAGAAACCAGGGTGTTGGTATCCCCAAGGACACTTCTAGCTTCAAACTGCTGAGAACATAGACTTCCTCTGGGAATTTCTCCCCGTAGAGAAATTCGTTCTGCCATGAATGACTGCTTCACAAGGGCTGTGAAATCTCTCGGCAAACAAAGACGTTACTCAGGCGTTCAGGAAAGAAGGCAGATCTACCCGAGAAAGCAAGCTTTGGAAAAACAGGGAAACCCTACCAAACTAACGGCCAGGCTAGGTGGCTCAGTGGCTAAGACGCTGAGCTTGTCGATCAGAAAGGTCGGCAGTTCAGCGGTTCGAATCCCTAGTATAGATCTCCCGCTTGAGCAAGGGGTTGGACCAGAGGTGGGTTTCAGCAGGTTCTGACCAGTTCTGGAGAACCGGTAGTGGAAATTTTGAGTAGTTTGGAGAAGCGGTAAATACCACCTCTGACTGGCCCCGCCCCCATCTAGTCTCTGCCTCCCGAGTCCCAGCTGATCGGGAGGAAATGGGGATTTTGCAGTATCCTTCCCCTGGAGTGGGGAGGGAATGGAGATTTTACAGTATCCTTCCCCTGCCACGCCCACCAAGCCATATCACCTCCATGGTCCCTTCCAACTCTGTTACTGTTTACTGTCAATTTAGCCATTCAATGGTTTTTTTTGTCTTCCCCCTCGCACGGAATATGCCTAACTGGGCACCTGGTTTCACTCCAAATGCCCCCCCCCACTTGCCTGAACGTCGAACAAAACAACATTACAATCTTTGTGCAAAAAAAATAAAAATAAATCCCCCAGAACAACTCTGTGCATACTTTGTAAAACTCTTGGTTTCCATGGGGCCATTCTGCTTTGCAAAAACGCTTTCTTTTTTTTAAAAAAAAAAAACAAAAACCCAAGCCCCCCAAAATGGGTGCAAATTTTAAACAATACACTTGCAAGAATTGTGTACCATCCGCAATGGAAGGCCATTCGGCGAGGATCGCAGGGTTTTCTTTTCCTTTTCATTGCAGGAACGAGCGGGGGAAGGGAGGGCAACTTCTGAAATGGGCTTAAGCTTTAGATGGCTCGTAGAAATTGGGAAAGTCAAATATTCGCTTCCTTCATTCCAAAGTCATTTACCAGTTGAACAGGATGTTTTGGCCCAGTGTCATAAAGTAAATTTGGCTGCTGCCACCAGACTGAACCGATGCAAAAAATACCTTGCGGGGAGAGAGAGAGATAAGAAAAGTGTCACTCTAAAAAAGAAAATATTGAGCATAACTTGATAACAGTGCATGGACTTCAGAATGCATAAACATGAAGCCGGCTTCATTTAAACCTAAATGCATAAACATGAACACTTTGATCCAAAGTGTTACCATCGAAAATACAGGCAGTTCTCAACTTACACCCACAATTGAGCCCAGAATTTACATTGCTAAAGTGAGACATTTGTTAAATGAGCCTCGCCCAGGGGTGAAATGCTCCTGGTTTAGACCGGATCGCCTGATCCGATAGCGATGGAGGCAGGTGGTTTGGAGAACCAGTAGCAAAAATCCCTGCGCCCACCCCCCACATGCCCAGCTGAGCCGCACAATCATCAGAGGGTTTTTCTTTTAATTTTTAAAAGCATTTTTTCTACAACCTCTTTGGCCGAAAAAATGCTTTTAAAAGTAAAAAAAAAAAAAGCCTCTGATGATCGCGCGGCTCAGCTGGGATCGTCAGAGGCTTCTAAAAGCATTTTTTCTGTAGCCTCTTCAGAGGTTGTAGAAAAAATGCTTTTAAAAGCCTCTGACGATCCCAGCTGAGTTGCCTGATCGAGGCTTTCTTTTAAATGCCTCTGACGATCCCAGCTGAGTTGCTTGATCGACAGAGGCTTTTAAAAGAAAAAAAAGCCTCTGCCGATCAGGCAACTCAACTGAGATCATCAGAGCCTTTTGAAAGCCTTTTTTTAACAACCTCTTTGCCGAAGAGGTTGTAGAAAAAATGGTTTTAAAAGAAAAAAAAAATTGGCCACGCCCACCCAGTCACATTACACCCCCCCCCCGACCAAGCCACGTCCACAGAACTGGTAGTAACAAATTTTAGATTTCACCACTGGCCTCGCCCCCATTTTACGACCGTTCGTGCCCCAGGTAACAGTTACAGAGTTGGAAGGGACCTTGGAGGTCATCTAGTCCAACCCCCTTATCACGCGGGAGACCTATACTAAGGATTCGAACCGCCAATTGTCAAGTTAGTAACCCGTTGTTAAGCGAATCTGGCTTCCCCATTGACTTCCCCATTGAAATCGCCAAAGGGGATTTCCCCTGACCCCCCGAGACACACTCCGACTGTCATAAATATGTTGTAAGTCCGAGGACTACCTGTATTATGATTGCTGAATACAGCCAGACTTTCAAACAGGATTCTTGGCCGGCGTAAGAGGTGCTAAAAAATGGAAACTTCTACGTGAAGTCTTGTCTGTATAGACCTGACTGCCAACGTTGCTTATGTGCAGTTAGCATGTCTGCGGTTTGTTTCCGCTTAACCGAAATATTTGCAAATAAATCCCAATTTGAAACATTTGGCAGCGTTGAGGCCTCTTCATTTCGGCTTGTTCGATATGTTAATCAGCATCTGATTGTGTCTTTGGCCTTCTGCTTATGTTTTTTCCCCCCCTGTTTCTGGAAGGACATTGCCTAAGGCAAATAATTACAAATATTTGAAAACCTGAGATACGGTTTTCAGTTAATTGCTACTGATCTTTCGGCGTTTTTCTTCCTTATAGGAAGCTTAGAGCATTGAACACAAGGGGGGGAAATGCCATTTTTAGGGGTTACTCTGCTCAAAGAGAGATTGCTGTGAAAAGGCCACCAGAGCTACAATGAAATGAAAGGATGTACCGTATTTTTCGGACTATAAGACTCACCGGAGTATAAGACGACCCAAAATTTCGAAGAGGGAAACAAGAAAAAAATAGTTTTTGGCCTCCGTACGTCCATTTTTTGCCCTCCCCGGGCCCCAAGAGCACTCTGTAGGCCTCCCAAACACTCTGTGCGTCCCGTTTTCACGAAAAACGGGCCTGTTTTTGGTGAAAACAGGATGCGTGGGGTGGAGTTTTGGGAGGTCAAAAATGGCTGTATTCGGTGTATAAGATGCATCAACATTTCCACCCTCTTTTAGGGGTGTATGGTGCCTTATACTCTGAAAAATACAGTATATTTATTCCTTTTGGTCAACAAATGGAGGACATTTCCCAAAGATCTAACAACGCTTGTGGGGTGAGGAGCAATCTCCACCAAGGTTTTTCCCAGCTGGTGTCTTCCACAACCCCATGAAGTTGCCCACCAAAGTGGTACCCATTTATCTACTTGAGGTCATCCACTTTCAAACTGCTGGGTCGGCAAGAGCTGGAGTGTATGACAGGAGCTTGCCCTAGCTAGCCTGTAGCGACAACCGGGTCTCGAACACAAGCCTGCCAATTGTCAGCCCAGTGTCCTAACCTCATGAGCCACCTTGCTCCGTAGACAATATGGGGGGAAAACTCAATCTTTGAACAAGATTGTCATTAGGTTCTTCAACTGGAAGACCTTCTGCCTCTCTTCTAGGAGCACAACTAAAAACACCAGACTCCTCTTCTAGAGCAAGGAGTGGATGAATTGCCTCTCACCCTTCCCAATAAACTACAATGTGGGGGAAATCTAGTCTGCCATCAAGGTTCTCAGAAGGTTCTTCAACCAGAAGACCTTCTGCCTCTCTTCTAGGAGCACAAGTAAAAGCACCAGACTTCTCTTCTGGAGCAAGGGGTGGATGAATTGCCTCTCACCCTTCCCAATAAACTACAATGTGGGGGAAATCTAGTCTGCCATCAAGGTTCTCAGAAGGTTCTTCAACCAGAAGACCTTCTGCCTCTCTTCTAGGAGCACAACTAAAAACACTAGACTCCTCTTCTGGAGCAAGGGGTGGATGAATTCCCTACCACCCCTCCCAACATCTGCATAAACTACAATGTGGGGGAAATCTAGTGTTCTATCAAGATTCTCGGAAGGTTCTCAGAAGGTTCTTCAACCAGAAGATGCCTCGTCTCTCTTCTAGGAGCACAACTAAAAACACCAGACTCCTTTCTGAGGCAAGGGGTGGATGAATCTCTCCTCCCAACCCCTCTCAATTTCTGCACTGTATACCTTATCATTTCTTTCGCAGAGAAATTTCAGCTTCTGGGCTTTCTTATGCATAAACACGCCTTCCAGACATCCCGTTTCCACAGCACGCAGTTCAATTGCTTTTTCACCCCAGCCCATCACCTGATTGGATTGAAGATAAGCTTTTAGAAGGGGAAAAAAAAGAAAGAAAGAAACAGTTAATGGAGCTTTTTGTTAAAAAGAAGAAAAAAAAGTAAAACCACAAAAACAAAGACAAGTGGCGAAGAAAGGGCTGAATAAATGGCTCTCTTCACGGGAAGCTGTTGGCAATAGTAATTTTTTCCTCCTATTTCTGGTATTCGCAGCGAAGGCTCCATCTGATAACAAGAAGAATTACAATCTTGTGCGACTTTTTTAGCCTGGACATATGTCTTACATGTATACCTGGAGCCACATTGTGGGTCCTTTTCAAATTCTGCTTCCAAGGCTTTCACAGGGGTGGAAATGATATATACTTAACTAGGTAGAAGGCTAATGTACTTAACACAGAATAAAGAAGGGATGTGTGTGTGTGTGTGTGTGTGTGTTTATTTCCTGGCTATATTGTTAAGCGGCCAAACATCTTGGCTCTCGTGTGTACCTCGATTTTGACGTTTTAATGCTTTCTACGGTTTTTCTTATTGTTTATTGTTTTAAAATGTTTTTAAATTTTTCTTTTTTTAAAGGGTAGCCTTTTTTAATTGTAGAGGTTTAAATTGTAGAGTTTTTAATTGTAGATGTTCCGGGTTGTAAGCCACCCAGAGTCAAACTGAAATAGAAAAAACAACCGACCAACCAAACCACCCACCCATTCACTCATCAACTCAACCAACTGATCAACCAACCAACCAACCAACCTACCTACCTACCCAACCAACCAACCCAACCCAACCAACCAACCAACCAACCAACCAACCAACCAACCAACCGACTGACCAACCAACCAATCAAACCACCCACCCACTCACTCATCAACTCAACTAACCAACCGACTGACCGACCAACCAACCAACCAAACCAACCAACCAACCAACCCGAACCCAACCCAACCCAACCCAACCCAACCCAACCCAACCCAACCAACCAACGCATCCACCCACCCACCCACCCATTCACTTATCAACTCAACCAACTGACCAACCAACCAACCAACCAACCAACCGACCGACCAACCAACCAACCAAACCACCCCCCACTCACTCATGAACTCAACCAACCAATTGACTGACCGACCAACCAACCAACCAACCAACCAACCAACCCACCAACCAACCCAACCAACCAACCAACCAACCAACCAACCAACCAACCAAACCACCCACTCACTCATCAACTCAACCAACCAACCAACCAAGTAAGTGTCTCTGGTGGCAGAGGAGCCATAAATTCTCAGACAGAGTGGATTCCAATCTCTCTTACCAAAGGACCATTTCCAGGATTTATTGAAGCAACTACAAAGATGAACATCCACTGCCCTTAGTTATTTACAAGTGTCCCTGGTGTGTGGCCTGGTAGTGATCAGCAGAGCTGGTGGCAGATTCAGACAGTGAGGAGGTTGGGGAGGAACATGGGCCAGTCCTGGAGTCTGGGGAAGGCTCTGACGAGTGCTCTGCATCGGAGGCAAAGATGGGGCCAGGGCCATTTGACAGTTGTCAGCTGCCTTCATAGTCGGACATCATTGGGATAGAAGAACAGCTGGCGCCTGTTCCCAGTGTGTGCATGCATAGAGTTGCCAGGAGAAGGGAACAGCTAAGGAACAAAGGTCGACTCAGGAGTAAAGCCACAAGTGGACAGTGAATGGCCCCTCCCATAGGGAATAAAGAGGAGCGAAAGGGGAGGGGAGTTTGCAGGAGACGATGAGTTCAATTCATTAGAGTGAAGATCTGTTCCTGACTTCTTGCCAAGTCTTGTCTGCTACAGAGTGGCATTTGGAAGATATCGGCCTGGCAACTCTCCAAGCCTGATAAAGGTCTGTAGTTGTGAAATCTCTGGAAAGACTGTTGGCCGGGACTTTGCTGGAGAGGAATTCCCTTTAAACTAAATAAAAAAGGGGTTTCATCGAGACGAGGAGTCGGCTTCGTGCTTTTGGGAAGTCTAGGTCAGAACAGCTATTTTCTTGATTGGAGATCCCATCTCCTTTCCTAAGATGTAGCTACACCTCCAGCAAGATGAGACAGGAGAAGACACCAAGATCCTTACGAGCTTATTTTCCTTCTTTGCACATCCCTCTTTTCTCTCTCTCTTTCTCTCTCTATTATCGCCACCTATTTCAATCTGAAGCTCAAAGTCAGGGGCGGTGTGGTTTATATGAATTGGCAAACCTCGCAGGGAAAGCTTTCCAGCTGACATAAGGAGAGGAACGCTTTCATAAATAACTGGTTAGATAACATTTCCAGATGTTGACTGCCATCCAAAAATACGGACTGTTTGTTCCCGCCGAGGCAAGCCTGAGCTTGCCCCTTCTACCGTCAGGCTGCAATCCCAGAGCTGCAGCTTCCTATAAATAGATGATGGCATCTGTTGCTTGGGCCTCCTGATCTCCGTGATGTAGCTGGGAGGGGAAACAAAAATGAAGCCTATCGTGTGTTTCCCTACCCAGCTGGTTTTTTTCCTTGATAGTTCCTAGATCGGGGAATAGTTTTCTGATGGATTGTTTGTCTGGTGTCAATCCCTGCTTATCTGGATGTTGGCTGCTGGAGTGGATGTGTTCTGGTCTTAAATAGGGAGCAAACCCTATTTGCTCCCTATTTATTCAAGGGCCTGGTGGCTCAGCAGACTAAAAGCATTGCGATTAACACCAGCTGTCTGCAATTACTGTAAGTTCGAATCTCACCAGGCTCAAGGTTGACTCAGCCTTCCATCCTTTCTAAGGTAGGTAAAATGAGGACCCAGTTTGTGGGGGCAATAAGCTGACTTTGTATAAATATACAAAAGTATGAAGGCTATTGTTTAGCGCATTGTAAACCGCCCTGAGTCTCCGGAGAAGGGCGGCATATAAATCAAATTAAAAAAAAAACCAACGAGGTGAAATCCAGCAGGTTCTAGAGAACCGGTAGCAGAAATTTTGAGCAGTTCAGAGAACCGGCAAATACCAGCTCTGGCTGGCCCCAGAGTGGGGTGGGAATGGAGATTTTACAATATCCTTCCCCCAGGAGTGGGGAGAGAATGGGGATTTTGCACTATCCTTCCCCTGCCATGCCCACCAAGCCACGCCCACCAATCTACACCACGCCCACCAAGCCACGCCCACAGAACCAGTAGTAAAAAAAATGGATTTTACCACTGGAGCAAACCACACCCTCACTAGCACTGATGAGGCTACCTAGTCAGGTAATGAAATGTCTTCCTTGGTAGTTCCTAGATCAGAGTACTGTTTTCTGCTTGATTGTTTGTCTGGCATTAATCCCTGCTTATCTGGATGTTGGTTGCTGGAGTGGATGTATTCTGGTTTAAACAAGGAGCAAACCCCACTTCCTTCTACCACTGATGAGGTTACCTAGTCAGGTAATGAAATGTCTTCCTTGATCAGGGTATTGTTGTCTGCTTGATTGTTTGTCTGGTGTTAATCCCTGCTTATGGGAGGTGCTGTTTACTGGAATGGATGTGCTCTGGTCTTAAACAGGGAGCAAACCCCACCCTCACTAGCAGTTGTGAGGTTACCTAGTCAGGTAATGAAATGTCTTCCTTGGTAGCTCCTAGATCAGGGTATTGTTTTCTGCTTGATTGTTTGTCTGGCATTAATCCCTGCTTATCTGGGTGTTGGCTGCTGGGTAGCATGTATTCTGGTCTTAAACAACACCACCCTCACTAGCCGTGATGAGGTTACCTAGTCAGGTAATGAAATGTCTGCAAGGAAATTACCAAGCTCAGAGACCACCAAGGCCTCCACAATTCAACCCTGAGCTACAGAGATTATCTTCCATTAGAAAAATTGGTGCAGCCATGCTCTTAATTCCATGGGAAATCTAAATCCAGATCAAGGTATTGTTTTCTGCCTGATTGTTTGTCTGGTGTCCATCCCTGCTTATCTGGGTGTCAGCTGCTGGAGTGGATACGTTCTGGTTTTAAACAGAGAGCAAACCCCACCCTCACTAGCCCTGATGAGGTTACCTAGTCAGGTAATTAAATGTCGGTAAGGCAGATTACCAAGCTCAGAGACCGCCAAGGGCTCCACAGTTCAACCTCGAGCTATGGAGCCGAGGTGGCGCAGTGGTTAGAGTGCAGTACTGCAGCTACTTCAGCTGACTGCTAGTTCAGCAGATCAGCGGATCAAATCTCACCAGCTCAAGGTTGACTCAGCCTTCCATCCTTCCGAGGTGAGTAAAATGAGGGCCCAGATTGTTGGGGGAAATATGCTATTTAGTATACTGTCTTTGGTGTAAGCCGCCCAGAGTCCTCGGAGAGTGGGCGGCATAGAAATATGAGTAATAAAATAAATAATATAATAAATAATAAATACAGAGATTATCTTCCATTAGAAAAACGGTTGCAGCCATGCTCCTAATTCCTTGAGTTATCTACGTTTCTTGGGGATCCAGAAAAAATATCCCTAAATTTCATAGAAGGCAGACAATGTGTGTACCATTACCCAAACTGACTGAAGCAAAAAAAAAAAAAAAAGTCCACTTCTAATGATATTCCTGCCGTCTTGTTTTCAAAGTATCGGCCTCTTTTGTCCCTGCATTTCAGCTCTGCATCTTTTGAAGAGTCAACAACTTAAATACGGTAGCTTCACCACTTTAATTTCCCTCCGGAGTTAAAGTTTCCTTGTTCCAATTACTAGAATGACTCCCTCAGTCTAGCCTGCCTTAAATTCTTAAAGAGCCTCCCTATGTTTCATTTCTTGAACCGTATTGATCATTTTATGCCTCTCCGCCGGTTTAAATTTTTTTTTGCAAATTGCTTTATTTTATTGGTAGCGTTCATGACGCAGCAGCTGGTCGAAATAAGTCATAAATAGGAGTGGGGGACGTGCGAAGGGCTCAACTTAGTTTTCCGAAGCACCAGAAGCAGGACAAGAAACAACGGATGGAAACGTAATCAAGGAGAGAAGCAACTTGGAATTAAGGAGAAACTTCCTAACAGTGAGGACAATTAACCCGTGGAATGGCTTGCCACCAGAAGTTGTGGATCGTTCATCACTGGAGGTTTTTAAGAAGAGACTGGGCAGTACAATTTTTTATTTTTAATTTGATTTATATGCCGCCCTTCTCCGGAGACTCAGGGCAGCTTACAATGCGTTAAGCAATAGCCTTCATACTTTTGTATATTTATACAAAATAAGCTTATTGCCCCCATAATCTGGGTCCTCATTTGTCTATAATGGTCATAGGTTCTCCTGCTTGAGCAGGGGCAAGGGTGAAATCCAACAGGTTCTGGAGAACTGGTAGCGGAAATTTTGAGCAGTTCGGAGAACTGGTAAATACCACCTCCGGCTGGCCCCAGATGGGGTGGGCATGGAGATTTTGCAATATCCTTCCCCCAGGAGTGGGGTGGGCATGGAGATTTTGCAATATCCTTCCCCCAGGAGTGGGGTGGGCATGGAGATTTTGCAATATCCTTCCCCCAGGAGTGGGGTGGGAATGGAGATTTTGCAATATCCTTCCCCCAGGAGTGGGGAGGGAATGTAGATTTGCAGTATCCTTTCCCTGCCATGCCCACCAAGCCACACCACGCCCACAAAGCCACGCCCACAGAACCGGTAGTAAAAATATCTGGATTTCACCACTGAGCAGGGGGTTAGACTAGAAGACCTCCAAGGTCCCTCCCAGCTCTATTCTGATTGATGGATCAGAATAGCCTCCTGAAACAGTGTGGCTTTTACCTTTGATGGGATACCTACTGTAGTCATACCTGAGACAACGTTTCCTCAAAAAGATAACAACGGAGGCTGCCTTGAACCGTAAGCAATATTTAGAGAAAAACAAAGACGACGCTTTTAGGTGAGGGGGGAAAAAGCTGGTTTTTTCATCCCTGCTTTTTTCTTTTTTCTAAAAATGCCTTCTTTCTTTTCACTCAACATTTATTACAGTTCATCGATCCTGAGTTTTTTTCCCCCCTGCCTCTGTTGCTTCCATCCTTGCTCTTCCTTTCCAACCTCAGACCTGATTTCTGAAACAGCTGGGAGGCAATTCTCTACTTTAATAGGAAAAAAAAAATAAATCAAATATTCTGCCTTATCAGCTGCACATAGTACCAAAAAAAGAAAAGAAATAAATCTACAGCATTCCAGGTTCCTTCCAGTATTATTTTAGCGAGCTGTAACCTAGCCTGCTTCCTCTAGGAAATATTTTTAAAATTTCCAGACAGGTTTCGATACCAAAACCTAGGATTTTTTTCTCATCTAAAACCCACTCGCTAATAGTACTTTTATCTCGGAGAACTTCGCACCTTGCAGCTAATGCTAGATTGTCAGATGCGAGAACTTGACATTATACAGACAGTGTTAAACATTAATGTACCAGGGAGGACAATTGCCTTGACGTGTGTTAATTAGTTCATGCCGTTCTGATTCTTAATTTAAAAAAAGGGGGGGAAAAAATCATTGGGAAGGTGAAGTATTGTGACAACGGCAACACCATAGAGGAAGTAACTTGACTTGCTCTACGAAGTAACAAGAGAAGAGAATATCTGTAGCTCAGGACTGAACTATTGGGGTCCTCGCTGCTGTCTGAGCTTGGTCGTTTTCTGGCAGACTTTTCAGTTTTTGTTTTTTTTTGTTTTTTTAATTTGATTTATATGCTGCCCTTCTCCGAAGACTCAGGGCGGCTTACAATGTGCTCAGCAATAGCCTTCATCCTTTTGTATATTTATACAAAGTCAGCTTATTGCCCCCACAAACTGGGTCCTCATTTCACCTACCTTAGAAAGGATGGAAGGCTGAGTCAACCTTGAGCCTTGGCGAGATTCGAACCCTGCAGTAATTGCAGGCAGCTGGTCTTAATAAGCTTAATAACAGGGTGCCTTAAACCCCTGTACTACAAGTTACTCAAATAGGTAACATCGTCAGTGCTAATGAGTGTGATGTGTGCTCTCTATTTATATACAGTAGCTTGTCCTGACAGTGTTGGTGGGAGTGTGGTTTTCTCCTTGGTAGTGATGTTCTGTCCCCAACCACACGCACACACACCAACAGACGTTCAAGAGTTAAAGACCAAACCAGCCAGCAAAATCCTTTTCCTTATGATAACGGAACTTGGCAACAACCTAGTGGCTGCCTGCCAAGAGTTTATTATTTACGAAGAGGAGAGATAACTTCTCCCTACTCCTGGTACATCAAAAGAAACAGCTCAATAATTACGGAGTCATCAAGTCCAGAGATAATCCAGCAAAGTCTATAACAAAAAGTCCGGCAATGCACAATGGCGTGGAAGCTTTCAGCTTTGTTCGTCACAAGGTTTGACTGGCCACCACGCTCCCTTTTATATCCTGTGGGGTGTGGTCCAGTGACTCAGCCTAATCTCGGGCACGCTCTTTCTTCTGTTGCACGCGCTTATCTCTGTGATGCTGGCGTGGATCCAGCCAAGACTCATTACCCTCATCACTGTCCATCTGTGGCTGCGTGGATGTGCTTGGCCGCGGCCCTATCTCTTGCCCTTCGGCGGACACCGAAGGCATTGCCAGAGAGGAGGGTCCTGGAGAGGGAGGCCTTGCCAACTCCTCTCCTTCACTCTTGGAGTCCTCTCCTGCCGATGACACAGGCTCAGGTAACGGAGCCACAACACTTTCTGTGATTAGGGTATTGTTTCCGCTTGACTGTTTGTCTGGTCTTAATCCCTGCTTATCTGGATACTGGCTGCTGGAGAGGGTCTGTTCTGGTCTTAAACAAAGAGCAAAACCCACTCCTTTCACCACTGAATTTGTTACCTGGTTGGGTAATGAAATGCCTGCAAGGGTAACTACACTAAGAGAGCACCAAGGACCTCACAGTCCTCTTCCTCCCCCCATCTTCTCTTCCTTTTTGCAAACCTCACTTCCCTTCAACCTCTGAAGTTGTCAACTAGTTGGGTAGTGCCAAAGTCCAGTTGCTTCTTGAAAAAAAAAGCACCTTTAGAATAACCATTACCTGGACGACTGAGAATCTCCATAGACATTTAGTTGGGTAGTGAAATGTCTCCAAGAAAACAGCCATACTCAGAGAGCCATAAGGGCCCCACAATCCCGCTTCTCCTCCTCTTTGCAAACCCCACTCCCTTCTAGCACTGATGATGTTCCCCAGCTGGGTAATGAAACATCTGCAAGAAAACAACCAATAAGTACCAAGGACTTCGAAGGAACAAGAATCAATGTGATTTGTCCACTCCCATCAGAGATGGTAATTCAGCAGGTTCTGACCAGTTCTGGCGAACCGGTAGTGGAAATTTTGAGTAGTTGGGAGAACCGGTAAATGCTACCTCTGACTGGCCCCGCCCCCGTCTATTCTCTGCCTCCCGAGTCCCAGCTGATCAGGAGGGAATGGGGATTTTGCAGTATCCTTTCCCTGGAGTGAGATGGGAATGGAAATTTTACAGTATCCTTCCCCTGGAGTAGGGTGGGAATGGAGATTTTACAGTATCCTTCCCCTAGAGTGAGGTGGGAATGGAGATTTTACAGTATCCTTCCCCTGCAGTGGGGTGAGAATGGAGATTTTACAGTATCCTTCCCCTGGAGTGGGGTGGGAATGGAGATTTTACAGTATCCTTCCCCTGGAGTGGGGTGAGAATGGAGATTTTGCAGTATCCTTCCCCTGGAGTGGGATGAGAATGGAGATTTTACAGTATCCTTCCCCTGGAGTGGGGTGGGAATGGAGATTTTACAGTATCCTTCCCCTGGAGTGGGGTGAGAATGGAGATTTTACAGTATCCTTCCCCTGCCACGCCCACCAAGCCACGCCCACCAAGCCATGTCACGCCCACCAAGCCACGCCCACAGAACCAGTAGTAAAAATATCTGAATCCCACCACTGATTCCCATATATGGTAGGTGCCGAAAACACGTTTAGACGAGGAGCTGCAAACCTGGGCACATTCGCAATCAGTGACACATTCACACGTACAGGGAAATCTTGGTTCTTGTGGGTCTTCTACTCCCAGTCCATTCATACGTACCTACTGAGGTGGGCATTTCTCCCCACTGCAAAATGTTTTCTTTGGAGAAGTGCCCATAGATGTTAAGGTAGACTCCTTCATCTTCATAAGCCAGTAGAAGTTCCATGCCACTGGTGTTCCGGAGAATGATAATAGCATGCGGATGAATATTTCCCTGGATCTGGAATAACATTTGACAAAAGATTTACATCACGGAACAAGTTACAACTTAAGTAACTATAGTCCATCAATTTAGGTATCATGACACTGCATTAAAAATCAACCAGCTTGGAGATCTGAGAAGCGCTGAAGATTTATCTCTTTGAAAACGTCGATGTATGTTTCTTCCATGTTCGGAGCCGATACAAAGGCGAAAGACATTTCTTTCTTCCTTTAATATCAACTCTGAGCTGCTGCTACCTGAGAAAAAGGTATTTCTTTTATCCCTCTTTAAATATCAAAGATCGCCTCGAAGCTTCTATTCAGTATTTGCCTTTGAATTCGGTGAGTATCATGTTGTGAAAATAAATAAAAACCCAGGGTAATTTGAATGCAGTAGGACGTGCAATCGCATTGTAAAAATGATTGTAAAGGGCACTTTAGCATAGAAATTATCCTGTTAAAAATTCTTACGAACATTACAGAATTATAGAAAGCAGACTAAAAATAAACGACGATAAAGCAATAGATTGCATAAAAAAAGCACAGAGGCCGACCGAGATTATTCTAACGATAAAGTTTTTGTTTCTCAGTTCGGTTCTCAATCATTTCCTAACACGGCGTACATAACTTATAAGTTTAGGTGGGGAGGGCATTTCGTTCTATAACTTTGCATTAATTCACTAGCAACTACTAAAACTTCAGTTCTTTCTGAAAACGCGGGGGGGGGGGGCGCGGAGAACTAGAATCACAAAATTGGTGTACGAGATAGTTAGAAAGGTGATTCAACGAAATGGCAATACTGAAGCATTTTGTATGCATTTTATTTACCAATATACGAGGGGAGCAATGTAAGCAAAAAAATTAATGCATTGTGTGTTTTTTAAAAAATACACTACATGACTTCTGGTTCAACAGATCTGTAAACAGCGCAACAATACCAGGAAAGCAATTTGCATTACTAGAATAATTTATTCCAGCATTTTTGTAGGCCTAAACCTAACCTTGACAGAAAAAGAGAGGCCACTTCATTTTATTATACGCATATTTTTTTACTTCATCCTTACTTTTTACCTCTGGAATATATGTCTCTGGAATTGCCTGTTTTTCTACTTTTTGCCTGGACCAACGCTGATGATTGCTGGGCAAAAGTTTTGCAACACACAAGAGAAACACTGTGCCTCAGTCTGGAAGGTTTTTTTTAGACATTTGATAGACTTAGGAGAACCAAGGGAGAATGGTGTCTGAGGGAGACATGATTATCCAAAGAGAGAGCATTGACACTTGCTCCTTGACTGCCTCATCACTAGAAGGACATCACCCATGAGATGTCCACCAGAGTGATCTTCTGCATCGGAACAGATGGCGAAACTCCATCTGCTTTCATCCAAGAAAAGGGACATGGGTGAAAAACAAAAGGCAGATTTGTTTACTGCATGACATTATTCAAAACATGATCGACAACGTCCGATGTGGATATGGAAGAAGAAGGAGAAGGAGAAGGAGAAGGGGAAAGGGAAGGGGAAGAAGAAGAAGAAGAAGAAGAAGAAGAAGAAGAAGAAGGAGAAGGAGAAGGAGAAGGAGAAGGAGAAGAGGAGGAGGAGGAAGAAGAAGAAGAGAAGGAGGAGGAGGAAGAGGAAGGGGAAGAGGAAGAAAAAGGAAAAAGAGAAAGGGAAGGGGAAGGAAGGAGAAGAAGGAGAAGGAGAAGATGACATTATGGGAGATAGTCAAATCAGATGCTTAGGAGAGTCTGCGGATGGATTTCCCCTCTTTTCATCTTTCAAATCAACATCTGGGAAGAAGAAGATTGGGGTTAAACCTGCTCCCCACAGGTTCCTTTAAAGAAATCCTTGCCAGGTGGGAGATTCCTTGTTGGGACATGACCTTCTACATGATCTGGCCTTCTCCTTTCACCTACAACAAGTAGCTCCTTTGAGGAGAGCTGGAATTTAAATCAGGATAACGTCAATTCTTTTCTCCTAACATCACATCGTCCTCTGATCTGGTTTGATGCAGAGAAAAATCCCTATTTAATATAGCCTAAGTCCCAGTGGTTCTCTGGTTCAGTTCCAGCTATGCTCCAGCTTTACTCCTCTCTCTCTCTAAATAAATACACACATTGGTTGAAGGTCATCTAGAGGCTTATATATAAGACGCATTAAAACCCACAGATAACAACGCAGGCAGGAGAAACAAGTTGTGTTTAAAAACACCAAAACAAAACCCTCTTTGGCACACCTTCCATCCAGATGCAGAGAAATCTTTCAGAGTTTCACGCTATAAAATTTTCAGGGAGCTTTAAGCAATTTAGAATATATAACTTCTCAAATCCTAGCAGGCTTCTCAAGAGAGAGAGAGAGAGAGAGAGACAGAGACACAGAGAGAGAGAGAGACAGAGACAGAGACAGAGAGACAGAGAGACAGACAGAGAGACAGACAGACAGACAGAAACAGGGAGGGAGGGAGGGAGAGGGAGGGAGACAGAGAGAGAGAGAGAGAGAGAGAGAGAGAGAGAGAGAGAGAGAGAGAGAGAGAGACATAGACACAGAGAGAGAGACAGGGAGGGAGGGAGAGAGAGGGAGGGAGGGAGAGAGAGAAAGAGAGAAAGAGAGAGAGCGGATTTTCAGCAGCATCCATAAAGTGAACACTTCACCGTTATAAAAAAAAATCAGAAGGTAAAATTAATTCTGCAGACAATCCCACCTCTACAGTACAAGAGACACAAGCTGCTCAAAATCTAATTAAGTTGGAATGGATGGCTACGATTTGTGTTTTTTTTATACAATGAACAAGCCCAGGATTGCAAAGCACCCAGGCCTATTAAAGGCCTTCATGCAATTCTTAGACTTAGAATAACTTTATTGTCACTTTAAATGTACACTAATCGGCATACATTAAAATGCAATTTCGTTGCATACAGCTCTCAAAGGGTCACCACCTCCAATATGCACTACATGAACATGGCAAAATGAATGAATGAATGAATGAGTGAATGAAATAAATACAAAATTATGCATATAGCCAAATATATGACACAGAGAAGCAACACAGTCTAGTTCAGATGTATACATGTACATGGCAAGAGAAACAAATCTTGTGAGTTTACCAGACGGATGGCCTAGGGAACAAAGCTGTTTCAGAATCCTGCAGAATACTTCGAAATACTTTGAAACTTCCTCCCAGAGGGGAGTAACAGAAACAGACCATGGAGTGGGTGTGTAGGGTCCCTAACAATGCTTTGAGCTCTAAGCACATAGCACTTACAAGCAGCATCCTGAATAACGGGATGCGAGTTTCCTATAATCTTCTCCGCTGTCCTCACCACTCTCTGTAGGGACTTTCTATCTGAGGCACTGTGGCCACCAAACCAAACAGGGACGCGGTTTGTTAAAACGCTTCTAATTGCTAAGCAAACCTTGCAAAATAAGGAAAAGCACAAGAAACCCCACTTGCTGGACGTACTTGCTCACTCATGTAGTCTGGGATGACTGCCGCAACTATCCGCAACACCAAAATAGGGATCCAGAGCCGGAAAGCTATTTTAATATGCTGCCTCGGGTTGAGCTGCATGAGCAATCGAAGCACAGAAGCCGAAAGCAAGAAGGCAAAAGAGAGAGAGAGAGAGAGAGAGAGAGAGAGAGAGAGAGAGAGAGAGAGAGAGAGAGGGAGAGGTTCAGAGTCAATGTGTTCAGTCCGTTGGCTTTCAAAGATGCCGGCTTCCAAATGGAGAATTTCGGAAGAGAATTATTCACGTCTCCAATCCTGACAGCTACAGCTCAGGAGGAGGAGGAGGACAGTAATCGTTCTTCAATTTCTACCCTCTTGAGGGAAGGTGTATTTTTAGTGTGTTCCATCTTAGTGGTGACAAGCGAGCCGAAATCGGAGCCAGACGTCTCCTAGGGGAGACCCCCTATTGAGGGCAACCGACAGGGAAAGATTGCTCCTCGCGCAGATAATTGAATTGGGAGTTTGCTGCCGAAACCAATCTTTTCTTCAGAAACATTATCCCTTTTCATTGGCTGGTTTACTTTTTATTCAGGACATCCGATGACCTCTTTAATCTTCACACAATGTCCTAAAACCGACTTATTTTGCGTGGGCTTAAGGGAAGGATTCAAAACGAACCTGGAACTACGCAGTATAAGTAAGTCCTCGGACTTACAAACACAATTGAGCCCAATGGTTCTGTTTCCAAAGATGTCATTTAAAATCAACCCGTCTCAACCTGATGCCCTGCAGATGGGTTGACGTCCCAGCAAAAGCCAAGAAACCCTGGAGAATTCTGGGAATTGAGGCCCACACATCAGGAGGATACATGAGTGGGGAAAATTGTCCTACATAATAGCAATAGCAATAGCGCTTAGACTTTACAGTGCTTTCCATCCCTCTCTAAGTGGTTTACAGAGTCAGCATATTGCCCCCAACAATCTGGGTCCTCGGAAGGATGGAAAGCTGAGTTAACTTTGAGTTGGTCAGGATCGAACTCCTGGCAGTGGGTAGATTTAGTCTGCAATACTGCATTCTAACCACTGGGAAGGAAAGAAGGAAGGATGGAAGGAAGAAAGGAGGGAGGGAGGGAGGGAGGGAGGGAAGGAAGGAAGGAAGGAAGGAAGGAAGGAAGGAAGGAAGGAAGGAAGGAGAAAAGGAAAAGCAATAGCACTTAGACTTATATACCACTTTACAGTGCTTTAAAGCCCTCTCTAAGCAGTTACAGAGTCAGCCTCTTGCCCCCAACAATCTGGGTCCTCATTTTACTGACCTCGGAAGTCTGAGTCAATCTTGAGCCTGGTGAGATTCAAATTGCCAAATTGCAGGCAGCCGGCAGTCAGCAGAAGTAGCCTGCAGTACTGCACTCTAACCACTGCGCCACCATGGCTCATCATCATCATCATCATCATCATCATCAATCAATCAAGCTGGATAGTTAAAAATGCTACACCAACATCTAGTAGAGTCTATATCTAAACTCCCATGGTCTGGAAAGTTCACGCAGATCATTAAAAATGTCTCCAAAGGAGATACTTACATGTGTCGGCAAATATAGGTCATACACCGAGCCAGAGTCCACATCAATGGCATGAAATCCTACGGCTGACCCATAGATAACTTTCAGCCGCTGCCCGTTCTCCACAGTCAAATCAACCAAAAGTGGTTTTTGAGGAAGCGAGGCGAAAGACTGCAGAAAGACAGATCAATACATTTGGCTTTATTATCGGGATCCCGATGACCCTGCAGTTATGAACTTGGGTCTGAGCAGATTCCCACGACCATCAATGTCCAACTGAGGGACTCAAATGTGCAAGATGATGGGCGTGGCATTGCACGTGTGGTATTGATGCCCATACGAAAGGGGTGGTGGCCACGGATGGTGACCCCGCAGCTGCCACCTTGCTGATCTTGACACCACTCCATGTGACTCAAACTCCCTGCCTACGCATGTTCCAACTTTCTTATGAAGTAGACACAATGAAAACAGAGACAGAATTGACATACTGGTAGGTAGAAAGGCAGATACAGGCTGAAAAAGTCAGGCACAAAGGATCAGAACAACACAAAAGATTTATTCAAGCCTACACACAAGAATCTACCCAATTATGTTATCTAATTCTGGGTTTTATTTAATTGACCAAACTAAGTAATAATTTTAATTAGCAATTTTATGATGTTTGTGTGTCTATATTTTTCTTGACTGTACACCGCTTTGAGTCCTACGGGAGAAAGGCGGTATAGAAATATAATAAATAAATAAATAAATAAATAAATAAATAAATAAATAAATAAATTAACGGTCAGCATTAAATTGGTGCCAGATAAAGGTCAGTGGAGCAGGGACTCGGTGGCTCAGTGGCCAAGATGCTGAGCTTGTCGATTAAAAGGTCGGCAGTTCATCGGTTCGAATCCCTAATGCCGCGTAACGGGGTGAGTTCCCGTGACTTGTCCCAGCTTCTGCCAACCTAGTAGTTCGAAAGCACGTAAAAAATGCAAGTAGAAAAATAGGGACCGCCTTTGGTAACAGCGTTCTGTGCGCCTTTGGCGTTGAGTCATGCCGGCCACATGACAACGGAGACATCTCCGGACAGCGCTGGCTCTTCGGCTTTGAAACGGAGATGAGCACCGCCCCCTAGAGTTGGAAACGACTAGCACATATGTGCGAGGGGAATCTTCAATTTTACCTTAAGGGTCAATGGAATTCAAGGGAGGCTAGATTCGGAACATTTGTGGCAAAGTCAGGATTCTAAGCTGATGACACATTTAACTCCGCCTCCCCCAGCTCTACATGAAAAGCAAATCAGTTAAGAGTTTGGATAAACCTAAGCATGGATTTAAAACAGATTTGCACCACTTCCCTATCACAACTGCCCTCCACCCTTCTACAAATCCGACAAAATGCAATCGGTTGAAAATCCTTTCACTTCGATTCCTTAGCCTCCTTCGCAAGCCAAATATTCCCAGGACCCTCAACAAAAAGGCACTAATTGGATTGATTTTAAGTTCTGTCGTTTACCTTAAAAGCCATAAATTTGTGATACGGCTTGGGAGCCCAGGCGTAGACTTCCACCGAATTCTTCACGGCAATCACCAGGAACTTGATCCTCTCGTATTTCACTGGAAGGCAATCATTTCTTTTTTAATTGGCTGGGCATAAAGATTGAGAGAGAATTCCAAATCACTGTTTAAACAGCCAGGGCATGTAGCCGAATGTAACAGGATTTTGATCTACGATGCCGTAGAGAGTTGAGGGTCACGCAAAGACCTTGGTCGGTTTATCCCAGGATTCCAGCTCCTGGATCTACTACCATTCCTGATTTGCATATTCATTCGGGAATAATTCAAAGCTAAAACGAACGGAAAGTAATCAAGCCCCAGCGGAATCATTATGTAATGACTTATGTTAAAAACAGAGCATCAGCGATAATATAAATCTCGGTAAGATATTATCTCAATAGCCCCCTTCTCATTCTACAGATTGTGTGCAAATAACTTGTCTCAGCACACTGTATATAGTCGTAAGATATATTCCGGGATCCTGCGTTGAACAAACAAGGGTTGCATTAACCTCCAAATCTAGATTGTGCCAATAAATAAACAGATTGGTTTCTGTCATATATTTCTGTCGCGAAATTGCTTCTGTATATATATATATATATATATATTTTTGCCGCATCTCACGTGCCCATAATAGTCTAATCCAGGGGTATTAAAATCAAGGCCCGGGGCCCAGATTTGGCCTGTGGGGTGCTTAGATCTTGCCCACAGGGCCACCCTGGAAACAGCGAGGGACTGGCCCACAGTGCCTCTACCAGAGAAAACGGAACTCGGGAGGGTCGCGTGCAGCCTTCCCAATCTCCGTTTTCACTGGCAGAGGATTGCAGGAGGCCGTCGCAGCTGAAAACGGAACTCGAGAGCCTGTTTTCGCTGGCAGAGCCCTCGGGCTACCACCTGCGCCCCAGACATGAGTGACGTCGAGTTGGCCACTCCCTGACCCTTATTTTAATGGTGTTTGGTGCCCTTCCAGGGAAAGGAGACCCTCACCAACTTTGTAGTGTACACAGCCTTCTAGGTCGCCCACCGAGACCCAGCCTTGTCGTTTCTCCACGTCGGGATCGTTCCGCAAGATCTTGTTTCGTAGCCAAGACAGATAATACACCCGTAGCTTATTCTTTTTGCCTACACGGATTGGAACAGAAGCAGAAAAAAAAAGAGGAGCATATTAAACATACTTCTGCAGACAATTACATCACTATCATGGTGGTGCTAAGCTGGACCTTAGAATCATAGGGCTGGGAGGGACCTTGGAGGTCTTCTAGTCCTACCCTCTGCTCAAGGCAGGAGTCCTTATACCATCCTGGACAAATGGCTGTTCAATCTTTTCTTGAAAACCTCCATACCTGTTCTGTTGATTAATCATTCTCCCTGTCAGGAAATTCCTCCTTATTTCCAGGCGGTATCCCCCTCTGATGAGCCTCCATCAGTGGTGGGATTCAACCGGTTCGCAGCACGACGGACAAACCGGCTGTTAAATTGCTGGCTGGCCCAGCCCCTCCCCTCCCTTTCCAGAAGTCCCCACGCGCTCCGTTTTGGCTCCCAGGTAAGTGCAGGGAGTCCTACTAGGCCCAAAACGGGGCACGGGGAGGTGCAGCATGGCCCCCCATGGCCTATTTTTGCTCCTAGGAGGCTGCAGGGATGCCTACTAGGCCCAAAACAGGACACAGGGGATATGGTGCAGCCCCCCAGCCTGTTTTTTTCTCCCAGGGGCTGCAGGGAATCCTACTAGGTCCAAAACGGGGCACAGGATGGTGCAGCGCGGCCTCTGCGGCCCGTTTTTGCTCCCAGGGGAGTGCAGGAGGCTGAATGCTGCCTGTCACAACCCCTGGCCACGCCCACCATGGCCACACCCATCCAGCCGGTCATTAGGGCAGAGAACCGGTTGTTAAATAAACCATTGGCTTCCATCCATTGCTTCAGCTGCTCTGGAAAATAAATCGATCCCTTCTTCCCTTGCGACAGCCCTTCAAGTATTGGAACATGCTATCCGATCTCCCTTAAGCCTTCTTTTTGTTAGGATAAACATACCTACTGTGTTTCCCCGAAAATAAGACCCCGTCTTAAATTTTTTTTGAACCCCGAAATAAGCATTTGGCCTTATTTTCGGGGAGGTCTTGTTATTTTGGGGTGCATGGAGGAAAGCAGAGGAAATGACAGGGACCGGCATGCATTTAAATATTTTCGGGGAGGGCTTATTTTCAGCGGAGGGCTTATTTTAGTGCATGCGCTCAAAAGCCCAATTGGGCTTATTAACAAGGGATGTCTTATTTTCGGGGAAACAGGGTACTTCCCTTAACCATTCATTGTATGGTGTAGTCTTCAGATCCCTGATCATCAAATTCAAATCTTTATTGTCAGTGCACAACGTATGTACAATGAGATGTTGGTTGAGCTCCCTCAGTGCACCCCTCCCCTCCAACACAATACAACTCACAGTGAAGACAGAAAATCCCTAACCCAATAAATCATATCAACAAAACACCCAGTCCTATTGCACCGGTGTGAACATGTTGCAAATTGCACCGGCCATGCAGTCCATCATACTACGTAGTGATGATGTTATTTCTCATCCAGAAGTCGGACAGCCCACGGATAAAAACTCTTCTTCAGCCTGTTTGTGAGGCTGGCTATACTTCTATATCTCCATCCCGATGGTAGGAGGGTAAAGAAGGGATGACCAGGGTGAGAGTCGTCCCTGAGATTTTTCCTCACTCTTTTAAGGCAGCGAGCCCTAGAGATCTCATCTAGTTGTATCAAGGAACAACTCACAATGTTTTGTGCTGGGCTCACCACCCTCTGTAGTCTTTTTCTATCCGCGGCTGTCAGACCGGCATGCCATACCGTGATGCAATAAGTGAGAACTTACCATCTTCATAAAGTTTGGCAAGGGTTGACATTTTATAATCCACTTTATAGTCTAATCCTCCCCCTCTCTCATTACTTGATTTTGAATGTTAGGCCAGAAGTTTTTAGACAAGCAAACAAACCTGAGATGGTAATTAGCACGTTCAGTCCTTCCAACACGTCCATCTGTTGAAAGCGTCTCCTGCTAATCAAGGAGTAAACGCGACCTTGTCCACTCCGGTCCAGAAGCCACAATCCGTTTTCGGATCCAACTAGTAAATTCACCCCTGTTGACGTGCAAAGAAGATAGCATGGGCTTACAAAACGGAACTTTGGAATAGCTGGGTCTGCTCGCTGTAAGGAAATCCTGGTTTTGTTTCAATCATGGTTTGGGTCAAAGCAAATACCCTGGAAAAATCCAAGAACAGAGCAGGGGTGAAATCCAGCAGGTTCTGACAGGTTCTGGAGAACCGATAGTGGAAATTTTGAGTACTTCACAGAACCGGTAGCGGAAATTTTGAGTACTTCAGAGAACCGGTAGCGGAAATTTTGAGTAGTTCGGAGAACTGGCAAATGCTACCTCTGGCTGGCTCCAGAGTGGGGTGGGAATGGAGATTTTGCAATATCCTTCCTCCAGGAGTGGGAAGGGAATGGGGATTTTGCAGTATCCTTCCCCTGGAGTGGGGTGGGAATGGAGATTTTGCAATATCTTTCCCCCAGGAGTGGGGAGGGAATGGGGATTTTGCAGTATCCTTCCCCTGCCATGCCCACCAAGCCACGCCCACAGAACCGGTAGTAAAAAAAAAAATTTGGATTTCACCACTGGAGCAGAGTGTACCCCCCAGCAAATTTTTGGACCAAAGAAAATGTGGATGGGTCTATTTATTTATTTATGAGAACTTGTCAAACAAAAACTAGAACCAGCCACAGGGACTGATGGCTCAGCAGACTGATAGCATTGTGGTTAACACCAGCTGTCTGCAATTACTGCAAATTTTGAATCTCACCAGGCTCAAAGTTGACTCAGCCTTCCATCCTTTCTAAGGTAGGTAAATTGAGGACCCAGTTGTGGGGGCAATAAGCTGACTTTGTATAAATATACAAAAGGATGAAGGCTATTGCTTAATGCATTGTAAGCCGCCCTGAGTCTCCGGAGAAGGGCGGCATATAAATCAAATTTAAAAAAAAAGAAAAAAAAGAGCAAGAATAAAACAATAAAAATACAGTGATGGGGACGATAGGCCCGTCAGTGCACTTATGCACGCCCCCTCTACTAACCACTTAAGTGTGGTGTAAGATCCACGGAAGCCAATTTGTGACTGATTGCACATGAGTTGCAGATGAACAGAGTTGGAAGGGAATTTAGAGGTCTTCTAGTCCAACCCCCTGCTCTGGCAGGAAACCCTACACCATTTTAGACAAATGGTTGTTCCAACATCTTCTTAAAAACCTCCACTATTGGAGCATTCTCAACTTCTGGAGGCCAGCTGTTCCACTGATTCAAACAGACATCTGAAGGAGATGAGTTTTCCATTAGGTTGGGCCCCGTTGATACGGTTGATAAGGAAAGTTGTGATGGAAAGAATGAAAAAAAAAAGGGGGAAGAATTGTGTATCGTGGGGCAGGGTGGGGAGGCCATGGAAGCGCCAAGCAAGAGGCTGATAAGAAGATAGCGTTCTCCACCTCAGCACACATATCATTACCAGCTTTGCTATGCTGCTCTGTTCTTAATTTAAAAACTTGGCCTCTTCCAAACATACATCAAACGAAACCCAGAGAGCTGTAAACTGTAAATTTACATTTCCTGGGGTAATTTTTTTCCTGGCGTTTTCATTCATTTATTTTGTTTCTCATTTAAGACTTAAGTCAAAGCAGAAAGGCATGGGGAAAATATTGTGCCGGCTTTCTGAAGCCTGTCGCTTGATGTCAGAAAGATGAAAAATGAACGCCGGTGGAGAACCACAAGAATGTATGCTGAAACGACCGAGAGTCGTTTTGGTATATTGAACTTTGAGGTAGGGACCCATGGTAACCATCAGCTGATGCCCTCAGTACATTCCAGAACTGAGGGAAGTAGATGCATCTCAATGGACACCTTGGAAGAAGATGCCAGACCTTTTTCACCAGTCCCAATGCCTCCACCAGCTGGAGAGAGGACTAGGTTTATTGTGGCCTGTCGGGCTCGCCAGCTGCCGAACCAGAGAAGGAGGCAGCGTGGATCAGCATTGTAGGAAGTTAGCACCCACCCCTTTCCTGGAAGAGTGAAATATTTTAGGAAATATGAAAAAGGCAGAATATTATATTTCCCTGGATGAGAAATAGATAAGCATGTTTTGAAGCAGCTCCCATCTTCCTGCCCCCACCCTTTGTCAATGGGCCCTTAAGGCCTGGGCCAGTCTATTCCACATAACAAAGATCTACCTCCTTCAGGCAGAGCCATAGTAGGAATTGCCAAAGATCCAACAAAGATAGGATTAGCCCTCTACACAATAGCAGCAGAAACTCACCACGTGTGACCTGGGAAGCACATGTGACCATCAGCCAGCAAGGCTAGCTAAGACCCCCACCCCCTGGGAGTCTGACAACCAATCAGGATACTCTTTTGGGGCCCCAAGAAATGCAGAGGCAGAGAGAGCATAAAAACCCGAGGATTTACTGTATCTGCCCCCTTTTCTGCTCAGGAACTCAAGCCATGTGATCCTGTCCACCATTAAACCATCTTTCCAAGCAGTCTCCATGTTTCCAGTGTCTTTTTCCCCACTTGGAACAGAACCTAGAAGGAGATTTCTTCCAACAGCATCAAGGCAACCTGAGAGCTCTGAGGGGGAAGAGGGAATGGAGCTGTCAGAGAGAGAGAGAGAGAGACAGAGGTGGAACCTGGGCAGTCCATCAGTCCTCAGATGGAGAGTCAACAGATCCCAGGTCTGGAAGTGGCTGATGAGGAAGAGGAGGAACAGCTGGGTCCAATGCCTGACGTGCGGATGCACAGAAGGCAGAGGAGAGGAGAGCAGTGGAAATCTATGGGCCGGTCCTCGGGACGAAAGAGCCATCACTGCTAGCAAAGACCCACCCTAGCTCTGGGGATCAAAGGCAGGAGGTGGAGATGAATAGATGTGGCAGACAACTATTCATCTTCCGGACGGACAGACTTGTTAGTCTGCTGTGAGAAAGAGAGAGAGAGAGAGACTCTATAGAGCAACATCTTGCTGAGGTTCCAGAAAGATATAATAAAGATATAAATAAATGAATCATTTTCCTAGTGCAATATCTTCCCCCCTCTGTTCTTTGTGCCCAAGAATGGTTCCTTGACTGAACATCCATTTCTTCTATCACCCTAGCATTCAATGACTGTATCCAGATACTATACTAAACCATGGCCTAGCCATAGTTTGTTAAGTAGAGCCTAATGCCTGGATCCATCCACAATCAAACCACAGATAACTCAACGTGCTAAGGCCAAACCAAACCAGGCTGAGTAGACATGGGGCGAACATGGAGCCCATTTGAGCTCTGCGTTCAAAAGTGTGTGTCCTACATCAGCTGAAAGGGGCGAAGAACTGGCTCTGTTGGCTGCCCTCCGTCTCGGCTTCAAACCAGGTTACTCACCCCACAGCGCAGAACACAAGATCTCGGAATTGAACTTCTTTTTATATTTGCGGATTTCGGGGCTGTCACTCTGCGGCCGGATATTTGTAGGGTTGACGTTGACTACAGAACCTTTTCTTGTATTTTGCCGGCTGGGAGGATCCATTTTCACATTGGACGCTGGGAGGAAAAGCAGAGGAGAAGTGATGAGCATAACCGATGGGCCTGAGCATCTGAAGGTCCATGGCATCCATATTCGACCTTCTAATAAGAGTGGGATGGGTTACGATGAGGGTTGTTACACATGGAGGAATGGAAGAGAGACAGACATGAACAATCAAGAGACAGAACATGACTCTATTGACAACTATCTCCGAAAGGACACCTGAGTTCAGGTGGCAAGAAATCCAGGAAGAAACATTTCAAATAATTTATTTATTTATTTATTGGTTCGATTTATATGCCACCCTTCTCCGGAGACTCAGGGCGGCTTACAATGCGTTAAGCAATAGCCTTCATACTTTTGTATATACCTGCTTAGTAGGGCTTTCGGCCCCCCCTAAGAGGTGTTCTTTTTGATACAAAGTCAGCTTATTGCCCCCACAATCCAGATCCTCATTTTACCTACCTCGGAAGGATGGAAGGCTGAGTCAACCTTGAGCCTGGTGAGATTTGAACTTGCAGTAATTGCAGGCAGCTGGTGCTACTTAACAGCGCTTTAGTCTGCTGCGCCACCAAGGCTCTAATTTACCGTGTTTTCCTGAAAATAAGACCCTGTCTTATATTTTTTTGAACCCCGAAATAAGCTCTTGGCCTTATTTTTGGGGAGGTCTTATTATTTTGGGGCGCATGGAGCAAGATGCGGCTCCTCTTGCTGTCTTACCTGATTTCCAGCTCTGCGTTTAAATATTTTTGGGGAGGGCTTTATTTATTTATTAGTCATATTTCTATGCCGCCCACTCTCCGAGGACTCTGGGTGGCTTACACCGAAGACAGTATACTAAATAGCATATTGCCCCCTAACAATCTGGGTCCTCATTTTACCCACCTCGGAAGGATGGAAGGCTGAGTCAACCTTGAGCCGGTGAGATTTGATCCGCTGATCTGCTGAACTAGCAGTCAGCTGAAGTAGCTGCAGTACTGCACTCTAACCACTGCGCCACCTCAGCTCATATTTGAGGGGAGGGTTATTTTAGCGCATGCTCCCAAAAGCCCGATTGGGCTTATTATCAGGGGATGTCTTATTTTCGGGGAAACAGGGTAAAGAGACTGTGATTATTTGTAGCTCAGGGTTGAGCTGTGGGATCCTTGGTGCTTTCTGAGTTTGGTTGTTTCCTTGCAGATGTTTCATGACTCAACGGTAGGTAACATCATCAGTGCTAGACGGAAGTGGAATTTGCTCCTTGTTTAAACCAGGACACATTCTATCCAGCAGCCAACACCCAGATAAGCAGGGATTAATCCCAGACAAACAATCAAACAGAAAACAATACCCTAATTTAGGATCTTGCAAAAATCCCCATTCCCTCCCCACTCCTGGGGGAAGGATATTGCAAAATCTCCATTCCCTCCCCACTCTGGGGCCAGCCAGAGGTGGTATTTGCCGGTTCTCCGAACTATTCAAAATTTCCGCTACCGGTTCTCCAGAACCTGTCGGAACCTGCCGAATTTCACCCCTGGTTCCACCCACTTGGTAAAACAGGCAAGGATGACCTTGTCTATACTCACGGGCACCACAGTTTGGTCCACTCAGACTGGAAGGAGGCGAGATTTGGAGAAGTCTAGGATCAATGAAGGATGTAAAAGATGACGTAGAAGAAGAACTGTTTTTGGAAGGGGTACCGTCAGGGTTCAGTGCCTGGTGTAAAAATAAGAATCAAAAATAAATTAAGGATATACCTCTGATTGTTTGCTGTAACGCTCTCTACATGGGGCTCCCCTTGAGGAGCACTCGGAGGCTCCAACTGGCGCAGAATGCGGCCGCGCGGGTGGTGATGGGAGCAATGTGGCGCTCCCATGTAACGCCTCTCCTGCGCGAGCTGCACTGGCTCCCGGTGGTCTTCCGACTGCGCTTCAAGGTTTTGGTCATCACCTTCAAAGCGCTCCATGGCTTAGGACCTGGTTATTTACGGGACCGCCTGCTACCACCAACAGCCTCCCACCGACCAGTACGCTCCCACAGAGAGGGGCTCCTTCGGGTGCCGTCGGCCAAACAATGTCGACTGGTGGCCCCCAGGGGGAGAGCCTTCTCTGTGGGGGCACCTACTATCTAGAACGAGCTCCCCCCCGAGATACGGAGGATTCCGGATCTGCGTACCTTCTGTCGCACGCTTAAGACGTTCCTATTCCAGTAAGCCGGCCTGACCTAAACTTTTCCTCTTTTAAATGGGAATTTTAAATTTGGTTTTAAATTACTGGGGTTTTAAAATGGTTCAGCCAAATTTATTTAATTTGTTTTATCTCTATTTTAAATTTTGTATTTATATGTTTTATTTTATGGCTGTTCACCGCCCTGAGTCCTTCGGGAGTAGGGCGGTATACAAATTTAATAAAATGTAAAATGTAATGTAAATGTAAGGTTCCAAGAGCTGCAGCTGGTGGGCTGGATATGACGAAGTAATAAGTCAACCTTGTGAGATCTCTCACGTACTTTGTGTTTGATTCCTTGGGGTTGCAGCCCTGAAATGGAACTGCTGTTTTTGCTGGTAGAAGGGAGTTCTACCCTTCTGGAGTAGGGTAGTGATTAACTGGAGTCAATCAGGGGTAGGCTGCTGGGGGTTCGCAGGGGTTCGGGAGAACCTCTAGCTAAGATTCTGCGCAGTTCAGAGAACCCCAAATCCCACTTCTGGCTGGCCCCGCCCCTCCCAGGAGTCCCCACATGGCCCGTTTTGGGTGCAGGTAAGTGTAGGCCGCGCACGGAGGCTTGGGTAGGGCGAAAAACGGGCCTACTGGAACTTCAGGAAGGCCAGAAACGGGCCGAGTTCTGGCCTCCAGAGGGCCTCCGGAGCCTGGGGAGGCTGTTTTTGCCTTCCCAGAGATTCGAGGAAAGCCTCCAGAGCCCGGGGAGGACAAAAATGCCTTCTCCTACCATGGTGCAGGAGGCTGACTTGGCCACGGCCACCATGGCCACGCCTACCCAGCAACCGGGCAGAGAACCTTTTGCTAAAATTTTTGAAGCCCACCCCTGGAGTCAATCCAGCCAAGGTCCCTCAAAACCCAACGGGACGATGTGAGAAAGAGACATGACCATGAGCAAAGATCACAAGTGATACTCTACTTAGGAACAGGGCAGAAGAGATTTACCCCCATCACTTTCTACTCTACAAAAAGCGGATGTGGATAATAGACCAGGGGAAGGAGCAGGAAGTCGATCTGATCAACCTCCGGGAAACACCCAAAGCCAAATAGCTCCTTCAGCTTCCCATGGATGGACTCTCTCATCAATGGTAACCCAGATGCATCGCTTCTCAGGGGGCCATCTTGACTTCCATTTTTGACTTTGCATTTTTGCAACTATTAGACAATTGGACACTCATTTGCCTTCTGCTTCTCCCCATACACACAGGATGCGGTGGTCACCAGAACCAGAAGTTCATCATTCCCCATTAAAAAAAAACACAAAAAAACAACCCAGACTTTTTTAAATTTAACATTTGTTACTGGTTTAGGAGCTTTGACCTGGTTAGTAGGGGGTTTGTTCTGAAGTTCTTGAGCAGAAGTTTTCATCGGGTTTGGCGGAATCTGACTCTGTTGGAGGAGGTCCGGCAGCAGGTAATTTTGATTGTTCATATTCCAGAGTTCTTCACGAACCCCACAGCCGTATTTTCCTGCAGCATTATCCTGCACCAAAGAACACATTGAACGTCTAAGTTGCAACCACGGTTAGGGAAGAGTTCTACGCCCCTCCATTCTCCACTTTTCTTTCTTCCTATTTTTAGCGGCACTTAGGGAAAACTTGTCCAAATCTCTGTCCTACCTCAAAGCTAATGGAGGTCAGATTCTGGAAGGAAAGTCAACATACTGTGGGGAATGGAACACAATAATATGGAGATGAAAATGGGATACTGTTGGACAACTAAATATGAGTCAGCCGTGTGCTGCAGCTGCCAAAAAAGCCAACACAGTTCTAGGCTGCATAAACAGAGGGATAGAATCAAGATCATGTGAAGTGTTAATACTACTTTATGATGCCTTGGTAAGGCCACACTTGGAATATTGCATCCAGTTTTGGTCGCCACGATGTAAAAAAGATGTGGAGACTCTAGAAAGAGTGCAGAGAAGAGCAAAAAAGGTGATTAGGGGACTGGAGGCTAAAACATACGAAGAACGGTTGCAGGAACTGGGCATGTCTAGAACTATTTTGGCTTTTTTGCCTGCAAACATTGCATTTTATTAGAATGGGGCTGTTTCAGATCGAAGTAGGCTGCGAGGCTTAACCTACAATCAAGCTGGCTCCAGGCCTGACTGTGGTTTCGGAAAATCTTTTTGAATCCTTTCAGCTTTATAATCCTGCAAGAGCTCCAGATTTGAAAGTCTGGCAGTTCTGAAAAGGTTGCAGAGCCAAGAGGGATGCAACTGCAGATAATGTGATGCTGTCTCTTCCTCTCCAAGCAAATTCAAAGCCAGAACTAAAATAAAAAATAAAAAAAATGGTTTATTGCTGACAGAACTGTCTGCCATGGACTTTACTGGCTGGGATGGAGCTTGGGAATACAGATGCCAGCAGGTCAACTATGAATCCAGAGGTGACATAAAGTTTCTAAAAGCCAAATTCACTCACTGGGAAAATATGGAAACATGGAGAAGAGCAGGAAGCACGGGTAGACCTCAACATACGACCAAAATTGAGCCTAAAAGATCTGTCGCTAGGCGAGGCAGTCCTTAAGGGAGTTTTGCCCCATTTATGACCAGTTATTAAGTGAATCGCTGGTGGTGCGGTGGCCGAGAGGTGGAGCTCTCACCTCACAATCAGGAGGCTGTGAGTTTGATTCTAGGTAGAGGCAGATATTTCTCTCTCTGGGCACCATGAGAATATATCTGCTGAACAAAATTCCGCATTGGTGACAGGAAGGGCATCGGGCCAGTAAACACTCAGCTCCATTCAGTTGCCCCGACTCCACCCCGCAAGGGATTATGGGGTCATTAAAAGAAGATGATAATTAAGTGAATCGCCACAGTCATTAAATCGCTAAGATTCGCATCTCGATTATGTGATTTGTTTAAAAAGTGCAAAAAAAGTTCGTAAAATCGGATGCAACTCACCTGGCCTACCAACGGCCTACTTCTGGTTGTAAGTCAAATACAGCAACAAAGTTTACAGGAGTTTTTCCTTTAAAATTTTAGGGAGGTTTTCAACAGGGTAAAAGAAGTTTAAATGAAGCCCTGATCTCCCAAGCATTTAAGCTGACTTCATAACCTTTCATAATTCCCTTGCTTTTAATCTGATTATTCTAATTCCCGTAAACCCAAGGATCAGATCTGGCTAACATGGAGATTTGGTGTGCTTGTTCAAAGCGTGAATCCCGAGGGAACTGAATCTAAAATAAATATAGATAGATGTGCTTGTCCTTTTTTTAAAAGACCTCTATTCCTTCCTGTATCTTCCCATAACTTTCAGAAAAGAACTATAGTCCTTGTTTGCAACCATTCGTTTAATGGCTGAAGTTACGACGGCACTGGAAAAAGTGACTTATTTCACGCTTTTTCACGCTTACAATCATTGCAACTATCCCTGTGGTCATGTGTTCAAAATTCAGATAGAATTCTTTATTGGCCAAGTGTGATTAGACACGGAAGGAATTTGTCTCTGGTGCATAAGCTCTCACTGTGCATACAACAATAGTGACATTAATCATAATCATAGTCATTGTAAAATACATTTATCATAAAATGCTTGCCAACTGGCTCATATTTATGACGGTTGCAAGCGTCCCGGGGTCCTGTGATTCCCTTTTGCAACCACAGGGAAGCCAGATTCACTTAACAACCATGTTACTAACTAAACATCTGCAGTGGCTCACTTCACCGCTGTGGCCAGGAAAGTCATAAAATGGGACAAAACTCACTTAGCAATGGTCTCGCTTAGCAATGGGAATTTTTGGGCTCAATTGTGGTTGTAAGCCGAGAACTAACTGTATTGAGAGAGGGCTGCCTTAGAATGAGGGATATCATACATCGAATTATCCTGAGCTACTACACCTCTCTCCTTTGATTTAGTTTCCTAGCACGATTTATGTTGATTCTATCATTAAGTATTGTATCTTATGATTTGTGATGAATGTATTTTTATGATGACTATGATCACAATTTATGACTTATAGCTTTTATGTACAGTGAGAGCTTCTGCACCGGAGACAAATTCCTAGTGTGTCCAATCACACTTGGCCAATAAAGAATTATTATATTATACTAGTGCAAACTCTACCGTTCAAGCATCTTAGGTTATTTATCCATGTAGTATGGTTGTATTACTTTTATCCTTCTCATCTGTTCTATTACCGTCTCTTATTGATTATTATTACTTGGATATATGATTATTATTACTTTGTTGTTTTGCATGTACACTGAGAGCTTCTGCACTGGAGACAAATTGTGTGTCTAATCAAACCTATTCGATCCTATTCCTATTCCTATTCCTATTCCTATTCCTATTCCTATTCCTATTCCTATTCCTAATTCTATTCTATTCTATTCTATTCTATTCTATTCTATTCTATTCTATTCTATTCTATTCTATTCTATTCTATTCTATTCTACTCTACTCTACTCTACTGTATTCTATTCTTTCTATTTCTATTCTTTCTATTTCTATTACATATCATTTCTTATTCTATTCTATTCTATTCTATTCTTTCTATTTCTATTTCTATTTCTATTATTTCTATTTCTATTATTTCTGTTTCTATTTCTATTACCTATCATTTCTTATTCTATTCTATTCTATTCTATTCTATTCTATTCTATTCTATTCTATTCTATTCTATTCTATTCTATTTCTATTTCTATTTCTATTTCTATTCTATTTCTATTATTTCTGTTTCTGTTTCTATTACTTCTATTATTTCTTATTCTATTCTATTCTATTCTATTCCTATTATTTCTATTTCTATTTTTTTTTAAAATTTGATTTATATGCCGCCCTTCTCTGGAGACTCAGGGTGGCTTACAATGCGTTAAGCAATAGCCTTCATCCTTTTGTATATTTATACAAAGTCAGCTTATTGCCCCCACAAACTGGGTCCTCAATTTACCTACCTTAGAAAGGATGGAAGGCTGAGTCAACCTTGAGCCTGGCGAGATTCGATCTTACTTTAATTGCAGACAGCTGGTGTTAAATTACAGAGCTCTGTCTGTTGAGCTATCCAGGCTCCTGTTTCTGTTTCTATTTCTATTACTTCTATTATTTCTTATTCTGTTCTGTTCTGTTCCATTCCACTCCATTCCACTCCACCCCATTCTATTCTTTCTCAAAGACCAGGAAAGGGAATTTCAATAACACAGGGTAATTTTTACAACCAAAGTGTAAGCAGACGATTGGGGAAAAAAAAAAAGGCGGGGGGGGTGAAGCTAAGTTATCAACTGGGCAGAAGGAAATGCGACTTTTCCATTGTTTTTGTTGTTATTATTATTATTACTACTTTGAACCCATCCACTGGATTCCTCTCCCCACCCTCGCAAAGAATTACCTGGCGATCCGCTACAAGACAGGGAGAGTTCAATTCGATCCCGTCAGCAACTCCTGCCCTTGAGAAGGCGGTCACTCCGTTGCCGAGCGGTTGCCTAGTAACAAATTCCAATTAGTGCAGGAGAAGGAGAGGAAAATAAACGCATTCTTTAAAGACCCTCCAAGAAGGACACACACACACACACACGCATTAAAAATAAAAACACGAAAAAAACCACCAGCATCCAAGAACCAAACCTATTAATGTCCCAAAAATGCTTTTTTTCAGGAGGCAACTGGACTTTCTTGGGTTTATTTATTTATTTATTTATTGAAGACATTTCGCTCCTTATCCAAGAAGCTTCTTCAGCTCTGGCAGAATGGTGGAGGATGGAAGGATTTATATTCCTTGCAGACAGCTGGGGATGCTACAATGGTCGTTAAGTGTGAAAAACCGATCCTAAATCGCTTTGTTTCAGTGCCGTTGTAACTACCAACAGTCACTCAACGAACTATCTGTATAGGATAGGCATAACAACGTTTCGTATTTAACTTCTCCTTTCAAGTAGAAATCCCCAGGATTTAAATTTGGAATTTAAGCACCTGAAGGCAGGACAAGAAGCAACGGATGGAAACTAATCAAGGAGAGAAGCAACTTAGAACTAAGGAGAAATTTTCTGACAGTGAGAACAATTAATCAGTGGAACAACTTGCCTCCAGAAGTTGTGAATGCTCCAACACTGGAGGTTTTTAAGAAGAGGTTGGACAAAACTTTGTCCAGAATGGTATAGGGCTGTGATGGCAAACCTATGACACATGTGCCACACGTGGCACACGGAGCCATATCTGTGAGCACACAAGTGTTGCCCTAACTCAGCTCCAGCGCGCATGTGAGTGCCAGCCAGCTGATTTTCGGGCCTTCCGGGTCCACCGGAGCCGTTTCCAGCCTCCAGAGGGCCTCTGGGGAGGGAGAGACAGTAGGCCATTTTTGCCCTCCCCAGGCTCCAAGAAAGCATCTGGAGCCTGGGGAGGGCAAAAAATGGGCCTTCCGGGACCAACACAAGTCGGGAAACAGGCTGTTTCCAGCCTCCGGAGGGCCTCCGGGGGAGTGAGGGAGACAGCCTCTGGAGCCTGGGGAGGGCAAAAAATGGGCCTACCAGGGCCACTGGTAACCTGCGCTGGGGTGGGGGCACATGGTACATTGAATTATGGGTGTGGGCATGCGCGTGCATGACCCCCCGCACTCCCCCAGCTTTTGCCATGCAACGGCAAAAAGGTTAGCCATCACTGGTTATAAGGTCTCCCGCTTGGGAAGGGGGTTGGACTAGAAGACTTCCAAGATCCCTTTCCACATCTTATTATTTTGTAAGTAAAGTGTGTGTCTTCGCTCCTTTCATCTCCCCACACCTTCTGCCAGCATCAAGCTTTTCTCCACAAAACCTGGCACGCTCTGTTACCCTTTCTCTTTCTGATCACACGGGGCAGCCTCTCCTCCGAGCAACCCATGAACGGACAGCTTGCAAATGGTTGTGCGAGCACCTTTAAAAGAGCGCATTCATCGGCATTCAGCGCGGAGGCAGCTTTTTAAAAAAGAGGAAGGGTCAGCACCGACAGCTGGGCTCATTGTAGGGAAGCCCAACCGTTGAAAGAGGCATCAAAATATACGTGCTGCTCGGAATTCAGGACCCTCCACTCGGAATTAAAAAGGTGTAATATTCATCGTGTCTAATCTTGGACCGATGCCACCCAGCGTATGTGTGAAATCTGCTCTCCAGGTCTGTGATATGATGGGGGGGGGGAGGGACACGTGACCTTCTTGTTGGATGGAGAGCATCTGGAGATCATCACCTTCTCCTTGAACTGAAAGCTATTTCAACGTTTAGGTTTTTAATTATGCCGGCATTCAGGAATAAATAAAACATACACAGCAAACCATCGTTCGAGAGCATTTGCTGATATTCCCACGATGGAATTTTAAGGGATAAGTGTCCCCCCTTTTTTTTTAACGGATGAAAACTGTCAAGGAGGCCAACAAGAACGCAGACTCAAGAAATAGAATGGAATGGAATGAATGGGCTGGATTTATTTATTAATCAAATTGGTGTAGCCATCCATCTACCAGTGGAGCTCCGGAGGATGGACAAAAGATTAAGCATAATTGACCATCCATCAATGAAAAGAACTGAGTCAAAGCCACCGTAAGCACCAATTTGCTAGTCTGTCTTTCCAAAATATACCAAGCTCCAGGGGTGGGCTGCTGGGGTTTCGCAGGAGTTTGGGAGAACCTCTAGCTAAGATTCTGTGCAGTTCGGAGAACCCCAAAATCTCACTCCTGGCTGGTGCCGCCCACCCTGCCCTGCCCCTCCGAGGAGTCCCCATGTGGCCTGTTTTGGATGCAGGTGCACATGGAGGCTCGGGACGGGTGAAAAACAGGCCTACCAGAAGTTAGGACTTGTTTCCGGCCTCCAAAGGGCCTCTGGAGCCTGGGGAGGCCATTTTCGCCCTCCCAGAGGCTCAAAAAAAAACCTCCGGAGCCCAGGGAGGGCAAAAACACCCCCTACCCCATCGTGGTGCAGGAAGCCGACTAGGCCACATCCATCATGGCTACGCCCACTCATCAACCAGGCAGAAAACCCCTTGCTAAAATTTTTGAAGCCCACCCTGCCAAGCTCCATTAACATCCCAGTAAAATCATGGTGGGAAGTCAAACCTATCTGTCCTTCAGACGTTGCTTAATAGCTGACATGGAACAACTATAATATACCCTCCCCGGGCCACCAGGTACAAACTAAGGTACTCGTATCCTATTAACTTTGAAGTTAGTCATCCGTGGTTGGAGGCTAAAGATTGGGAGAGCCAACCTTATGTGTCCGTCACCCGCATCATCCTCGTCGCTGCTGCAGATTTCGTCGCTGGAGGAGGAATATTCTAGAGACTTCCGGAGCAGATGGCTGCCAACTTTCTCCTTGTTCCACAAAGCTGGACTCTAAGAATGAGAAGAACCTGATTTGTAACTTCAGCACGTACAAGGCCTTGACACAATGGAGCTCTTGATCTAAGCCACTTTTAAATATGTACCCTTATTATGAATATTTATATATTGTAGAAAAATAAAATGAAATATGGCAACGTTGGCCAGAACAAGTTGTTTGGCCTGACCGTGAACGGATTAGGAGCTGAGCTAACCTCGAAGAAGTCTTTACATTTACCGTCCTTCTGTCTCTCCTAGCCTCTCCTTTAATCATGATTTATTACAAGTATTTCCATCTTGGCCTTCAAGATAAAAGATCCTCTCCAAATAGATTGGAATACAGGCCACCGTAAATAAAAATACAATAAATATTTGACAACAAACAGAGCCCTTACTGGGGAAGGGCCATTTTTAAGGAAACAGGTAGTCCTTGACTTGCGACTCTAATTGAGCCCACAATTTGAGTTGTAAGCCTTGATCAATCGTAAAGTGTGTCACCATGTAACCGGGCCTGATTTTATCCATTTTTTTGCAGCAGTCGTAAAGCAAATACCACAGTCATTAAACGAACCCATTGTTCCTCCATTTTTTATGGTCCGTTGTCACTTGAAACGGTCATTATAAGCAACCGGTTCTAAGTCAAGGACGACCTATAATCCCCTCACCATTCCTCATGATTTCAGCTCCTTGCTTTTCTCCAGTTCAATCCATGGACTGATTTAGGGTATGCCAATGACAAATCTTTGCATTGAAATGAAACTGTCCTTCAGATCCTTCAGGACTGGTTGTTTTCTTTTGAAGGAAAACCCACAGCTCCTAAAGAGAATATGTACACGCAGTGGTGGGATTCAGCCGGTTTGGGCGAACTGCTAGTGAAATTGCTGGCTGGCCCTGCCCCTCCCCTCCCTGCCCCTTCCAGGTGTCCCCATGTGCCCCATTTTGGCTCCCAGGTAAATGCAGGGAGCCTCCTACGCCCAAAATGGAGCGCAGTGGGTGCGGTGTCCCCCCGTAGCCCATTTTCACTCCCAGGAGGCTTCAGGGAGGCCTCCTAGGCCCAAAACGGAGCGTAGGGGATGGCGCACTCCCCGTGGCCCGTTTTTGCTCCCAGGGGTGTGCAGGTGGCTGAGTGCCGCCTATTCCGCCCCCTGGCCACGCCCACCATGGCCACACCCACCCAGCCGGTCATTAGGGCAGGGAACCGGTTGTTAAATGATTTGAATCCCACCACTGTGTACACATGATACATTCAGAAGATTGAGAGGAGCTGGGCTTTTTCTCAGAGAAGTCCAGAAGAGCCATCTGAAGCTCTGAAGAGCCGCTCAGAATCAACTTGATGATCCAACGTCAAAAACTTCAAAGCGAGTGCTTACGTTCAGGGTTGACATCTCATCTGAGAGCGCCACTACTACGCTAATCCCCATCAAGATGCTTATTTTAACCAAGTGGAATGCTCCCATGTGAGGGATTCTCCACCTCTTGGATATAAGAGGAAGGAACATAATAACTTCCAAAAAAGCCAACACAATTCTGGGCTGCATAAACAGAGGGATAGAATCAAGATCACGTGAAGTGTAAATACCACTTTATAATGGCTTGGTAAGGCCACACTTGGAATATTGCATTCAGTTTTGGTCGCCATGATGTAAAAAAGATGTGGAGACTCTAGAAAGAGTGCAGAGAAGAGCAACAAAGAGGATTAGGGGACTGGAGGCTAAAACATATGAAGAACGGTTGCAGGAACTGGGTATGTCTAGTTTAATGAAAAGAAGGACTAGGGGAGACATGATAGCAGTCTTCCAGTATCTCAGGAGTTGCCACAAAGAAGAGGGAGTCAAGCTATTCTTCAAAGCACCTGAAGATAGAACAAGAAGCAAGGGTGGAAACTAAGGAGAGAAGCAACTTCGAACTAAGGAGAAATTTCCTGACAGTTGGAACAATTAACCAGTGGAACAACTTGCCTCCAGAAGTTGTGAATGCTCCAACACTGGAAGTTTTTAAGAAGATGTTGGATAACCCTTTGTCTGAAGTGATGTAGGGTTTCTTGCCTAAGTAGGGAGTTGGACTGGAACACCTCCAAGGTCCCTTCCAACTCTATTATTCTATTTCTATTTCTAAGTCTTAACTTGTTCTGCGTGGTACAACACCAAAACCCCATCTTTTGAATATTCAAAACATTGAACCAGTCAACACATCATCCCAAACCCAAAACACAATGAAAACTGAACACCTCTGGGTCTTGATAAAAGACAGGTAAAGAGGGAAAGGCACTTAATTTGATTAATCAACAGAAGGGGACAAAAGAAATAAAGAGTCCGTCAAGCCCAGGTTGACTTCAGTTGTAACAGATCGTAACAGAGTTGAAAGGGACCTGGTCGGTCATCTAATCTAAACCCCAGTCCAAGCAGGAGACCCTACACCATTTCTGACCGATGGCAGTCCAGTCTCTTCTTGAAAGCCTCCAATGATGAAGCTTCCATAACTTCCGAAGGCAACTTCTGTTCCATGGGTTGATTGTTCTCACTGTCAGGAAATTTCTCCTTATTTCCAGGTTGAATCTCTCCTTGTTCAGTTTCCATCCATTATTCCTTGTCTGGCCTTCGGGTGCTTTGGAAAATAGCTTGACCCCCTCCTCTCTGTGGCAGCCCCTCAAATACTGGAAGACTGCTATCCTGTCTCCCCTGGTCCTTCTCTTTACTAGTCTAGCCGTGCCCAGTTCCTGCAACCATTCATCATCTTTTTTTAGCCTCCAGTCCTCTCATCATCCTGGTTGCTCTTCTCTGCACTTTTTCTAGAGTCTCAACATCTTTTTTTTATAGTATGGTGACTCAAACTGGGTTCAGTATTCTAGGTGTGGTCTTATTAAGGCTTTATAGAGTGGTATTAGTACTTCCCTTGATTGTATCCCTCTGTTAATGCAATTTAGGATTGCATTAGTTGACTTTATGGACATCCTCATTAGCAGTAATGAAGTGGTTTGGTAGCACCTCTTGATGCATTTAGAAGCATGTTAAAGATACATATTTTTAAAGACATCCATTTGGGGTTAGAGCAGTGATGGCAAACCTTTTAGGCACAGAGTGCCCAAACGGGAAGACACATGTATGCGTGCGGGCCAGAGCGCCGGAAACCCAACAACCAGCTGGCTGGCATGCTTGCATGCCTTGGAAACCTGACAACCAGCTGGCCGGCACACATGTGCACTTCAGAAACCTGATGACCAGCTGGTTGACATGCATTTGCACCTCAGAAACCTGATGACAAGCTGGCCGGTGCCCATGTGCGCCTCAGAAACCCGATGACCAGCTGGCTGGTGCCCATGTGCGCCTCAGAAACCCGATGACCAGCTGGCTGGTGCCCATGTGCGCCTCAGAAACCCGACGATCAGCTGGCCAGCATGAAGTTCACCTCAGAAACCCGACGACCAGCTGGCCGGTGTGAAGTTCACCTCAGAAACCTGACAACCAGCTGGCTGGTGCCCATGTGCACCTCAGAAACCCGATGACCAGCTGGCCGGCACGAAGTTCACCTCAGAAACCTGACGACCAGCTGGCCGGTGCGAAGTTCACCTCATAAACCTGACAACCAGCTGGCTGGTGCCCATATGCGCCTCAGAAACCCGATGACCTGCTGGCCGGCACAAAGTTCACCTCAGAAACCTGATGACCAGCTGGCTGAGCTGGGGTGACGGCACATGTGCCCACAGAGAGGGCTCTGTGTGCCACCTCTGGCACGTGTGCCACAGGTTTGCCATCACGGGATTAGAGTAAAAACCATAAAAAGGAAAAAAACCCTGAACTTTAATGAAACTAAAATTAACCTTGAGAGCAGAAGAGAACAATAATGAAGCAGGAACCACAGAAGAATTAGAAGTTTAAGAGGGAAAAAAACTTACTGAAATTTGGCCTGAATGAGAAGTATTTTCAGGTTTCTTACAGGACTGGAGAGGTCTGTTGTCTATTCTGGAGGACTCTGGATGTTGTAAAGAGAAATATTTACTGATGCATGCATATTATTTAATCATTTAAATAAGGGCACTGCCTCTTAAGATGTCTATAGATGGCTTCAGGGAACCACTTGCCAGCAAATTGTCCAAAGCAATACAATTCAACTGTTCATCACTTCCAAACAGATGCGTTTTGTATCTCACATACAGTATTTGTTGTACTTGAACTGGTAAAGAACACAAAGAAACTTCAGTGGGTTCTTTCATCCCAAGTGATTGTGTTTTATAAAACGGATTTGAGATATGTATTTTTTTTGTTTTGCTATTTTATAACACCTCTGTTCTGCTTCAAGGACATTTTAGAGTGGAAACCCAGGAAAGTTTTAACAAGAGAGCACTCTGAACAAATTTAATTTAACTAAAATAAGCTTAAAAACAAGGGTTCTTTATCTGGGCTCCATCAAATATTTAAGAAATTCCCTGACCTTGGATAGAGGGGAAAAAAAATATTTTCACGAACTTCTAACTGAAGTTTAGTTTTTCATTAAGCAAAAAAGGAATTTTATGGCCTTTACACTCCAAAAAACATTTATCAACTCAAATAAATCTCACATTCTAAAGTTATTGTACCCTAAAAAGTGTATTATTTTGTTCTTGGTTTAGGGGATTGACAAAGAAGCACCTGGATATTTGTTATTTTTAGAAAATATTTTTGATAACTATGTTTGAGTATCGTTGTTTTTTCCTCTGACACAGTCTGTAGCTTGGTCTTCTAACTGAGGCATTTAAGTATATTTTCCTAAGAAGGGATCTGTAGCTCTCAAAGGGGTTCGAGCAGGGGTGGGATTCAGAAATTTTAGCAACCGGGTCTTTGCCCGGTTGCTGGGTGGGTGTGGCCATGGTGGGTGTGGTTTACTCAGCTTTCTGCACCGCGGTGGTGAGGGGAGGCATTTTCGCCCTCCCCAAGCTCTGGAGGCTTTCTGTTGTGACTCCGTTGCCTGAGCCTGGGCTATCGACAGATGCAGACTCTGAGAGTGAGGGAGAGGAGTTGGCAAGGCCTCCCTCTCCAGGACCCTCCTCTCTGGCAATGCCTCCGGATGACACCAAAGGCCAAAAGATAGGCCCAGAGCCAAGCACGTCCCCGCAGCCACAGGTGGACAGCGACAAAGGAGATAAGTGCTGGCTGGACCCTCGGCAGAGGCGCAGGGAGAAGCATGTGCAGCAGAGGGGAAGGCGTGCCAGAGATTAGCTGAGTCACTGGACCACACCCCACAGGGTATAAATGTGGGTGTGGTGGCAGGTTCAGTTTGTGACAAGCAAAAACTAGAAATAATCCATGATCTCTGCGTTACTGGACTTCTGCCTGCCTTGTCGGACTGCATTTGGACTAATCCTTGTATTGCGGAAACTTTGCTTGCTTTATCGGAATGCTTGCAGTCTAATCTTTGTTTTGTGTGAGTAAAGTCTGAATTGGCAGCTAGCCACTGGGTTGCTGCCAGCTTTATCTTCAAAGATTTTGTTGTGTGGCTTATTAACTCTGGGCCGTCTGTGGGGATGTGTGTGTGGGACGGGGACAGAACACTTTCCTTGAGGCTCTGGGAGGGCGAAAATGGTCTCCCCTGGGCTCCAGAGGCCGGAAACGGGCTCGTTTCCAGACTTCCAGAACTTCCAGGAGGCCCGTTTTTCGCCTTCCCAGAGCCTCCGCAGGGGTGCTGCATTTACCAGCCATCCAAAATGGACTGCGAGGAGACTCCTGGAAGGGGCGGGGCGGGGTGGGCGGGACCAATCAGTTCTTGCAACTACCGGTTCGGCGAGCCAGATGTAAAATTAGCATTCGGTTCGCCTGAACCGGTCTGAACTGGATGAATCCCACCCCTGGGTTTGAGACACAAAACTGTAAACAGGATTGCCCTGGGTTAGGTGGAGAGGTGGGATTATTTGAGGTCCCCCCCAAGTTGGCTTCAAGACCTCAAGATCTCCCCAACCTAATCTTCTGTCTCCTCCACCCACTGACTCATTTCCATCCAAGCTCAGAGAATTTCTGCCACATGAACCTCTGTAAAAACAGATGGAAATATTCTCCTTCCTGTTTTAAGGCAGTCCTCTAGTTCTTCTGACTCAGAAATTTAAATATCTTATCTGAGTAAAATAAAAGGCCAAGGCTGAAGAAGAAGAAATATCACAACCAGTTAATTCTTTGCAAACACCAACAGCTCCTCTACGGATTTCAGCGTGCCCTAGATGTTAATGAAAACATTGAGAGTGCAGATGTTCACCCACGCACAGATAAAGTCATGTTAAAATGGGGCTAGCATGAGGAAAGCAGTTAGCAAACAAACATATATAATAGAACACCTTTTCTCTTCTAGAACTTTGCTTTCCCACCTTCTCTTTCCTTGGGAATGGGAAACTTGAAATGCTGGTTGGATCACCCAGATATTCTAAAGCGGGACTCGAAGATTACCTGAGTTCGACTGGCTGTTCTGATGGGACTTGAAGTCCTTTGGCCTGTTGCCATTGAAATCCTTGCAGCTGTTATTGGATTTTGCTTTGGGATCCCCCAGGGTTGGCTGATGTGCGCTGTGAAGAGTAATGACAAGAAGAAGAGGAGGAAGAGAATGAAAATAAGAGAAGAAGATGGGGAAGAGGAGGGGAGGAAAGAGAGTAGGAACAAAAACAAAGAGAAGGTGGTGGAAGAAGGAGAAGGAGAAGGAGAAGGAGAAGGAGGAGGAGGATGAAGAGAAAGAGGAGGAGAAGGAGGAGAAGAAGAGGAGGAGGAGGAGGAAGAAGAAGAGAAAGAGGAGGAGGAGGAGAAGAAGAGGAGGAGCAGGAGGAGGAGAAGGAGGAAGAGAAATAGGAGGAGGAGAAGGAGAAGAGGAGGAGGAGGAGGAAGAGGGGAGGAAGAGGAGAAGAGGAGGAGGAGAGGAGGAGGAGAAGGAGGATGAAGAGAAAGAGGAGGAGAAAGAGGAGGAGGAGGAAGAAGAGGAGAGGAGGAGGAGGAGAAGAGGAGGAGGAGGAGGAAGAAGAGAAAAAGGAGGAGGAGGAGAGGAGGAGGAGGAGGAGGAGGAAGAGAAAGAGGAGGAGGAGGAGGAGAAGAAGAGGAGGAGGAGGATGAAGAAGAGAAAGAGGAGGAGAAGAAGAAGAGGAGGAGGAGGAAGAGGAAGAGGTGGAGGAGGAGGAAGAAGAGAAGGAGGAGGAGAAGGAGGAGGAGGAGGAGTTGCAGGTGGAGGAGAAAGAAAACAAGGACAAGGAGAAGGAAGAGATTACATTCAGCTGCTACACATTGTGTCCAAGCTGTTAAGACCCCATTATAAAAACTCATTCAATTTTACAATATACTTCAAAGAGGTAACCGCTCAACTGCATGCATACCAGAGTTGGGTTTCAGCAGGTTCTGAACAGTTCTGGAGAACCGGTAGCGGAAATTTTGAGTAGTTCGGAAAACCGGTAAATACCACCTCTGGCTGGCCCCACCTCCAACTATTCTCTGCCTCCCAAGTCCCAGCTGATCGGGAGGAAATGGGGATTTTGCAGTAACCTTCCCCTGGAGTGGAGTGGGAATGGGGATTTTAAAGTATCCTTCCCCTGCAGAGGGGTGGGATTTTGCAGTATCCTTCCCCTGGAATGAGGTGGGAATGGGGATTTTACAGTATCCTTCCCCTGGAATGGAGTGGGAATGGGGATTTTACAGTATCCTTCCCCTGCCATTCCCACCAAGCCATGCCACTCCTGCCAAGCCATGCCCACAGAACTGGTAGTAAAAAAAAATTGAATCCCACCATTGATGCATACCGATATGAGAAGGAACTGCACCCACCTCGAAGGGAAACTCTGTTGATCTCTGGTGTAAAACGTTGAGGTTGTCCTTTGAGGAACCTTCAAAGATTGAAAGCCCAAGAAAGTCAGAACTGATTACATCTGCAATTGTTTTATAGCATCATCTATATTGGCGTTTCTCAACCTCAGTCAGATTGTGTGGATTTCAACTCCCAGAATTCCCTTGGGTATTTGATAAAAGTAAGACCTTAGTAAGACCACACCTAGAATCCTGCATCCAGTTTTGGTCACCACACTATGAAAAAAGATGTGGAGACTCTAGAAAGAGTGCAGAGAAGAGCAACCAGGATGACGAGGGGACTGAAGGCTAAAACCTACGATGAACGGTTGCAGGAACTGGGCCTGGCTAGTCTAATGAAGAGAAGGACCAGGGGAGACAGGATAGCAGTCTTCCAATATTTGAGGGGCTGCCACAGAGAGAAGATGAGCTACAAGGAGTGAAATCCAACAGGTTCTGACAGGTTCTGAAGAACCGGTTGCGGAAATTTTGAGTAGTTTGGAGAACTCTGGCTGGCTCCAGAGTGGGGTGGGAATGGAGACTTTGCAATATCCTTCCCCCAGGAGTGGGGAGGGAATGGAGATTTTGCAATATCCTTCCCCCAGGAGTGGGGAGGGAATGGAGATTTTGCAGTATCCTTCCCCTGCCACACCCACCAAGCCACGCTCACAGAACCGGTAGGGAAAAATTTTGAATTTCACCCCTGCCTACAAGATCCCTTCCAACTCTGTTAATCTGTTAAATGGGTACCACACTAAGCTTGCCTAGGAAAGACCTCCAAGAGGAGGGAAAAAATGAAAATAAAAAGCTGCCTGCAATTACTGCAGGTTCAAATCTCGCCAGGCTCAAGGTTGACTCAGCCTTCCATCCTTTCAAAGGTAGGTAAAATGAGGACCCGGATTGTGCGGGCAATAAGCTGACTTTGTATAAAATATACAAAAGTATGAAGGCTGTTGCTTAACGCATTGTAAGCCGCCCTGGGTCTCCGGAGAAGGGCGGCATATAAATCAAATTAAAAAAAATAAATAAAAAGGTTCGCCATCACTGTCCTATAACATACCCTTTACTTTATATCATCTCTTTCTTCCAAAAGGTTCTTCCAAAATTTGGTTACCTTTGGGGTTGTTCTTCAGCCTGAGACAGACTCCAAAACACCTCATCCTGGCTGGGGCTCAGAGGTGTGACCGCGACGTCAGACAACAAACTGCGATGACACACGTCCCGACTCATTCGGAGGTTTTCATTCTGGATATAGGAAAAGAAGCAGAGAGAAATTTTCCAGTGATGATGGCTGTTATTCTATTATTATTATTTCCCCCCCCCCTAAAACACGGTGCTTAAGAAACCGCTGCTGGCACAACTGTGGATTATAAATGACGAGCCGCGAGATACAAACGACGCCATCATCATGGAGGCTATTTTGGTAAATCAAACTGGCAGCAGCCAGAAGCGCAGCTGTTGGTCTGGCCCGCAGACTCACACAGCAGGGGAATCTGCCGGAAAGAGTACTTGCGGTCGGTCCGGTTCTTAAGGTTTTTGTCAAGATGATATCACCAGGAGGAAGTAGAGCCGATCTCCTCCATGGTGTCACAACTAATTTGCACCATTAATTTGTGCATCTGTTTATACAAGGCTGGGGAATCCTAAGCTTTAAGCGATAGGCTCATCCATTTCATAACACAAGACTTGCCCTGTGGATCAGGCCAAGGAGGATTAGGAGAAGGACGGGCACCACCTGGGGGCAAAGAGTCAAGAGAGTAATCAGCCTGGAGTTGTTACGTTGCCACAAGCAGTCTAAATCCATTTTATCTTAATTTCATTTCATATCTCATATTTCATCTCCATGTTTTATTATCTATCCATTGATAAAATAAATCCCATATCAAATAATATTGTTTATCTTCCTGTTCTCTTATTTAAACATGGAGATGAAATATTTATTTATTTTATTTTTATTTTATTTTGATTTATATGCTGCCCTTCTCCGGAGACTCAGGGCGGCTTACAAGGCGTTAAGCAATAGCCTTCATACTTTTGTATATTTTATACAAAGTCAGTTTATTGCCCCCATAATCCGGGTCCTCATTTTACCTACCTTAGAAAGGATGGAAGGCTGAGTCAACCTTGAGCCTGGTGAGAATTGAACTCGCTGTAATTGCAGGCAGCTAAATACTATCTTTCACAATAGCATTAGTCTGCTGTGCCACTCAGGCTCTTGTAGATATGATATATGAAATTAAATTAAGATAAAATGTGTAAACCCTTCTTGAATTCTGTTAAGGGCAATTAATTTACTGCTGACTGTTTGTTGGTTAGATTCCTGCATATTTCATGAGCAATAAATCATCTTAACTAGAACTTAAAAGTGTGATCCGATTTTTGATTCGGATCGGCCTGACAAGAACCATCTTAGTTGTCTTTTAAGCCCCGCCCAGCTGATCAAATCAAGATCAAAAATGATACAGATATTATTATTATTATTATTAAGGCTAATCTTTGGTAAATACAGAGTCTTCGGAACGATGAGGAATTTCCCAGTCTATTTCAGTTTCTGTGAATTATTCAAATTTGCTTCCCCTCTGCATTCTTGGCCCCCAGGGTTAAGCTCTGTTAATCAGATCAGCCATTGAGTGATTCACCTGCCATCTCTTGATTCAGTTTTATGTCTACTGTCTTTTCCATCCCTGTACGTCCTCCGTACAGATAGTTCTTGACTTACGGGAGTTCGCTTAGTGACAAGTTCGAAGTTACAACAGCACTGAAAAAAGTGACGTAAGACCAGTTTTCACACTTATATCCCGATGGTCATGTGGTTTATATTTGGAGGCTTGGCAACTGGCTCATATTTATGACGGTCGCAGTGTCCCAGGGTCATGGGATCACCTTTTGCGACCTTCTGATGATCAAAGTCAACAGGGACGCCAGATTCACCGAACAACCGTCTCACTCATTTAACAACTGTTAAGAAGCGATTTGCAAAAATCACAGTTTAAAGCCGGCAAAACTGGCAAAACTGACTTAACAACCGTCTCTCTTCGCAACAGAAATGTTGGGATCCGCTGTGGTCGTATGTTGAGGAATGCCAACCAGACTCTTAGACCAGGAGTCAGCAACCTGTAGAAGAACCCCTGAGTACACACTTGAAACTCTATAGAGCCATGATGCTGAACCTGTGGCACGCGTGCCACAAGTGGCACGGTGGGCCCTCTCTGTGGGCACATGAGCTGTCACCCTAGTTCAGCTCCACTGTGCATGCGTGTGTGTGTCCCGCTAGCCAGCTGGTCATCCTGTCTCTGTTTTACATGCATGTGGGACGGGGCACCAGTGGTGGATTCCTGCCGGTTCAGCCCGGTTCACCCGAGCCGGTAGCGGTGACGATATGACGTCACCGAACCGGTTCTCTTTGTTTGGGAGCTGGGCCCTCCGACCCACCCACCCCGTGTTATTCTTACCTTTTATTTGGCCCTGCCCCCAATCTATTCACTGCCTCCCGAGTCCCAGCTGATTGGCTAGAAGGAAAAAAACTGTTTAAACTCTTGCCGCGGGGCTTCAAAGGGCCGCCCTATAGCTGATCAGTGTTAAAAGGCAGTGCGCTCGAAAAACAAATGGGCAGACCGGTGCCTCCAAAAATAAATGAGTAGACCGGTACAGCTCTGCAAGCAGTTAAAAACCTGGTAGACCAGTACCTCTGCTAAATCCTAAAGAATTGTCACATGACCATCAAAAGATGCCCACAAAATAAGCCACGCTCACAGAACCACTAGTAAAAAAAATTAGAACCCACGCCTGTGGGGCATGCGTGGGGGGGCACATGCATGTGCGGGGGGCACGTGTGGGGGCATGTTGTGAATGCAGGGAAGGCAGGGTGTGTGTGCGGGGCCCCCACGCATGCATGCATGGGGATGGGACACTGCATTTTGGAGGTTCGGGGGTGCGTGTACGGTTTGGGCACTCAGTCCGGAAAAGGTTACCCATCCCTGCTCTGGAGTCTTTCCAAAACGCAACCACAATTCAGCAACACCTCATTATTTCCCAACAACCCGCCGCCTTTGTTTATATCGAAAGAAAGCTCCTGCTAGGCCTAATAGACTTATTTGGAGGGGGAAAACAGCCATCCATCTATCCAATTCCACGCCAAAAGAACTTTCAGCCGCAAACAGTGCTTCGGCGACAGTAACACATCACAGGCTGTGGTCTCTCCGTGACATTCCGAGGCTGATGTTAATCACTTTCCTCATCAGAAGGAAGCGTAGTAGGGCAGAAGTAACAGAAGAGATGGCGAGGTGGGGTGGGGGGGAAACGGTCCATCTGTCTTACGCCCGAGAAGAAGACAAGTTTTGCTCAGGAACCCTACTGTAGATTGATGTCTTCTCCCAACCCTGTTTGCCCACAATCGCAGTTGAATTTGATTCACTGGGATTCTGCACATCATAGATCCTGGCAGAATTACGAGAGGAGAGCCCGTAGCTAGAGCCTTTCAATTTGGCTTCTCCATCAGATCTCGCCTGGCGAGAAGGATCCGGCCCCCCTCAAGAGGGGTATTCTTTATTCACCGGCCGACATTTCTCTCCTCCAAGTCGCAACTGATTAAGGGCCATAACATCTTTCTATCTCCGTGCGCTGCAAGTCTGCTCTTTCGGATGAAAAAAAATGAAATAAAAAGAAATCAGATTGCTTTATTTCACCGCGGTGCTTTGGAGCAGGCTGGTACCTACTGGTCTATTGGCATCCGTCCATCCGTCAGCAATAAAAACCTTTCAACCTTTCCATTAACATTTCGCTCCAGCACAAATCCAAAGGATGCTGAATTTTGCTTACTTTCTAGAGCAACATTCATGTTGGCACTCTGGGATAAGTAAGGAAAGAGGGATAGAGTGAGGTGGGGACAGTGGTGGAATGCAAATTTTTTTACTACCGGTTCTATGGGCGTGGCTTAATGGGCTTGGTGTGGCTTGTTGGGCATGAATTGGTGGGCGTGGCAGGAGAAGGATACTGCAAAATCCCCATTCCCTCCCAACTCCAAGGAAGGATACTGCAAAATCTCCATTCCCTCCCCACTCAAGGGAAGGATACTGCAAAATCTCCATTCCCTCCCCACTCCAGGGAAGGATACTGCAAAATCCCCATTTCCTCCCTACTCCAGGGGAAGGATACTGCAAAATCTCCATTCCCTCCCCACTCCAGGGGAAGGATACTGCAAAATCTCCATTCCCTCCACACTCCAGGGGAAGGATACTGCAAAATCTCCATTCCCTCCCCACTCCAGGGGAAGGATACTGCAAAATCTCCATTCCCTCCCTACTCCAGGGGAAGGATACTGCAAAATCTCCATTCCCTCCCCACTCCAGGGGAAGGATACTGCAAAATCCCTATTCTCTCCCCATTCCTGGGGGAATGGAGATTTTGCAATCTCCATTCCCATCCCACTCTGCGGCCATCCAGAGGTGGTATTTGCCGGTTCTCCGAACTACTCAAAATTTCCACTACCGGTTCTCCAGAACCTGTCAGAACCTGCTGAATAGCACCCCTGGGAGGGGTATGGCAGAGGAGCCAGAAAATGTAAGCGACAAACTCGACAAATCTGCATTTTAAAACCAGGCAGAATAAAGGACAATTGTGGCGTATGTGAGGCCACCAGCAAAAGGGACAAAAAAATAAAAATAAAATTAAGGCAGAAGGCAGAACCTTTGGGAATCCCATGGATAGAGCTCCAAATTTTTTCCTTCTATCTTTGCAAGGAAGAAATAAAATTAAAAGCAGGGATGTCGCATGATATCACATCATCCATTTGTCTATCTCCACGCCACTGGCAGTTGCTATAAAAATGGGGAAGGATAGAGGGGATTACGAGAGACCTGACAACAGTTGGCTGCAACGCAGAAGCTAGCGCTCAACTGCAACTACGTCCTTCAAGCTAAAATCAACCATCTTTCTGGGAGATAGGAGACTCCAAAATGGCAATTAGACATTGTCAAGGGCATCTCCAGGAAATGTCATTGCTACCAACCTGCCTCCCATTGAGGACCTGTATACTGCACGAGTCAAAAAAAGGGCTGTGAATATATTTACAGACCCCTCGCATCCTGGACATAAATTGTTTCAACTGACGCTATAGAGCACTGCACACCAGAACAACTAGACACAAGAACAGTTTTTTCCCGAACGCCATCACACTGTAGTTGTCCAAGCCCAATATTTCAAGCCTGGTGAGCAGAGGAGTGGAGGACTCTTCTCGTGAAATACCTCTGGACTCGCTCAATTGTATTAATGTCCGATAGAAAGTGCGGATTCCAGGCAGACGAGCTGTATTCGAGAACTGAATCGCAAATCTGAGCAGACGTTGTGTTGCTCAGAAGCGGGTGTATCAATTTCGGAGGAACAATGCGGTATTGACCAACCCTGGAACATCTCAATCAAAGCCAGCCCTGTGGAGGCTGGATTCGGACAGCTTTGTCCGTTGGGAGAGGGTGGGAAAAGGAGAAGAGATATGAAGCTGGCGGTGGGGGTGAAGAAGACAAGTGATTAATTGGTCTGACAATTGCCAAAGCAGGTGGAAAGGACAGGATGACATGACATAATCTTGACATTGGAAAGGAACTAAATGGCCAGTGGGTTTTTTTGGGAGTCCCAAAAGACTGGATTAAGAAGAAAAATGGATTGTCCGATCAGAATAGAGCTGTCTTAAGCTGTTGAGGAAGGGTGGCAAATAAAATTCTCTAGGTTTCCCTCCTACAATTGTAGCAAATAATAATAATAATCATAATACACTCTAAATTGGCAGAGGAATTAAAACTTTAGAACTGGAAAGCCTTTGGAATCATGCTAGTAGTGGATTTAAGGATAGACCCATTCTAAAAGAGAGCTTGGGGAAAAAAATACCTTTGCATCTGTAAATGTTGGGTAAAATGTCCAACATTAAATTCTAACAGGCTTGGTTAGTTATTGGTTAGGTTCCTATATAGCCTTTTGATCAGGCCGCAGCTACATGGTGCACACAAGGGATTCTGTTCTCATATGCGGGCATGCACCATTCAATCTACCTGCAGCCAATTATCTTTCCTTCCCTCCCTTTTTCCTTCCTTCCTTCCTTCCTTCCTTCCTTCCTTCCTTCCTCCTTCCTTCCTTCCTTCCTTCCCTCCCTCCCTCCTTCCTTCCTTATAAATATAATCCTTATATTATTATAATCTTCCTCCCTTCCTCCCTCTCTCTCTCCCTCCTTCCCTCCCTCCTTTTTCCTTCCTTCCTTCCCTCCCTGCCTCATAAAAATTCTTCCTTCCACGTACATTATAATCCTCCCTTCCTCCCTCTCTCTCTCTCACTCCTTCCCTCCCTTTTTCCTTCCTTCCTTCCTTCCTTCCTTCCTTCCTTCCTTCCTTCCTTCCTTCCTTCCTTCCTTCCTCCCTCCCTCCCTCCCTCCCTCCCTCCCTCACACACATACAGACCCCAATCTGGGGTCAATCAATGACTCTGGGTGGCTTACAACTCATACATATAGATATAGATGATATAGATATAGATATAGATATAGATATAGATATAGATATAGATATAGATATAGATATAGATATAGATATAGATATAGATATAGATATAGATACACACATGCACATATGCATACAAAAATAAATATGCATGGCAGCTTAGATACTTGGCCAGTCAACAATAAAGCCAGGAAAGAAGAACCTTGACGTATTCAGTGCCCCTCCCCCACAATGGGAACACAGCCAGGTTTTTAGAGCCATACAAAAGGCTAGCAGAGTTGGGGCCATCCTGATCTCCGAGGAGCGGATAATCCAGAAGGCAAGGCTATTGCCGAAAAGGCCCGTCTTCAGCCGACCCACTTTGGCTGATGGGATCTGCAGCAATCCTAATCTTTTGGATCCAATTGGAGAAAGTACAGATTCGTGGGGAAAGCAGGTCCTTCAGATAACCTGACCTCAAATCATTTAGGGCTTGGTAGCATCATCTCAAGAAGTTCTCTCAACTATTGTGTAGACCAGGGGTCCCCCAACTCCCAGGTCAAGAAACTTGGCCACGGAAACTACCGAAGCCCCATCCGCGAGATGGGGCAGGCAGCAGGCGAAACCCTCCAGTCCACGGAAAAATCCACGTTCCCTGGTGCCTTAAAAGGTTGGAGGCCGCTGGTGTAGACCTTTCTGATCAAAGGGATGGTGAGAATGACCAAGCTATCCCCCCCCGCCGCCCTGGGTCAGATCAAAATGGGGAGAATTTCCCACCTGGGCCACCACCGCTCGTTGCAAAGCTGGTGTACACGGGGTGGAACTACTACCAGAACCCAGCCTTCCGTGAGGGGTGGTCTCCTGGCCGAGGACAGCTGTCCGGTTGAAGTCTGGCTGGACCCCGTAGCTTTTCTGAAGCTGCTTTTCCGCCTGCAAAGAAACCAATCGCAAGACGGAGTATTGTTATTCCACCGAGGATGTTAACTTCATCCCAATTTATCTTGCTCTCTTCGCCCCCAGATCAGATACAGGCGCATCTTCATGCATTTCTTGCTAGCCCTTTGTTCTTTCTTTTTCTTTTTTAAGAAAAACTTAAATCAACAAAATTGAACCTCTCCGGTTCAACAGCAAGAGATACATAACTAAAAAGGTTATATATATATATATTTGTCTCTTTGTGTTGGACAGTCTATGCTATTTTCCTTCGCGGTGTAGATGACGGATTGTTTTAATACCCAGTCGTCTTTGGTGTATTGATATCCGGTATGCCGCTGATCAGATTTTGACTTTAGAATGAGAATAGCAGAGTTGGAAGGGACCTTGGAGGTCTTCTAGTCTAACTCCCTGCTCAGGCAGGACCCCCTATACCATTTCAGACAAATGGTTGTCCAATCACTTCTTTAAAACTTCCAGTGTTGGAGCATCCACAACTTCTGGAGTTGTTCCACTGATGAATTTTTCTCACTGTCAGGAAATTTCTCCTTAATTCCAGGTTGCTTCTCTCCTTGATCATTTTCCACCCGTTGCTTCTTTTCGTTTTCAGGTGCTTTGGAGAATAGATTGACTCCCTCTTCTTTGAGGCAGCCCCTGGGATATTGCAACACTGCTATCATGTCACCCATGATTTATCACTTATAGCTTTTATGTACAATGAGAGCTTATGAACTGAAGACAAATTCCTTGTGTGTCCAATCATACCTGATCAATAAAGAATTCTATTCTATTCTATTCTATTCTATTCTATTCTATTCTATTCTATTCTATTCTATTCTATTCTATTCTATTCTATTCTATTCTATTCTATTCTACTTTACTCTACTCTACTCTACTCTACTCTACTCTACTCTACTCTACTCTACTCTACTCCTTTAAGGGACATGGTGTCTCAGTGGCTAAGCTTGTCGATCAAAAGGTTGGCAGTTCAGCGGTTCGAATCCCTAGTGCCATGTAACAGGGTGAGTTCCCATTACTTGTCCCAGCTTCTGCCAACCTAGCAGTTTACGAAAGCACGTAAAAAATGCAAGTAGAAAAATAGGGACCCCCTTTGGTGGGAAGGTAACAGCTTTCTGTGCACCTTTGGTGTTTAGTCATGCCGGCCACATGACCACGGAGACGTCTTCGGACAGCGCTGGCTCTTCGGCTTTGAAACGGAGATGAGCACCACCCCCTAGAGTCGGGAACGACTAGCACATATGTGCGAGGGGAACCTTTACCTTACTCTTTCCTTTCATTAGACTAGACATGCCCAGTTCCAGCAACCGTTCTTCATATGTTTTAGCCTCCAGTCCCCAATCATCTTTCTTGCTCTTCTCTGCACTCTTTCTAGAGTCTCAACATCTTTTTTACATCATGGTGACCAAAATTGGATGCAGTCTGATCCAATACCTGATATTCAGGAAAGTCCTCCCTTCTTTGGGGGCTTTCACTGAAATAGCTAGCTCAGCACTGCTTTTTTGGGGGTTTATGGCGAAACAAATTTATTTACAGTTTTTATTGATAGCACAGTCAAATTCTTTGCAGCTTGATTTAAGCTGAAAGAAAAATGATCGTGCGGGTTTTAGACAAGCACTCTGGATAGATTTTTCAAATTAAATCCACCATGGGCAAAAATAAATAAAGTAAGCCTTCTCAAAAGATGCAGGATCCTATTTATTTTGATATGCACATCCTCACATCCCAGGAGTCTCCACATGGCCCGTTTTGGATGCAGGTAAGTCCAGGGTGGGCCTACCGGAAATTCTGGAATTTCACCCCTGATGTTAGGGTTCATTTGAGGGAAACCCCATATATTATTACAGAATACAGAACAATAGAGTTGGAAGGGAGGTCTTTTTGGAAGTCTTAACAACAGAAATTTGAGGCTCAATTATGGTCATAAATCAAGGACTACCTGTACCCCCCCCCTCTCTCTCTGTGTGTGTGTGTGTGTGTATACAGATTAAAAACACAAGGCAGAGAAGCGTCAGTGTCCAGAGGAACTGTCACACCCGGTTTGTGCCCAGTGACTGCGCCACACTTCCTACAGAAACTCGCTGCCTCCAGCTGCTAATGTCAAAACTCCGCAATAAATACATCTGGATTAAAATTTAACCAGAATGGCCTGCGCTGTATTTTACAATGCGTTGTATTCCCTCTACAAAGAGGTCACTCGTGGAATACAAGCCAGAGATGCAAATGGATATCGGAACTGACTTTTCGCAATGCGTTTCTTCCCCCTTTTGGCATCCGAGGTCTCACTCTTCCTTTTGGGGAAAAAAAACAGAATGTGGAAGTGATAAAAGAGAACTTTTTATGGTCTACCTCCTCAAAACCAGGAAGAGCACTACTTCTCCTTAAATCCTGAATAGAATAGAGTAGAGTGGAGTGGAGTGGAGTGGAGTGGAGTGGAGTGGAGTAGAGTAGAGTAGAGTAGAGTAGAGTAGAGTAGAGTAGAGTAGAGTAGAGTAGAGTAGAGTAGAGTAGAGTAGAGTAGAATTAGAACAGAGTAGAGTAGAACAGAACAGAACAGAACAGAACAGAATAGAATTCTCCAAGGAATTTATTTAGGTAATCCTCAATGTATGACTACAACTGAACCCCAAATTTCTGTTGCTCAGTGAGAAACGGGTGAAGTGAGTTTTGGCCCATTTTCTTGCCTTTCCTTTGTGTTAAAGGAATCATGGTCGTTAAATTAGTCGCATCGTTGTAAAGTGAATTTGGCTTCCCCATGGACTTTGCTCTTCGGAAGGTCACAAAAGGGAACCCCAAGACACCCGCAACCGTCATAAATATGAACCAATGGCCAGGTGTCCAAATTTTGTTCACGGGCACCATGGGGATGCTGCGAAAATGGTCGTGAGTCTGAAAAACGATCCTAAGTCAATTTTTTCCAGCACTGTTGTAACTTTGAACGAGCTGTTGTAAATCAATGACCACCTGTATTCCAGCTCATATGCTCTGGCACTGGTGAGATGGATAGGTACAGAGACCACCAGAAGAAGAAGAAAGGGACTTAAGGATTCAAAGATGTTAAGATGGAGCATTCAAGGTCCCAAGTTCACAGAAGTCCTCTGAAGCTTATGGACTCAACCTCCATACATGTCCAAAAGCTGTTATTAAAGAATAGTTTTTGGTGGAACAAACATGAAACTGGTCTGTAGAGATTCTCCGTCATCCAGGTCATGGTTGTCCCAAAGGTGCTTGTTCTGGAGGCAACTGGACCTCCTTGGTTTTTTCTTTTGAAGACGTTTCGCTTCTCATCCAAGAAGCTATACAAGCTATGCCTTTTAGCTGTACAATTTGGGATGAAGAATGGATTTCAGGAGGGAAAAATTGCAGACTACAGGAACCAGGAGCGCTACTCAGGTGACCCTGAGGACGCAGCTAATCCTCCAAGTGTCCTCAACGACCCTCTAAAAGGATGCAAATGACCAGCTGTCTGCAAGGAATATAAATCCTTCCACTCCCCACTATCCTGTCAGAGCTGAAGAAGCTTCTTGGATGAGAAGCGAAACGTCCTCAAAAGAAAAAAAACAGAAACTCCAGTTGCCTCTTGAAGTCTTAAAGTTGCCAAATTTGGAGACCCCTGCTCTTAGGGAAGAGAAGGAGAAAACGCCATCACTGCATATGAGTTTTCCTCTTTTTTTTTTTTTTTTTTGGAGAATCAAGCTCAATCTTAAGATTTATAATTCCACCCCCTTCTCTTCAAACTCTTCTGGATGTCCTCAGAAGATAGTTATTCTTCGGTTTGCCTTGTTACCTCTAGAGATGGTCTTGTGATTTTGGAAAATGTCTCTGCGGGCTGTTTTTAACTCAGCGATGAATGAGTCTTTTCTTAGCGTTCTCTTTCCTTTTCGAAAGCATTCTTACCAAAGAAATAAATAAATTCCTCAATTAGGCTTCTATTCAGCCCAAAACAACAATCTATCTATTTCCAAGGCTGGAGATGGAAAGAAATGCTTCCCAACCATGTGAGATTTTACAAGAAACAACCAAGCTTGGAGAGCCCCCCCAAAACACCAATTATTTGCTTCCCCCCCTCTAAAGCCTGCTTGGTTGTTGTTTTTTAAATTAAAAACCGTTTTTAGCTGGCAACTGGCCAAATCCAACATAGACAAGGATTGGTGTTTAGTAAGCTGGGCTTTACCTGTCATGCCCCCCATCGGAGTCTGAATCTGCGGGGGAAGACGAACAGCTGAGAGAGAGCGGGAGAGTGGCTCCGTTGGCTGTGGAGGAAACTGGGGAAGGGCAAAGACAGGCTGGGCAGAGCAGGGGAGAGGTAGAACAAGGGAGAGGAGGTTCAGATGAAGACCAAGGCCCACCCCCTCCTCATCCTAGGGCACGCGGGGAAGTACAGAGAAGAGAGCAACGGGGGTTGCGTGGCTTACGAGAGAGGGAAGGGCCCTGATTCCCTTCACAAGGCACACCTGGGGATGGAGTTTAAAGGAGAGCGCTACTTCACTTCTGGAACTCCTTATCTTGCCCTGCCAGATTAATTACTTTATCTTGGCTTATTGGATTTATATTTTGAAGTTTTCTGTTTATAACGCTTGGACTGAAGTATTTTCAGCCAAAGGCTATTACAGATTTGTGGGTGAGTTTTTCTCCAGACGGGAGAGTAAAAGGGACATCGAGGGCAAAGTTGGAGCTTACAAAGGGAAACATTACTTATTCTCTGGCTGTGTTGCCTTTGTGCCATGCCCTGGGATCATCACATTACCTCTTTGCTCAAGCAGTTTGACGAAGGGCCCTGTGGAAGATTAAGGATCTTAGGAATCTCCTTGTTCTTCTGCTTGTGGTCGTGTTGGAGAGAAAGGAGTTGTGTCTGATCTTTGGGAAGGGTTCGGTGAAATTTCTTCCCCTGAGTTGCTTCGTCTGCTTTCCTCTAGAAGGGGGAAAGGAAACAAGAATGCCCTTGTAATCAAAAGATCGGTGGAGTTAGCTTAGAACAACCCTATCTTCCATTTGAGAATCAGCAACAGCAGAGGCCATCTTAGACATCTGAAATCACAGATGACACTGTGGAATGTGAGAGGGACATTGGGAGAGGGATCTTGGAGTCTTAGTGTACAACATAATTAAATATGAGCCAGCTGTGTGTGGCGGCAGCCAAAAATGCCAATGCAATCCTAAATTGCATTAACAGAGGGATACAATTAAGATCAAGGGAGGTATTAATACCACTCTATAAAGTCTTAGTAAGGCCACACCTAGAGTACTGCATCCAGTTTTGGTCACCACACTATAAAAAAGATGTGGAGACTCTAGAAAGAGTGCAGAGAAGAGCAACCGGGATGATGAGGGGACTGGAGACTAAAACATACGATGAACGGTTGCAGGAACTGGGCCTGGCTAGTCTAGTGAAGAGAAGGATGAGGGAGACAGGATAGCAGTCTTCCAATATTTGAGGGGGTCAAGCTATTTTCCAAGGCACCTCAAGGCCAGACAAGGAACAATGGATGGAAACTGATCAAGGAGAGATTCAACTTAGAAATAAGGAGAAACTTCCTAACAGTGAGGACAATTAACCAGTGGAACTGTTTGCCACCAGAAATTGTGGGTGCTTCATCACTGAAGGCTTTTAAGAAGAGACTGGACAGTCACTTATCTGAAATGGAATAGATTCTCCTGCTTGAGCAGAGGGTGGGTCTAGAAGACCTCCAAGGTCCCTTCCAGTTCTATTCTGATTGGATGAAAAAAATACACCCCAAAGATGTCTCCTCTGTCCAACTACAACCACACCTGTTGCATTCCTGCGTGTTGGACCGCATCCCCTTTGTACCACGCCTCCTCCGGCTTCTCTCGGTTGCTTTTATCCTTCTGCACATGGCCCGGAGCCCCCTTGCTCTCTGGGTGTCTCCTTTCAGGGTCCAGATGTTTCCGAAGCTCTTCCTTTTTCTGATGCTGAACACAGGCCAAGAAATGACATGACATTTCATTTCATTTCATTTCATTTCATTTCATTTCATTATTCGGGGGCATCTCATACAAGGAGTAAATGAATCGCTCGTAGGTCGCATGGTGCAATGTCGTTCAGACATTCTCGGATTCTAAGCATGGTAGAAGTTCCTCGAGAAATGTGGTTTTTTCCCCCCATATATATGTATATGTATGTATTTCTCCTCAGCCGGGTATTTTCCTACGTAAACCAAGATTTTCAAAATGCAGCCATAGCTCAGTGAAATCACATCCACTAGTTCTAGGCTTTATCAGACAGCCAACAAGCAGTTTGCTGCCTTTTGGGAGACTAATATAGATCTATTTCAGACTAATTAGTCCTCATCAGTTAGCCACACCCTCATCACATGTTTCCTCCCCGTAGAGGTCAAGTATTTATTTTCTTCTCTTATCGTAGGCCCTTTATGTGTATTTCTCCACAGCCCGGTATTTTCCTATGTAAACCAAGATTTTCAAAATCTCTACGGGGAGGAAACATGTGATGAGGGTGTGGCTAACTGATGAGGACTAATTAGTCCGAAATAGATCTATATTACTCTCCCAAAAGGCAGCAAACTGCTTGTTGGCTGTCTGATAAAGCCTAGAACTAGTGAATGTGATTTCACTGAGCTATGGCTGCATTTTGAAAATCTTGGTTTACGTAGGAAAATACCTGGCTGAGGAGAAATACACATAAAGGGCCTACGATAAGAGAAGAATATATATATATGTTTTTTCTGAGGTTTTCGCGGGTATTTGTATTTAGGTCTTTGGTTATTTGGGTTTTCTCTCGTACTTCCAATTTTACGCGGGAGAAAACCCGAATAACTAAAGACCTACACACACACACACACACACACACACACACACACACACACACATATATCTTTCCCTCCCTCTCTCCCTCCCTCTCCCTCCCTTTCCCTTTTCCTCTCCCTCCTTCTCCCTCCCACTTTCCCTCTCCCTCCCTCCCTCCCTCTCCCTCTCCCTCTCCCTCCCTCCCTCTCCATACTGAGCATAAACTTTACACTGGGCTCTTTGTACATCTCCTTTTCCTCAAGGTAAATACCATGTTTCCCTGAAAATAAGACCCTGTCTTATATTTTTTTGAACCGTGAAATAAGCACTTGGCCTTATTTTCGGGGAGTTCTTATTATTTTGGGGCGCCTGGAGCAAGACGGGGCTCCTCTTGCTGTCTTACCTAGATTTCCAGTTCTGTCTCCCTAACCCTAACCAGAGGAAATGGCGGAGACTGGCTGCGCATGCCTTTAAATATTTTTGGGGAGGGCTTATTTTCAGGGAAATATGGTAAATCCCAAATTATACCTTTCTATGTGCTGACATAGAATCGGGCACGACTTAGCAATGGAGGAACAACAGCAGTATATTAAGATAACTGCACCATCACTTGAATCGTTCTAGCTGTCTATTTCTGTTCCAGCATGATTTTTCTAACACAACGAGAGGAAATGAAGACCATACGCCAAATGTTTGAAGACATTCAACCCTTGCTTGAGAAGGGGGTTGGGCTAGAAGACCTCCAAGGTCCCTTCCAACTCTGTTATCCTTCATCCAATTGCACCCTTGCACTCTGACTGTGAACGTTAGTTCTCATGTGGTTGAAAGTAAACTAGATCTGGCCGGTACTGAAACGAGGAACAGATGGAAGCTAAATCTCCTGCTCAAGAGGGAATCCATTCCAAAAGTGGTGTGTGCGTGTGAGAGAGGAAAAAATAAAAAAAAAAGATGGAAAAATTCTGAATATTGTTGATTTTAAATAGAGCAGGCATTCCGATACTCAAGTATTGCTAGAATTGTTTCCTAATGGCTCAACTTAATATTCATCTAGAGTTCCTCGATTCTTATCTATCTATCTATCTATCTATCTATCTATCTATCCCTGTCTGTCTGTCTGTTTGTCTATCTATCTATCTATCATCTCTCTCTCTCTCTCTCTCTCTCTCTCAACCTCCTGCTCCCCTCTTTCATCTATCTATCATCTCTACCTGTGCCAATCAGATAAAGTCAAAGCAGATGAAAATCTGCAAAACTCTGGGATCCTATCACGGCTTATTCCATGCTTTTCTAAATTTATTTTCAAGAGTGGGGACTGTGAAGCTCTTTTTAGTTGCTCCTTTATTGATCATTGTTTAACCGTTGGTCTGCAGGGCAATGTCTCCCTTGGCAAAACAGTCTAAAGAAGTCCAAAGTGCTCTTTTCATCTACAAGAGCAGATGTTCTGGCATTGAAGAAGGAGGGCCTTCCAGATTCTTCAGAACAGATCATGAAAGGCCAAGACGCTTTTGTGTTTTTGTGCTTTCACGTCCATGTTGACTCCTGGACAAGTCCCTGTAGATTTCTTGGCAAGCTTTCTTCAGACATGGTTTGCCGTTGCCTCCTTGCTAGATCTGAGAGAGAGAGGGACTGGTCCAAGGTCACCCAGCTTCCTTTGTGCTCAAGGTGAAACTGGGAATTCATGAAATCTCAGTTCCTAGCTTGATGCCTAAACCAGGCCATAACGCTACCTCTCTTGAAGGCCAAGTTGGTAACTACAATTTAAAGCCTTGGCCTCCAGCATCTGCTCCCCACACCCCAGGATCGCTTCTGGGCCCCACCGAAGTACCCCAAGGCACTCTTAGAAAATAAAGCAAGACGGATGTTTGCAGGTCAATCCTTGGCTTGAAAGTGCAACTTCCCCCCCCCAAAAGACCAGTGGTAGAGAATATTGCAGGGAGTTAGAAAAGATACTAAAAGTTGACTTTGCAAATTGGCAGTTGAGTCACATCTACTGAACCGCCATTTGCAAAGAAGGCATTAGTTTTGTGAGCGTACCCAACCTGCTCTCCAAAATCTCAACTGAAAAGACTGCACGGCAGAAGTAGCAATCTCATGCCCTCTTGATTAGGAGCTTGGTGACTAAAACATATAAAGAATGGTTGCAGGAATTGGGTAGGGCTAGTCTAGCAAAAAGAAGGACCAGGGGTGACATGATAGCAGTGTTCCAGTATCTGAGGGGCTACCACAAAAAAGACGGGGTCACGCTATTCTCCAAAGCATCTGAAGGCGGGACAAGAAACGATGGATGGGAACTCATCAAGGAGAGAAGCAACTGAGAACTAAGAAGAAATTTCCTGACAGTTAGGACAATGAATCAGTGGAACAACTTGCCTCCAGAAGTTGTGGGTGCTCCATCACTAGAAGCTTTTAAGTAGAGTTTGGGGAGCCACTTGTCTGGAATGGTATAAAGTCTCCTGCTTGAACAGGGGGTTAGAGTAGAAGACCTCTGAGGTCCCTTCTATATTCTATATTCTATATTCTATATTCTATATTCTATATTCTACTCTACTTTATCCTTGTCCTGTCCTGTCCTGTCCTGTCCTGTCCTGTCCTATCCTGTCCTATCCTATCCTATCCTATCCTATCCTATCCTACCCTACCCTACCCTACCCTACCCTACCCTACCCTACCCCTATCCTATCCCTATCCTATCCTATATTATCCTATCCTATCCTATCCTATCCTATCCTATCCTATCCCTATCCCTATCCCTATCCCTATCCCTATCCTATCCTATCCTATCCTATCCTATCTCTATTCTATAAAAAGAAAACAAGCAAAGCGACAGGATGAGGCCAGCCAAATCTAATGGAACCCAATCACAGCACCCTTTCCCCCCAAAATCAAACCCAGTTCCTACATCTTCCAGCTTCTTCCTCTGCAGTTTTTGCTCCACGATGCGCTTCTGCCTCTCTTCCAAAAGCTGCCTTTTGTAGTTTTCCTGGTGTTTCTGTTGCTGGTGTTGGAGGGGCTGCAAGCAGGGGGGATCCGAACGGGATTTGTTCTCCTGCTGAAGTCGTAGGAACTCTCGGCGCAGGGTGGATTCCCCCGGCAGATTCACAATGGAGCTTCATTTAAAAACAAACATGGGTGCCAAATGAGAGAGAGAGAAGAACCACCAAACTCAGAGAGCACCAAGGAACCCTCGTTTTTCAACCCTGAGCTACAAATAGTCTCCTTTATTGGCACTTTCTTTCTTTTCAGAGCCCCCTTTGCCATATGTACAAATCAACTATATCAGAGGGGGGAGAGGGAGGGAGAGAGGGAGGGAGAGAGAAGGAGAAAGAGAGACAGAAGGAGAAAGAGAGTGAAGGAGAAAGAGAGAGAGAGAGAGAAAAGGAGAGAGAGAGAGAGAGAGAGAGGAAAGAGAAAAGAGGGAGAGAGAGGGGAGAGAGAGGAAAGGAGAGAGAGACAGGAAAAGAGAAAAGAGGTGGAGAGAGAAAAAAGGAGAGAGAGACAGGAAAAGAGAAAAGAGGGAGAGAGAGGTGGAGAGAGAGAAAAGGAGAGAGAGACAGGAAAAGAGAAAAGAGAGAGAGAGAGGTGGAGAGAGAGAAAAGGAGAGAGAGAAAGGAAAAGAGAAAAGAGGGAGGGAGAGAGAGAGGGAGAGAGAGAAATGAGAAAAAGAAAGGCGGAGAGAGAAACGAATAGAAAAAGAAAGAGAGAGAGAGAAAGAGAAAGGAGAGTAAAAGGAGAAAAAGAGGGAGAGAGAAAGAAAGAGTAAAAAGAGAGAGAGAAAAAAGGAAAAAGAGGAAAAAGGAGAGAGAGAGAAAGAAAAGACAGAAAAAATAGGAAGGAAGGAAGGGAAAAAGAAAGAAGGAAAGAAGGAAAGAAGGAAGGAAGAAAGGAAAGAAAGAACAAATGAAAGGAAGGAAGGAAGGAAGGAAGGAAGGAAGGGAAAAAGAAAGAAGGAAAGAAGGAAAGAAGGAAGGAAGGAAGGAAAGAAAGAACAAATGAAAGGAAGGAAGGAAGGAAGGAAGGAAGGAAGGAAGGAAGGAAGGAAGGATAATCTGTTTGACTAATTTTAGTATTAAGATAGCTCAGCAAATGCCAAAAAAACTTGCAGCATTGGAACATGCCAAAAAAGAAAAAAAGAAAAAGAGAGAGAAAAAAAAACCCCTCTGAAGAACATTTCTGGTTCAGTTCCCAGCCGGGCCTGTGTTTTAGCAACTTTTCCGAATCCCAGCATCCTAAAGCTGATTATCCGTTCGCCAGAGACCTCACTTCACCGCTGCCTTCCCCAAACCAATTTTAGCATCTGTTCACACTTTGCATTCAACAGCAAAAACACTGGAAGGGGAACAAAAGAAGGATTCAGCTATATTTTTTGGAATTTGTATGGAAACCCATCTGCTAAGGTTCTGGGTGGTTGGGGAGGGGCTTGGAGGGTGGGGGGAGTGGAGGAGAGGACATAAAAGCCCAGAGGAAAAAAAAAAAAAGAATCCCTGGTGAAGCTGAATTTCCTAAAAAAAACAAACAAAAAAAAACCTCAGCAGTTGAAGTAAAGGGCCAGGCACAATTTTTATTTTGCTTTGTTTAAAAAAAAAAAGAAAGGAAAAAAAAAAAAAGATGAACAGCGCTTGGGATCCGTGGCTCCTTATTAGGCACAACTGGCTCCTTCCTTTTCGCATCCAACCCACGCAGACGGTGGCCTACAATATTTATTTCCCCACCTTTTCTTGCAAGGACACAATTTGTGGCTAGGGTTCTCTGATCTACCCAGGCTGTCATCTTCAGCGCGGTTTTGTTTTTTTGCAAATCGGATCCTACAGAAAACCGTCGCTCCGCTTAGGATAAACTGACACGGATTTCAACCGGGGCTGGGCTTCAAAAATTTTAGCAAGGGGTTCTTTGCCTGGTTGCTGCGTGGGCGTGGCCCTGGTGGGTGTGCCCTAGTCAGCCTCCTGCACCACGGCAGGGTGGCCGTTTTGGCCCTCCCCAGGCTCCAGAGGCTTTCCTCGAGCCTCTGGGAGGGCGAAAACAGCCTCCCCAGGCTCCAGAGGCCTTCTGGAGGCCAGAAATGGCCCATTTCCGGCCTTCCCAAACTTGCAGTAGGCTCATTTTTCACCCTCCCCGAGCCTCTGCACACCCCCTGCACTTACCTACATCCAAAACGGGCCGCGTGGGGACTTCTGGGAGGGGCGGGGCGAGGTGAGGTGGGATGGGCAGGGCCAGCCAGGAGTGGGATTTGGGGGTTCTCCAAACTTAGCTAGAAGTTCTCCCCCTGTGAACCCCCAGCAGCCCACCCCTGATTTCAACCCAAGTTAGCCTCTTCTAATAACTGTGAAGGTAACAGGCTTAACTTAGAAGACACCTGCCCCGTGGCCTCTATAGCTGGGATGGTCCAACCTCGGCAACTTTAAGACCTGTGTGGACTTCAACGGGATGGGGAGATGTTGGGCCCTTAGGAGACCATCCCGGAACTGTTCCAATTTGACCTGCCAACCCAATATCAGACCTTGGTTCTCCTTCGTCTTCGTTCAACTCGTCCCCTTCTTCCTCACTTCCGCTGTACTCATATTCTGTTTCATCTAAAAAAAAAAAAGAAGAAGGATGGGAGGCAAAGTTCTACAAAAGAAGCATTATTGTTCCAGGCATGGTACAGAAAATCTGTTCCATATGTTTGGGTGTGTATGTGTTTATGGAAGGAGAGGGGAGTGCCCATGGAGGAAAGGAATTGAGCTATCACATTGCTCTGTCTGTCTGTCTGTTGTCTCTCTCTAATCTATCCTCTAAATCTATCATCTATATCTGTCATCCATCTGTCTACCATGTCTCTCTCTCTTTCATCTATCCATCTCTCTCTTTCTCTCTAATCTATCCTCTATATCTATCATCCATCTGTCTTCCATCTCTTTCTCTCTCTCTCTCTCTCTCATCTATCCATCTCTCTCTCTCTCTAATCTATCCTCTATATCTATCATCCATCTGTCTTCCATCTCTTTCTCTCTCTCTCTCTCATCTATCTATCCATCTCTCTCTCTCTCTAATCTATCATCAATATCTATCATCCATCTGTCTTCCATATCTCTCTCTCTCATCTACCCATCTCTCTCTCTCTCTCTCTAATTTTTCTCTAAATCTATCATCTATATCTATCATCCATCTGTCTTCCATCTCTCTCTCTCTTTCATCTATCCATCTGTCTCTTTCTCTCTAATCTATTCTCTATATCTATCATCCATCTGTCTTCCATCTCTTTCTCTCTCTCTCTCTAATCTAGCCTTTATATCTATCATCTATCTGTCTTCCATCTCTTTCTCTCTCTCTCTCTCTCACATCTATCCATCTATCCATATCTCTCTCTCTCTAATCTATCCTCTATATCTATCATCCATCTGTCTTCCATCTCTTTCTCTCTCTCTCATCTATCCATCTATCTATCTATCTCTAATCTATCCTCTATCATCCATCTGTCTTCCATCTCTCTCTCTCACACACACATCTCTCCATCTCTCCATCTTTATCTATCTATCTAATCTATCTATCTATCTATCTATCTATCTATCTATCTATCTATCTATCTATCTATCATCCATCTACCTATCTTCTATCTATTATCTGTCTATCACATCTTAAAGGTTGCCATTTGGGGAATTCTGGGAATTGAAGCCAACTCATCTTGAAGCATGCCAGCTGGGCATCTTGGGAGTTGAGTCCACACAAAGATTAACCATTTATGGCAAAAGGATCACCAAGAAGAGACGAAAAAGTCATTTTAACTGAATTCCTACGTTCAAAATCTCACCCCCTTTTTATGTCGGTCACAAGCAGGCAACAAAGAGGTGGAGTTTGGGTCATGGTCAACTTCTTTGAGCCTTCCTTTACTCTCAGTCTACGACAGGCTTTCATTCGTCATTACTTGAGGTACAAACTGATTTTCAAACTTTACCCTTCCATGCAAACAACTTTTTAAAGTCAATAATGGCAAGAATGTAGAAATCACCTTTTTCTCCCTTTTTCTTTCTGGTCCTATCTAAGTGATCTTTTAGCAAGATGCGTACTTGGCGTTCGTTTTGCATGTCCCTGATGAAGGAATGTTTGAGCAGAGTCTCCGTCACAGGGCGATGCGTGTAATTTTTGACCAAGCAACTGTCAACAAAGTTGAGAAACTTTTTTGACCTAAAAAAAAAAGAAAAGAAAAGAAATCGGGGAAAAATGACACAAACAATTTAACTTGATGGAGAACTTTGGTCATCCTTTCTTTCTTCTACAATGCCAGCAAAATATTTGGTAACCCATGTCCTACTAAGCCAAGATTTTGCTTTTTATGGTGCCTTGTTAAACTAACCAGAATCAGTCTTATGGATGAACAAACTAACCATGGCTTGCTTACTTTGACTTTCTTCCTCTTTGGTGGGCTAATTCTAAGCCTTTTAGTTGTGGGGTCCTTGGTGCTCTCTGAGCTTGGTTGTTTTAATTTATTTATTTATCAAAATTTTCTTGCAGATGTTTCATTACCTAGCTACTGTGTTTCCCCTAAAATAAGACATCCCGTGATAATAAGCCCAATCGGGCTTTTAAGCGCATGTGCTAAAATAAGCCTCCTAAAATAAGCCCTCTCCATAAATATTTCAAAGCAGAGCTAAAAATCAGATAAGACGGCAAGAGGAGTCCCATCTTGCTCCACGCACCCCAAAATAATAAGACCTCCCTGAAAATAAGGCCAAGCGCTTATTTCGGGGTTCAAAAAAATATAAGACAGGGTCTTATTTTCGGGAAAACATGGGTAGATAACATCATCAGTACTATGAAGAGGGAAACATCACTTCCGCCAACACTGACATGGCAAGCCTGTCAGATATATAGATATATAAACAGAGAGCAAACTTCACACCCTTCTAACACTGATGATGTTCCCTAGTTGGGTGATGAAACGTCTGCAAAAAAACCAACCACACTCAAGACAGCACCTGGACTTCAGTCTGAAGGACGTGATGAGATGGCAACTGTTGGGAACCCATAAAGACCTTCCACCAGTGGTGGGATCCTTCCTGTTTTAACAACCAGTTCGGTGATTGCGCACTTTGCGCAGTGTGTGCGCATGCACAGTGCAACGAAAAATCATCTTCCGCATTAGTGCTAGGGAATTAAAACAGCTGAGGCACAGCAATCCTCTCTGTCACAATTATCAGCTGTGAAGATAAAGGTAAGTAAAGTGCACGGGGGATGGGCCCAGCTGATTGTCGGAGGGAAACCAGTTCACTCCCAGTTGATCATTGGACCTACCGGTTCGCCTGAACCGGTCTGAACCGGCAGAATCCCACCCCTGCCTTCCACCCTAACAAGAGACAACTACACATTCATTCTAATTGAAATCGATGCGTTACCATTTCCTAGACTTCAGTTTCGGAGAAGGGTTCCGTGGAATCAGAAAGAGGGCTCTCATCGGATGCATGTCACACAACGCTACAATAAAAAAAAAAAACACACATCCACACAAACAAAAAATATATATACTTTAAGCGGTTTTACATCCCCACTGCCCATCACTGTTGCTTACATTCTCTAATTCTGCATCGTGAAATACTAAAAACCAATCTGGAAGCTTCATCTGAAACTGATTGGCCCCTCCCATAGGAAACAAAAGAGGAGCAAACGGGAAGTGGGCTTTTGCAGCAAACAATTAGTTCGTTTGGTCGTTTCAAGAGTGGAAAGTTCTGTTCGTGACTCTAAGAGACTCTGTGCCAAGTTTTGCCTTGTACTGTGTTTGGAAACTAGTTATCTGGCAGCTTGCCAAGCAAGATAAGGTTCGTGTTGATAAATATTCCTCTGAAAGACTGTTTGCCCGGCCTTGCTGACTGCGAATGAAAGGAATTCACAGTCGTGTAAATAAAAGGGGTTTTGCCAGGACCAAGACTCTACTTCATGCTTTTTAGGGAAGCTTAGGTCAGAACAAAAGGAAAGAGATGTTATTGGTTGTTCCTGTCATGACCTAGGCTTACTGAGTCATTAAAACACATGAGTAGTCCCAAAAACCTCTTTTATTGCAACAGCTGTGAATTACGTTCATTCACAGCTGAGTCCCAATTAGTTGCAAAAAGTCCTTCGGGAGAAGTCCTTCGGGATAATCACCAACCTTTATCTCCCTTGACACGCTGCCAAAATCCTCCTTGGCAAAGCCACACGGAGTCCAGAATCAAATAGAGATGCCGACTGGGAACAGAATTAACAACGTTGCTTTCCTGCAAAGGGCCCACGTGCCTTTGCTCCTCTTTTAAGCCTTATGGGAGGGGCCAATCATCTCCAGGCCTTACTCCCAAGTTGTCCCTTTTGTTTTAACTGTTCTTGCCTTCTGGCAGCTCTAGGGACAGGCTCCTCCTGTTCCTCTGCCTCTCTGATGTCTGACTCTGGAGGCTCTGGAGTCTGCGCATAACTCCCAGATGACCCTGGCCCCATCTCTGAGATGCAGAGCCCTCGTCCAAGCCTTCCCCAGCCTCCTCACTGTCCAACTCTGCTGCCAGCTCTGCAGGCTGCTGGCAGACCACAACAGATGTCCACCAATGAACATCTTCAGAAGGTTCTTCTCCCCATGGATAGTGTTCCTTTGATTGGCCAGACAACACGTGACTCATCCAGTTGCATGTCTCAACTGGCCTTGGATGATAAGGAGTGTTAAAGCCAAACTCAGCTTTGCAATGGGCTGATACCACAACTCATAATTCCCACTCGGCCAATCTAGATAGGAAAGTTCTTCGCTTGCTCTGACAACCACAAGAAAGACAACTATGAATGTGAGAAGCGTCTTTCTTTACCTTTCTTGCACTTATTACTTCTAGTAAGACAAAGGCCTTGCTAATTTTCACGATCCCCTCCAGCTGCTAACGCCTCGTTATTTCCATACTAGCCTGTATCGTCTGACACAAAAAACCCACAATTCTTGCAGCTGCGACCCAGCATTGGGGGGGGGGGTGCAGAAGGAGATTTTTGTGGTGTGGAAGCCACACAATGACTTCAAAAGCGGGTCAGAATTGGACACATACCAAGTAGCGGTTCCATTTTTTTCCCCCTTTTTAACAAGAGCAGAGTTAGCTGTCGGATGCATTTGATGTGTAGAAAATACAGAATAACAGAGTTGGAAGGGACTTTGGAGGTCTTTTAGTCCAACTCCCTTCTCAAACAGGAGATCCTACACCATTCTGGACAAAGTTTTGTCTAATCACTTTTTAAAAACTTCCAGTGTTGGAGCACTCACAACTTCTGAAGTCCAGTTATTCCACTGATTGATTGTTCTCGCGGTCAGGAAATTTCCCCTTAGTTCTAAGTTGCTTCTCTCCTTGATTAGTTTCCATCTGTTGCTTCTTGTCCTGCCCTCAAGTGCTTTGGAGAATAGGATGACCCCCTCCTCTGTATAACAACCCCTCAAATATTGGAAGATGGTTATCATGTCACCCCTAGTTCTTTTTCTTCACTAACCTATCCACGCCCACTTCCTGCAGCCGTTCTTCATATGTTTTAGCCTCCAGGCCCCTAATCATCTTTGTTGCTCTTCTCTGCACTCTTTCCAGATTCTCTACAGCTTTTTTATAATGTGAGGACCAAAACCAAACATGAAATTGTGGTCGTCATCATCATCATCATTTAATGATCCCATAATCTCTTGCGGGGTGGAGTCTGGGCAACTGAATGGAGCTAGCAGAGTGTTGACTGGCCAGATGCTCTTCCTGTCACCAATGCGGAGTTTTGTTCAGCAGATAGATTCTCATTGTGCCCAGAGAGAGAAATATCTGCCTCTACCTAGGATCGAACTCACAGCCTCCTGATTCTGAGAGGAGAGCTCCACCTCTAGGACACCGCACCACTCCCAAACATGAAATTGTGACACTGTTGAAAAATCAGTTGGTCACAGGGTCAAAAGCTGCCAGATAACCCCACAAGCCACAAAGGATAAGATGCAGTCAACTTACGGGGAGCTCCTTCAGCCATTTCGATCGCGGTGATACCTAAGGACCACAAGTCACTCTGGAAAACAAAAGTTGTTGATGAATGAAAAACAAGAGTTAAACAGGTTTGCTTAAGGCTTTGTGTATTATGTGGAGGTAGAGAACCAGATTAAGGAAGACTAAATTTAGTTCATTGTTGCTCAACCTTGGCAACTTGAAGTTGTGTGGATTTCAACTCTTAGCCAGAGGTGAAATGCTACTGGTTTGGACTGGTTCGCCCGAACCGGTAGTAAAAAAATGCTACCGGTTCGGGCGAAGTGGTATTTCCGACGATCAGCTGTGCCGCGCGATTTAGATTTAATCTAAATCGCCCGGCACAGCTATTTTCCCCTGCTCTGCGCTGTTCTACTTATCTTTGCAGACTTAGAAAAGGGTTCTTAATACTTTTTCAGTGCTGTGCAGTAGCGCCTGCGGTGCACCTGCATGAAAATCGCATGTTTGGCACGCACCGTGCCTGTGCACACATTTGGCAGGCACTGTGCATGTGCACATGTTTGGCGTGCACCGCGCATGCACGTATGAAGCAAATTAGTAGCGGAGCAAACTGGTAGCAGACTTCAGAGCATTTTAGCCCTGCTCCCAGCATAGGTGGCTGGGGAATTTTGGGAGCTGAAGTCCACACATCTTCAAGTTGCCAAGGTTGAGAAATCCTGGTTTAGTTAATCATGGATATTCATGACACGTGAACACAGTCAATCTGTTACAGGCAACAACTATGGAAAAAAAGACACAGGCTTGACAGAAGTTTGATTTACTTGCTCAATCCGTGCATTTCCCACAGGTTGGGATACACCTTTATAAAACCACAACATTGCCTAGCTAATTATCGACATGGCCAATATGGAGGAACATCTTAGGTAGCCAGGAGTCGTTCCTCTGTCATCCGAAGCAGCAATGAGCATCGAATCAAGGAGCATTGATAAAAAAAACCTTTGAGTATCTTCTTCCCTCTTTTTCCTGCAAAATAGTTTTCCGTTACCGCCATGCCTAACTTTAAGGATGGTGATGTTCGCTTTGCAGAAAATTCAAAAGGATTCTTGGATTCACACGAAGGTGTCCCTCACTTGCTACTCATTAAAGCAGCTCCATCTTTCTCCTTGAAAGTGGATAGGGCCAGTGGTGGATTCCAACCGGTGTTATCGCCGGTTCTCTTCGCGCACGCACTTTGCATGCGATTGCTTCGCTCGCGTGCGCGACAAACTTGCGCTCTGCGCAAGCGCATTAGATTTCTGCCCAGCTAAGGCACAGCAATCGACTCTGCCACGCCTATCAGCTGGGCTAAAAACAACAAATAAAGATAGGTATAACACGGGGGCAGGCGGGAGGGCCCAGCTCACAGTCATAGAGAACTTGTTCGCTGACGTCACATCATCACCACTACCGGTTCGCCCGAACCGGGCCAAACCGGGAGCAACCCACTACTGGATAGGGCTCCTTTAACGAGTGGTTGAGAAAGGCTGAACTCGTGCAGAGTTTTTCAATAGCACTTTTGAAGCATCCTTGGATCTAGTCTCTCATTTAAGGATACGTAGCTTCAAACTGGAGCAAAGTGCAGCTGCTATCGATCAAGGATGAAGGAAGGAAGGAAAGAAAGAAAAGGGCAGAAATCAAGATGAAGGATAGAAGGTGAGACAGAAAGGATACTGGCTCGAAAGTCCAGGAGGGCTGCATTTCAAAGAGAATAAAAGGCAATATTTATGACCGAAGACAGTGCTAAACCAAGCAGTTCATTTTGAGGGGAAAAAAAGAGGAAATAAGAATACGCTCAGCCATGTGTGTCTGTCTGGGTCTAAAAGAAAATTTGGGAAGTGAGAAGCACTTAACCTTCTTTCCACTTTCCTGCTGATGATAGATAGAGATAGATAAGGTAAAGGTAAAGGTTCCCCTCGCACATATGTGCTAGTCGTTCCTGACTCTAGGGGGCGGTGCTCATCTCCATTTCAAAGCTGAAGAGCCAGCGCTGTCCAAAGACGTCTCCGTGGTCATGTGGCCGGCATGACTAAATGCTGAAGGTGCACGGAACGCTGTTCCCTTCCCACCAAAGGTGGTCCTTATTTTTCTACTTGCATTTTTTACGTGCTTTCGAACTGCTAGGTTGGCAGAAGCTTGGACAAGTAACGGGAGCTCACCCCATTATGCGGCACTAGGGATTCGAACCACTGAACTGCCGACCTTTCGATTGACAAGCTCAGCATCTTAGCCACTGAGCCACCGTGTCCCTTAGAAAGAGATAGATAGATAGATAGATAGATAGATAGATAGATAGATAGATAGATAGATAAATTCATAGAAGGATGGATAGATGGACAAAAATAGATGATTGAGGCATAGAGAGATATTTAGATGGATAGATAGGTGGATGGATGGATAGATGTTAGATGGATAGAAGGATGAATAGATAATAGATGAATAAAAGGAGGGATAGATGGAGGCATAGATAGATGATAGGTGGATAGATGATATTTGAATATATGGATGGATGGACAGACAGACAGACAGAAAGATATCTTGAGGTTGCCAAGGTTGGATACCCTGATTAATACCGTTGCAAAGTTCAATTGGAGGAATTAATTTTTTACTGCTAATAAGGAGCAAATGTATTATTCCTTTCCACTGACTTGGAGTGGATAGACCTCAATGGGCAAACTTACTCTGTAGTCATAGGTCGATTCTGGGTTTTCATCACAAGCAATGACTTCAGGCGCCATCCAATAAGGTGTCCCAATAAACGTGTTTCTCCTGCCAATCGTCCGATCGAGCTGAGCGCTGACCCCAAAATCAACTGCAAAGAGGGGGGGAAAGGGGGGGATCACAAAGCAATAACTTTGATAACTGTGGCTTAAGAAAAGAAGGAGAAGGAGAAGGAGAAGAAGGAGAAGAAGAAGAAGAAGAAGGAGGAGGAGGAGGAGGAGGAGGAGGAGGAGGAGGAGGAGGAGGAGGAGGAGGAGAAGAAGAAGAAGAAGAAGAAGAAGAAGAAGAAGAAGAAGAAGAAGAAGAAGAAGAAGAAGAAGAAGAAGAAGAAGAAGAAGAAGAAGAAGAAGAGGACCCAGATTGTTGGGGGCAAGATACTGATTCTGTAAATGGCTTAGAAAGGGATATAAAGCACTATGAAGTGGTATATCGGTGTAAGTACTATTGCTATTTTCCTTTCCCCCCTTTTTTTCCTTCCTTCCTTCCTTCCTTCCTTCCTTCCTTCCTTCCTTCCTTCCTTCCTTCCCTCCCTCCCTCCCTCTTTCCTTCCTTCCTTCCTTCCCAGTGATTAAAATGCAGTATTACAGACTACCTCTGCCCTCTGCCAGCAGTTCGATTGTAACTGGCTGAAGTTTGAGTCAGCCTTCCATCCTTCCGAGATGGGTAAAATGAGGACCCAGATTGTTAGGGGCAATATGCTGACTCTATAAACAGCTTAGAGAGGGCTGTAAAGTACTGTGAAGAGGTATATAAGTCTGAGTGCCATCGCTATTAGCAACAAGCATTGTGGTCCCAACTGTGTTCGTAAGTCAAGGACTACCTGTACTCCAGCTTTTTTACAACAGGCTTGTGACATTATATAAGACAATCCGTCACGAAAACCAAAAGTGTCAGATACGTACCCAATTTCACTTCAGCGTTTTCCGTTAACAGCACGTTCTGTCCTTTAATATCTCGGTGGATAACATGGTGGGCGTGTAAATGGGACAGACCCTAGAAGAAAGATAACCCAGCTTTAGCTTTCTGCCCCATTTCTGCATCTTTTCAAACCGTAGAAACTATAGATTCCTACTGCAAGCGCCTAGGATGACAAAGCAAGGTGCGACTCCGCTCACCAGCTGGGTTGGGAATTATGGAACTGCACAACTTGCACCCAGCTGGTGAATGGTGAAGGCAGATCTGGTTCATCACCCCAAGCTTTGGAAAGATGGCAAGTAATATTGTTGTTGTTGCTGTTGTTGCTAGTTGCGAAGTCGTGTCCGACTTCCTCCAGGACTTCCTGTCCTCTACTATCCCCCGGAGTCCATTTAAGCTCACACCGACTGCTTCAGTGACTCCATCCAGCCACCTCGTTCGCTGCCATCCCCTTCTCTTTTCACCCTCAATCGTTCCCAGGATTAGGCTCTTCTCCAGGGAGTCCTTCCTTCTCATTAGGTGGCCAAAGTATTTGAGTTTCATCTTCAGGATCTGGCCTTCTAAAGAGCAGGCAGGGTTGATCTCCTCTAGGACTGACCGATTGGATCGCCTTGCGGTCCAAGGGTCTTGCAGGAGTCTTCTCCAGCACCAGAGTTCAAAGGCCTCCATTCTTTGTGCTCAGTCTTCCTTATGGTCCAACTTTCACAGCCATACATTGCAACTGGAAAAGCGTAGCCTTGACTATACGATGCCAAGTAGTACATCCCGTTTAATAAGAACTCCAAGGCAGACAATTTCCTCAAATAACATTTTATTGGGACATATCAAAATTGGCAACGGTTTTTCACCCAATTAAACGACAAATTTTGACACACACACACACTAGAGTCTTCAGTCACATGGTCCAATCAGCATACAGTCCAGTTGCTAAGTGACCTCAGTCTCCATCATGTTAAAACCTGCACCAACGTCCTTGATTCCCAGGGGAAAGAATTTTATTTAGGCTACATTACCCCAGCTGTGGTGCTGGAGAAGACTCCTGTGAGTCCCTTGGACTGCAAGACAATATAACCGGTCAGCCCTGAAGAAGAGAACCTCCCTAAGAAATGACAAAAAGGAAAATGGCCCCAGTTCGGCCAACTTCAGAGTTGACAGTCAGGTTGAGCCACAGTGGCGCAGTGGTTAGAGTGCAGTTATTGCAGGCTACTTTTGCTGCCTGCTGGCTGCCTGCAATTTGGCAGTTCGAACCTCACCAGGCTCAAGGTTGACTCAGCCTTCCTTGCATAAAATGAGGACCCAAATTGTTGGGGGCAAGAGGCTGTGTCTGCAAAGCACTTAGAGAGGGTATGTTGTATGTTGGTCATTTCCAAGCCAGCTTTGAAGAGTTTAATTTAACATTTCAACCCAAGGATACTTACTCGAAGGACCTCTCTGCAGATGTAGGCAATCCAGTCTTCCTTGAAGCAATTCCCCTTCGTTTTCTTCACCAAATCTGTGACAGATCCGGCCCCACAATACTCCATGACCAACTGAGGAATTGAGAAACGAAAATGAAAAACAAAATGATGGGTTGCTGGTACAGAAAGTTTACATGCACGCCTTCTTTCTGAGGGGTCCTTGGTGCTCTCTGAACTTGGTTGGTTTGCAAAATAACCACCACCAAGCTCAGACAGCACCAAGGACCCCAGAGTCCTCTTCTTCCTCTTCCTCACTCCTCCTCCACTCCACAAACCCCCACTCCCTTCTAACACTGACGTTGTTACCTAGTTGGGTAACGAAATGTCTGCAAGAGAACTGCCAAACTCAGAGAACACCAAGGAGCCCTCTTTTTTCAACCCTGAGCTACAAATAGTCTCCTTTATTGGCACTTTCTTTCTTTCCAGAGTCCCCTTTCGCCATATGTACAAATCAACTATATCAGAGAGAGAGAGAGAGAAAGAGAGAGGGGGGAGGGGGGAGGAGGGAGGGAGAAAGAGAATAAAGGAGAAGGAGAGAAAGAAGGAGAAATGGAGTGAAGGAGTGAAGGAGAAAGAGAGAGAAGGAGAAAGAGAGGGAGAGAAGGAGAAATAGAGTGAAGGAGAAAGAGAGAGGAGAAAGAGAGTGGAGAAAGAGAGAGAGAAGGAGGGAGAAGGAGAGAAGGAGAAAGAGAGTGAAAGAGAGAGAGAAGGAGAATGAAGGAGAAAGAGAGAGAAGGAGAGAGAGAGTGAAGGAGAAAGAGAAGGAGAAAGAGAGGGAGAGAAGGAGAAAGAGAGGAGAGAGAAGGAGGGAGAAGGAAAGAGAGAAGGAGAGAGAGAAGGAGAAAGAGAGGGAGAGAAGGAGAAAGAGAGTAGAGAAAGAGAGAGAGAAGGAGAAAGAGAGAGAAGGAGAAAGAGAGTAAGGGAGAGAAAGAGAAGGAGAGAGAGAGAAGGAGAGAGAGTGGGAGGGAGGGAGAAAAGGGGGGTGGGAGAGAAGGAGAAAGAGAGAGAGAAAAGAAGAACTGGGACTGGAATTGGAACTGGATCATGAATTTCAGTGCCCTCACCATACAGTTGAAATATTAGCTTTAAAAACCCAGCATGCCCCCGTAGAGACTGATTTGCCGAAGCTCCCCACCCCAATGTAACCCCTTCCACAGTAACTACGGCAAAGACACAATTGACACAATGGCTTCCCTTAGATTCCTCTGCTCTCATCACACGGATTCCTAATTACACGGACAACTGTGCAAAGCGACCATTTACGGCGGCTATCCGTCAGCTTCCAGATGGCCACTCGCGGCGGCCCATCTCCCAGCGCAACCACAAAATGGTTGAGATTAGCGAAGACCTGAGAAGGCTACAGAGAATGCGGCATTCTGCATTTTGAGCCTGATTTGCAGCGTCTCTAAAGCAGTGGTGGGTTACTACAGGTTCTATGGGTGTGACTTGATGGGCATGGCAGGTGAAGGATACTGCAAAATCCCCATTCCCTTCCCACTCCAGGGGAAGGATATTACAAAATCTCCATTCCCTCCCCACTCTGGGGCCAGACAGAGGTGGTATTTGCTGGTTCTCCAAACTACTCAAAATTTCCGCTACCGGTTCTCCAGAACTGGTCAGAACCTTCTGGAACCCATCTCTGCTCTGAACCCATGGATGATAGAAGACTTCAGACAAAATAGTCCATGGAAGCTCCTGTGCTCGCACAGTTTTCTCAACCCCCTTCGGTATCTCCTTGACCACTCCTAACTCTCCCTTCCTTCCATTTTAGCAGATATCTGGCCTCTTTAAGAGACAATACAGAGCAAAGATTCATATATCTCGGTGTCTTCTTCTAAAAAAAGAAAGGAGAAAGCAGAGAGGCAAGAAAACAACCAAGCTCGTTAGTTACTCCATGGGAACCGAGAGTTATCTAAATTTCCAAACACGTGCAGGAAAAAACGAAAGAGAAGAAGAGACTTACCCATAACTGGTCATCTTGACCTGCTGGACTTTTCTTGACAAAAGCGCCGTAATAGGTCGCGATGTTCCGATGGTGAGAGTACTTCTTCAGCATATTAATTTCCAATTTGATTTCTTCCTCCTCATCCTAAAATGAACAAAAAGGCGGGATATGAAAATGGAGGCGACACTACCAGTGTTTCCCCGAAAATAAGACCCTGTCTTATATCTATATATATATATTTTGCAACCAAAAAAAGCACCAGGTCTTACTTTTGGTGGAGGATGTCATCTTCACCTCCACTGGTGGGATTCAAATAATTTAACAACTGGTTCTCTGCCCTAATGACTGGCTGGGTGGGTGTGGCCATGGTGGGCGTGGCCAGGGGTGTGTGACAGGCAGCACTCGGCCTCCTGCACCCCCTTCGGAGCAAAAATGGGCCACGGGGGATGCCCCCCATGCCCCATTTTGGGCCTAGTAGGCCTCCTGGGAGCAAAAATGGGCTGCGGGGGGCTGTGCCGCACTCCCGGTGCCCCATTTTGGGCCTAGTAGGTCTCCCTGTACTTACCTGGGAGCCAAAATGGGGCACATGGGGACTCCTGGAAGGGGTGGGGCAGGAAGGGGAGGGGTAGGGCCAGCCAGCAATTTAACAACTGATTCGCCTGAACTAGCCCGAACTGGCTGAATCCCACCACTGCTCACCTCACTTGCATGCGCCGCCCCCCAGCCTCATTTTCATTTTTCAGAGGCCTTCAGGAACTTCTTCAGCTTTGGATAGTTGCAGCCAGGCTTCGCACACCTCGGCCCATTTCTTCTGCAACCGGCAAGGCGTTCCTGGATCTTTCCAAAGCTCTGGATCCAGAGCTCTGTTATCGGCCACAGAGGCCTCCAGGAAAGACTTGCCGGCTGCAGAAGAAATGGGCCGAGGTGTGCGAGGCCTGGCTGCAACCATCCAAAGGTAAGTAGTAGGGCAACTCCACCCACCCCCACATCCCCACCCTAGCTTAATTTTTACCTGTGCACCCTGGAGTGATCGGAGCCTTAATTGGGGCTTATTTTGTGGGTAGGGCTTATATTGGGTGCACATGTAAAAATCAAACTAGGACTTATTTTCTGAATAGGTTGTATTTTGGGGAAGGGGAGAAACAGGGTATCTTGGGAGCTTCTCCAGAATTCTCTTGACTTGAGATCAAGGAGTTCTAGGCCAACTTTCTGCCTGTCTTTGCGTGTTGTTATTTTGGTGCTACCAAAAACCCTGACCAGGATATTAGTCTGGTTTATTAGGCGGCATAAAGAACTCTGACCCACGAAGGAGATGTTGGCAGCTTGATGGGCATTACGCTGTTGAGATCCAATGGTTGATGTCTACGTTTGTAAATTATTCCAAAATTCACACATGAATATGCAAAGGATATACTGCCCTACCAAATGTTGGGTTAGCCTTCTTTTTTTCTCCTCAACCCATAGAAACAGCATGCACACCAATAACCAAGTCTAAACAGCTCATTTATCATCGGATGTGAATTGTTCTGTGGCTGAATCGCTGCAAATTGGGCCTCAGTGATGCAGAATAGGCAACAGATTGCGGTAAAAAAAGAATTCCACACTGTTCGCTAGTCGCTAGGGTCGGGGGTGGGCTGCTGGGGGTTGGTAGGGGTTCGGGAGAACCTCTAGCTAAGATTCTGTGCAGTTCGGAGAACCCCCAAATCCCACTCCTGGCTGGCCCCGCCCAGATCATGTCCTGCTGCCTTGATTTCAGATTCGGTCCCCGCGTTCAACTACGAGCTAGCAAAATTAGATGTCAATTTGGTGAGGTTCTCCAAGTCAAGAGATAAGGTTCAGAGGCATGATCTGAAGTTGCAGGTTATCTCTCAAGGAAAGGCAGAGCACCTGGAGATAAAAGGAGGAGGCCAGGATGGACCTGGGAGATAAGAATATACGATAGTGTAAACATGTCCAACCACAGGGCATCTTCTTCTTCTTCTTCTTCTTCTTCTTCTTCTTCTTCTTCTTCTTCTTCTTCTTCTTCTTCTTCTTCTTCTTCTTCTTCTTCTTCTTCCTCTTCCTCTTCCTCTTCCTCTTCTCTTCTTCTTTTCTTCTTTCTTCCCCTTCTCCTCCTCCTCCTCCTCCTCCTCCACCTTCACCTCCTTTTCTTAAGCCACAGTTTCTATTGTTTTGTGATTCCTTCCATTTTTTCCCACACTTTGCAGTTGATTTTGGGTCAGCGCTCAGCTGGATCCGATTGGCAGGAGAAACATTTTTATTGGACACCTTATTCTCCTCCTCCTCCTCCTCCTCCTCCTCCTCCTCCTCCTCCTCCTCCTCCTCCTCCTCCTTCCTTCCTTCCTTCCTTCCTTCCTTCCTTCCTTCCTTCCTTCCTTCCTTCCTTCCTTCCTTCCTTCTTCTTGGTCTTACAAATACAGCTCCTTGCCAGAAAGTGGTGGGTAGTTTTGATGCCCAGGATACTTATAAACCTCTGGAACATCCAATATTCCAGACCATATGAAATATACCCTTACAGTGGTCTGCCACTGGGACCAGAGGTTTAGCCTTCTGAGCTTTCGGACTTGTGTTGGAACCCATTCTCAGGGTTACTTCTATGACCTTTGCCTTCATTTGTGAAATATACAGTTTCACAACTGTATCTCTGTTACCTTTGCCTTCGTTTGTGAAATATACAGTTATTCCTACTCAACCCCACATCAGCAGTGGATTGCTCCCAGTTCGTCTCCTTTCGGGCGAGCTGGTAGCAATGGCAGGAGGCTACGCCCACCCCTCCAGACGTCATCAAAAACACTCTGCGCATGCTACCAATAGCGAACCGGTAGTGTCGGGATTTGAAACCCACTAGTGCCCCACAAGTTTCATTGGCATCAAGCCAGCCCCACCACACCAGCATTCACCGCTCCTATCATCAACCACTTTTCCTTAGTGTTCTGTCCCCAACCCCACGCACACACACCAACAGACGTTCAGGAGTTAAAGACCAAACCAGCCGGCAAAATCCTTTTCCTTATGATAACGGAACTTGGCAACAACCTAGTGGCTGCCTGCCAAGAGTTTATTATTTACAAAGAGGAGAGATAACTTCTCCCCACTTCTGATACATCAAAGGAAAGCAGCTCAATAATTACAATCAAGTCCAGAGATAATCCAGTCTTAAAGCAAAAGTCTGGCAATGCAGAATGGTGTGGAAGCTTTCAGCTTTGTTCATCACAAGGTTTGACTGGCCACCATGCTCCCTTTTATATCCTGTGGGGTGTGGTCCAGTGACTCAGCCTAATCTCGGGCACACCTTTTCTTCTGTTGCGCGCGCTTATCTCTGCGACGCTGGCGTGGGTCCAGCCAAGACTCATTACCCTCATCACTGTCCATCTGTGGCTGCATGGACATGCTTGGCCCTGGTCCTATCTCTTGCCCTTCGGCGGACACCGAAGGCATTGCCAGAGAGGAGGGTCCTGGAGAGGGAGGCCTTGCCAACTCCTCCCCTTCACTCTCGGAGTCCTCTCCTGACGATGACACAGGCTCAGGTAACGGAGCCACAACACTTAGATCCAAAGAAAGCCACCAAGTTTCCACCTCGCCAAGAAGCGCCCTGCCCGCTTTGCTCCGTCGGACCTCCGAAAGCCAAGTTGGCAGACCCCAAATCTCCTCGCCCGTCCAGCCGTTCGCAATGGGGAAGTGCTCTCCACCCCTCCCCGAAACGCACAACCGACTGATTTCTGCCTGGCAGATGGGCTGATTATCCCACGGTGACCAACAGTACATTTTGCTGCCTGAGCAGCTCACGACAGAAGCTGCTCAAAGATAAAGACGGAAAGGGACTCGAAGCAGCAGCTGAAGAAAAATGGTGCCAGCCTTCTTGGAAGAACAGAGCAAACACATTTTAAGGCCCGTTGCTTGCAAAGGCAAAAATTTGAAGCTGCTGAATTTAGATCCCCTCTCCAGTTCAGGATGCTTACGAAGCAAGTCGGCGGTTGTTAAAATCTATGCTCGTTCTTAAAAGAAAAAAAAAGAAATTGAGGAACGGAGACCACAAAAACAGAAATAGAACGGGCAACTTCTCCTTGTCTCAGCATTGCAACACTGCTCTAGATTCCGAAGAGTAAAGAGGCTGGTTGATGTTAAGAAAACCCAGCCAGCTTTTCAACTTATTAGAAAAAGTTTTTTTCTCCTGAATCCCACCCAAAAAAAAAAAGGTCATGTCCCTTCTGCTGGACAATACAGGTAGCCCTTGGCTTACAACAGTTCATTTAGGGACCGTTCGAAGTTACAACGGCCCTGAAAAAAGTGACCTATGACCGCCGCGATCAAAATTCAGACTCTTGCCAACCGACTTCTATTTATGACGGTCTCAAGTATCCTGGAGTCACGCGATTCTCCTTCGGCAACCTTCTTACCAGCAAAGACAGATTCATTGAACCACAGTGTTATTAATTTAATCACTGCACTTAACAACCGGGCTACGAAGCGTCGTAAAATGGGAAAAATTTAATGAACGCATGTTTCGCTTAGCGACCCAAATTTGGGCCTCCCTTGCAGTCATGAGTAGAGGACTACCTGTAAAGCTCTCCCCTTGACTCTCTGGATTCCCAGTCCTTGTGTGAGTCTCAAACGCAACCGTCCCTCGTCTCCGAGGGAGTGACGAACTTGTTTCTCAAAACAAACAAGTTCGTTATTTTTTTTCCCGGCCTCTGCTCACCTCGGTTACATTCATAACCTTGATTGCTGCCAGCTGCCCTGTTTTCACGTGGCGACCCTGGAAAAAGAGAGAGAGAAAAAAAAACTCCAATAAAGCCAATAAAAGCATCCCAAAATGCCTAATGATAGCCCAGTCAATGGCCTGTACAAGCCAACACACCGAATCCATCATTTTGAAATACATCGTTGTAAAACGGCCCGTTTGAAAGCCGCATCCAGAGCGACTCGAACAATTTGCACAGAGCCTAATGGGAAATCGATATTCCACCGGTTTGGAGTGATCTAACGTAGTGATTTAACATTGGAAGCCGCCCAGAGTTCCCCGCGTTAGTGAGCTGGGTGGCAAAGAAATGTAATAAATAAAGTTAAAAAATAAATAAATAAAATCCGCGGCACGGGGACAGCAAGCTGGGTAACCTGTAGGAAAGTAGGAGTTTCTTCTGTGAAAACCAGGGGTGAAATGCTACTGGTTCACACCGGTTCGGGCGAACCAGTAGTAATAAAAGCTACCGGTTTGTCTGAACCAGTATTTCCGATGATCAGCTGTGCAGCGTGATTTCTAGCGAATCTAAATCATGTGGCACAGCTGTTCCCCCCCTTCGCTGTTCTACTTACCTTCTTAAGCTTTTTCCGTGAGAAGTGCATATTTGATGCGCACTGCACATATGCACGCGCACCACACATTTGGCATGCAGCGCACATGCATGGGCAGCGAACCGGTGGCAAACCGCAGAGGATTTCACCACTGGTGCAAACCACCGGATTTCCAATCAGCAAACTGTTTTGCGAATCTAATCGATTGCACTAGTCTGTCAAGGCTTGTTTTGTGCGTGTGTGTGTTTGTATGTGTGTGTTTAGTCTGCGAGTGAAGCCCTTCGGTACTTTTAATATTAATATTAAGTTACAACTGTTCATTTAGTGACTGGAGCACAGTGGTTCGACTAGTTGGAAAGCTGGGCAGGAGGATTAGCAAGCCCGCGTTTGAGACCTGAGAGGTGCCGTGGAGGAAGGGTTGAGTTCCCGTCCTTCGCTCCAGCTCCTGCCGGGGACATGAAAGGAGGCCTGTTCTTAATTCTAGAAACTAAGCTCTTCATTCTAGGAGCTAAGGAAATAGCTGCCTCTTAACTGATCAGATTATGTCGGGCTTTCCTTACTGGGATTGAACAATAAATCATGGAGTTTCCAACGCTTCACAGTTTAGTTTGACTTTTTGTCTTTTCGCTGGGCAGAAGGCTCACAGATGATTTCGCGAGATTGCAATCTTTACTGTAGATCAGAATCCAGCCATATGGCACGTAGATTTCTCACTAAAGCAAAGATGCCATGTGTTTTCAAACGTTTTAGACTCCTGGGTTCTTTCTTCCAAATTAAGGGATCCTTGGTGGAGCATTTGAAGACTTGAAGTTGGGAGGTGACGATTTGTTTACACAATGGCCATGTCAAGCCAGGAAACTTGGTTGGTTCCCACCTCATCAGCCTCAATTCTTCCAGATGATTTTATCCATCAATAATTTCAGAATTGTCTGCTCTTAAGACAACCAAATAACAGAGTTGGAAGAGACTTTGGATGTGTTCTAGTCCAACTCCCTTCTCAAGCAGGAGATCCCACACCATTTCAGACAAATGGTTATCCAATCCCTTCTTTTTAAAAAAAGACAAGAAGCAATGGATGGAAACTCATCAAGGAGAGAAGCAACTTAGAACTAAGGAGAAATTTCCTGACAGTTAGAACAATTAATCAGTAGAACAACTTGCCTCCAGAAGTTGTGAATGCTCCAAGATGTTTTAAAGAAGAGATTGGACAACCATTTGTCTGAAATGGTATAGGTATAGGGTTTCCTGGCTAAGCAGGGGGTTGGACTAGAAGACCTCCAAGGTCCCTTCCAACTATTCTATTCTATTCTATTCTATTCTATTCTATTCTATTCTATTCTATTCTATTCTATTCTATTCTATTCTATTCTATTCTATTCTAGTCTAGTCTAGTCTAGTCTAGTCTAGTCTACTCTATATTTCTATTCTCCTCCCCTCCCCTCCCCTCCCCTCCCCCTCCCCCTTCTCTACTCTACTCTACTCTACTCTACTCTACTCTACTATACTCTATGCTACGCTACGCTACGCTACGCTACGCTACTCTACCCTACCCTACCCTACCCTACCCTACCCTACCCTACCCTACCCTACTCTAAAATGATGATCCACACAGAGCTGTCTCAAAATCTCTCACTCTCATGCACAGATCAACGTTGTAAAATACTCGCTGTAGCTCAACCTCAGATTTGCCCTCCGTTTATACCCAGCTGATGTCACGGTTTGAGTTCCTGTATCGGAAACCATTGTTTTCGACTGTTTCCAGGCATTGAAAGTTTCACAGGGCAGCCTAAAGCCCTCTCAGACAAGTTGGCACCCTAATTTAAATCCCAGTCCTTGCCGGGAGCGAAATATTCTTCTAACTTCCCTGGTTGATTAAATCAAGAATGATCAGATCGCTGGGAAATCTTTGCCCAAGTTAATTTATTGAAAGTCCTGGTCAGCTGCTAGTCGCAATAAAACTGGAATGAAAAAGCATGGGAATTAAGCTTTATCCATTGGCTACTAATGAAGTTACATTAACACTGATAGGAATAATTCTTGGGAAATTACTTTAATGCAGTGCAGAGGTCTATGGCTAATTCTGGTTAATTAATAATACCCAGGGGGTGGGGGGGGGAAATGCAATAGTTTATTATATACACAGACGTTAAGACAAAAAAAAAAGAGGATTACATTTCAATAAGTGGCTGAATTTCGTAAGGTTTACAAAATTTTACATCGCGGGTTGATGACAGCTAATCAAGGGAAGATTCATCGTTTTCTCAATGTAATGAGTTTGTCTGCCATGAGGAATGGAAAAATGGGCCCGAGGGGTTTAATTTCGAACAAAGAGCTGTCCCTTTGGGTTTCATCATTCTGGAGAAAAACTTTTCAGGGAATAAAACTTCAAAAACGAGCTTTCTGCTTGGAAAGGGGGAAAGGTTTGCTCCTCTGTCTCCTCCTCTGGCGGAGATCCCAACTGAATTTTTTACGTGTGCCCCCAATGTCAGATATTATATCAAAGGTGCGTTAAATCCCTTGGACTCTCCGGCTTATACTTTGTCTTCTGAGGTAAAAATTTATAGAGAGAAATCAACCCAGGGGAGATTTTAAGCCTCTTATTCCCATAAGCGCCCACCAATACCTAAATGACTGATATATTAGCAGCTGGAGAGAAAGGGACATATTCCTTAAGGGCCTCTGAGGAACATCTGGTTGAAGTCACCTAGAAGCAAGATATTAAACAAGGGCTTTTTAAAGGAAGATTGGAAGTTGGAAATGGTCCTTCATATCAATAGAAGAGAGTTGAACTGTGGGGGGTCCTTGGTTGTCTCTGAGCTTGGTGGGCTCTCTTGTAGACGTTTCATGACCCAACTAGGTAACATCATCAGTGTTAGCAGGATGTAGCATAGGGTCTCCTGCTTGAGCAAGGAGTTGGACTAGAAGCCCCCTTTGCTCTAATCTGCCTGAATTTCTTTCACACCAAATATCGCCTCGTACAGATACTCAGAGATTTAGGGAGCCGTGGTGGCCCAGTGGTTAGAATGTAGTATTGCAGGCTAATTCTGCTCACTGTCAAGAGTTCGATCCTGACCAGCTCATGGTTGACTCAGCCTTCTATCCTTCTGAGGTCGGTACAATGAGGACCCAGACTGTTGGGGAAGGAGGGGGGGCAAGATGCTGACTCTGTAAACCGCTTAGAGAGGGCTGTAAAGCACTGTGAAGTATATAAATCTAAGTGCTATTGCTATTGCTAACTCTGCCCATTGCCAAGAGTTTGATTCTCACTGATTCAAGGTTGACTCAGCCTTCTATCCTTCCGAGGTAAGTAAAATGAGGACCCAGATTGTTGAGGGCAAGATGCTGACTCTGTAAACCGCTTAGAAATATACTGTGAAGCAGTATATAAGTAGTAAGTGCTATTGCTATTTTCCTTCCTTCCTTCCTTCCTTCCTTCCTTCCTTCCTTCCTTCCTTCCTTTCTTCCTTCCTTCCTTCCTTCCTTCCTTCCTTCCTTCCTTCCCTCCCTCCCTCCCTCCCTCCCTCCCTCCCTCCCAGTGGTTACAATGCAGTATTGCAGACTACCTCTGCCCACTGCCAGGAGTTCGATCCTGACCGGCTCAAGGTTGACTCAGCCTTCCATCCCTCCAAGGTCAGTAAAATGAGGACTCAAGATTGTTGAGGGGACAAGATGCTGACTCTGTAAACCACTTATTTAGCAGGCTCCCTGCACACCATCCAACCTCTGTCATGGAATACTTAGCACCGAGTTACAGATCCCCAATTCCTAGAGAGGGACAGGAACCGATCAAAAGAAGCCGAAAAGATTGGGGCTCAAAATAATTCAGCGGCTAAAGTTTGACACAATTTCTTCGCTTAAATCCCCAAGCTTAGATTTAGCAAGGGTGCGCCCGGCCACACGGAAGTTGCTAGAAGACTGTCTTCAAGCCACACCTGGCCTACTTCTCAACAGCAGAAATGGGTCAGCTCTTTCCCACATACATACGCAGCTGGGTTGTAATAAACCTCCCGGTGCTTCTGTGTCAAGAGCCTGCAACAATTTGCCATTTTATAGGTCGGTTCAAATCCATTTAGATGAGACAGGAATTAGCACGGACACAAAAGATCTGAGGAAGCTCAGACAGACATGGAACAAGTGAGTAACGCTGCAAATAAATCAAAGCAGAGGAAGAGACACAAATCCAACTTTTAAGGATGCCACATTTATTGTAGGAGAATACAGGAAGGAGTGATTTCCCCTACGCCTTGGTTTTCCTGCAGCTCTACATCTGAAGCTGGGTCAGTAAAGGGAAGACTCTTTTTTTAAAACAACAGCACAAAAAAATAATCAAAGAATTTGTAAGCAGTTGGCAACGCTTATCTAGAGGAAACAGTCAACAGATTGGAAGCTCAGCCTCATAATAGAATTATTATTATTATTATTTCTTCCAGCCTGTGTTGGTTAAAACAGCCTTTTTCTCTTTCAGCACTTCCTGATAAGTGGTTCTTAAATTTAGCACACTAACTCTTCTCTATTTCAAGGTGATTGATAGACTATTTCCACCATTCCTGGTTTAACAAAGCCAGAATTGAACAAAGCCAGAAATGAGTAGAGACCCGGAGGCTAAAATATACAAAGACCGGTTACAGAAATTGGGTATGTCTAGTCAAAGGAAAAGAAGGACTAGGGGAGATATGATAGCGCTGTTGCAATATTTGAGGGGCTCCTGCAAAGACGAGGGGGTCAAACTATTTTCCAAAGCACCCAAAGGCGAGAAAAAATGAGGGGGAACTCACCAAGGAGAGAAGCAACCTAGAACTAAGGAGAAATTTCCTAACGGTGAGATAAATCGACCAATGGAACAACTTGGCTTCAGAAGTTTGTGGATGCTCCATCACTGGAGGCTTTCAAAAAGAGACTGGACAATCATTTATCTGAAATGGTGTAGGGTTTCCAGCTTGAGCAGGGGGTTGGACTAGAAGACCTCCAAGGCTCCTTCCAACTCTATTGTTATTCTGTTCTAAATGTCTATGGAGATTCTCAATCATCCAGGTCATGGTTGTCCCAAAACTGCTTTTTTCAAAAGGCAACTGGGCTTTCTGGTTTTTCTTGGAAGATGTTTTGCTTCTCCTCCAAGATGCAGCTTCTTCTTCTTCTTCTTCTTCTTCTTCTTCTTCTTCTTCTTCTTCTTCTTCTTCTTCTTCTTCTTCTTCTTCTTCTTCTTCTTCTTCTTCTTCTTCTTCTTCTTCTTTCTTCTTCTTCTTCTTCTTCTTCCTCCTCCTCCTCCTCCTCCTCCTCCTCCTCCTCCTCCTCCTCCTCTTCTTCTTCTTCTTCTTCTTCTTCTTCTTCTTCTTCTTCTTCTTCTCCTCCTCCTCCTCCTCCTCCTCCTCCTCCTCCTCCTCCTCCTCCTCCTCCTCCTCCTCCTCCTCCTCCTCCTCCTCCTCCTCCTCCTTCTCTGAAGAAGCTTCTTGGATAAGAAGCGAAACATCTTCCAAGAAAAACCAGAAAGTCCAGTTGCCTCTTCAAAAAAAAGCATCTTTGGGATTCTATTCTAAGGCATCTGCTCTGGCTTCTAACTTCTTCTCAAAGATGAGTTCTGTTTCATATCGTTCGTTCCTTTGCTGGCTGTCTCCTAGAGGTTGAGTGGGATGCTTTGAGGCGAAACCCAGAAACAGGAAGATGTTACTTTCCCCCCACAAACCACGAAATTGCTCCCAGGCTCAAAGGAGTCCCACCATGTGCCAGATCGTTCGCCTGCTTTGGAGCCTTCTCTTCCAAAAAATTGGGCAGAGCATGAAATGGTTGCAAGGGAGTCCAGCAGGCCTTGTGGAAACCACATGGCTGCACAATGCAACCCTTTTTAAAAAATCTGGCACACAGAAGTCCTATCGCTCAGCAGTTTTCATTTTTTGAAATTAAAAAAAAAAAAAAGTTCTGGAAACGACTCATTTTTGCATGCATCTATTTTCTCCGCCTCCGAACAGATCTTCAGCCCAGCTTCTCTTACCCGCTTTAAGATTGTGTCCTATTCTAACCAACATTCCCCAGTGTTGGTTTTAAAGTCTACACATCTTAGGAAGGTTGTTCTAAGCTATAAAGAGAGCCAGTTGGGTCTAGTGGTTAAGGCGCCAGGTTAGAAAGCAGGAAATGGTGAATTCAAGTCCTGCCTTGGCTGGGTGACTTTGGGCCAATCACCAGGCAACAGTGACTTCTAGTCCCAACTTTAGCCATGAATTCCAGTTGGGTGATTTTGGGCCAATTACCAGGAGAATGTGAGTTCTAGTCCCAACTTTAGCCATGAATTCCAGTTGGGTGATTTTGGGCCAATTACCGGGAGAATGTGAATTCTAGTCCCACTTTAGCCATGAATTCCAGCTGGGTGACTTTGGGCCAATCACTGGGAGAATGTGAATTCTAGTCCCAACTTTAGCCATGAATGCCAGCTGGATGATTTTGGGCCAATTACCAGGAGGAGGTGAGTTCTAGTCCCACTTTAGCCATGAATGACAGCTGGGTGACTTTGGACCAATCACCAGGAGAATGTAAGTTCTAGTCCCACTTCAGCCATGAATTCCAGCTGGGTGACTTTGGGCCAATCACTGGGAGAATGTGGGTTCTAGTCCCACTTTAGTCATGAAAGGCAGGTTGGTGACTTTAGGCCAGTCCCACTCTCTCAGCCCAACCCACCTCACAGGATTGTTGTTGGGCGGAAAACAGGAGGAGGAAGTTGTGTTGGATATGTCCGGTGCCTTGAGTTATTTGTAAAAATATTACAGATGGGATATAGAGTAAACAAATCACTGTGGTTTACCAACAACAACTAAGTTTCTCCTCCTGCATTAAGGCAGGCAGTCTACAATACACGTTGTGGCTTTGGGACAATCCAACCGGTTTCACACCTGATGGATGAGTGACATCCATCAGGTGGAGATACAGCTCCGAGCTGTATCTCTTATTTTTTTTAAAAAAAAAATTGCTTTCGAACATCTGTCATGGATAAAAGCCGATTCCTGCAGTGATATTCACAACGGCTCATTTCATACCCAAACGGCCCCAAAGTTGCACAATAACCACAAGAACGTGTCAGCGAGGAAGTGAACGTCAGCAAAAAACAACAACAACAACCCAACAACAACAGTTGGAATGGATGTTCAACCATCAATCAAAGTGGCTCGGAGCTTTATAATCGGATGGAATTAGTTACATGACAGCATCACACATCCCCTCAAGGCTTGGTTGCATTAATCACTGGCCACATTTGATGCGTTGAGGTTTGGCTTAACAAACTAATATAGGAACATGGCCAATCTCCACCAGGCGAGAAATCAGCCACCAAGCCCTGGCTGCTATGGTGTCTGACATTAAAATCATGGCTAATGATGTCCGAGCAAACCAGGATACTCTATCTAACTTTAATTCACTTTAATTCAAAAACGGGCCGAAAAAAGCCTCAAAAATGGGCCTGAAAAAGGCTGAGAAAAGGCCTGAAAACAGCTCGTGCAGAGGCCCAAAAAACAGTCGGCGGGAGGCAAAAAAAAAAAAAAACCAGCCATCGGGTGGACAGGGCTTTGGCAATATTCGGTCTATAAGACGCACACACATTTTCACCCCCTTTTGGGAGATAAAAAAGTGTGTCTTATAGTCCGAAAAATACGGTAGTGTTGTGGCCCCGCCCTCTGAGCCTATCTCATCGGAGGAAGAAAGCTCTGAACATGAGGAAGAGGAGTCAGCCAGGCCTCCCTCTCCAGGCCCCTCCCCTCTGGCACTGTCTCAGGTGCCGGCCGAGGGAGAGGAGATTAGCCAGGAGCCAGGTGTCTCGGATGAGAGCGAAGGAGAGCCGTCATTCCTGGACGCATGCCAATGAAGGCGTGATAAACGGTTGCAGCAGTTAAGGAGGCGTGCTAGGGATTAGAACTGAGTCACTGGACCACACCCCAGAGACTATATAAGAGAGGGTGGTGGCTGGTAAAACTCCGTGACGAACAAAAACGAACTTTGGCTAGTCACTTGAACAACGTCTGAAGCTGCCGAAAGGAATATTGTTTTGCTGGACTATTTGCAATGCGTATGTAATTTTGTGTTATCTGTTGCAGTAAAAGCTCTTGGCAGACGGTGATTATATTGCTGCCAAGTTTGAGATAACGACCTGTGTGCGTGCCAAGTACTTTCTTAACCCTCGGCTGGCTGTGTTTGTGTGTTTGTGTGGACGGGGACAGATCAGGTAGTTAGAAATTCATACCAACTTTTGAAGCCACAATTTGAAATTCCTGTTACTTTTTTTTTCTCCTAGGACATATCGACATGACCTCACTTTCGTTCTCATGATGAACAAATTGCCTTCATCGTGGTTTAGGGATTCACACCTATGACAGTCCCCAGGCAGAATAACTTGTAGCTTATAAGACCTTTTCAAGTCACGGCTAATTTCCTGACTTGATTGCTGGACGGTTTGTAAGTGGAAGAAAATTCAAATCACCTATTTATGCCATGCTCTGGAGCCATATCGTAGAAGGTTATAATAGAATCACAGAGATGGAAGGGACCTTGGAGGTCTTCTAGTCCAACCCCGCTCAAGCATATCTTTGTTTCCAAAAGGAATTATACCCAGTTGCCATTAAATTTATTTATTTGTTTTATTCATCTATTCTTCAGAAATATTCCGTACCTTATAGACTTGTCCATATGTCCCATTCCCAACGACTTGCACTAGTTCAAATATTCCAGCTGGATCCTAGAAAAGAATTAAATTAAAGGGAGTTAGTGTGCTTGTTGGAAAGATTGGCTTCTTGGCTGAGATTTGCAGGCTGCGTCCAACTCTTTATGCGGTTTGTTTGGCTTAGCATCTTGGGGTTGATGAACCAGAGTTGATGGTTACACACCCTCTACAAACTTAACGATATTCGCCTCTCTCTGTGCTGTAAAATTAAAGTACCATACTTTAATTTTTAAAAGTATTTCGATCTTTAGTAAACAACTGTTTGGTAGATTTGTGGTTTGACTTGAGGGTTGTGTACCGCCCAGAGTCAACTTCTTGTGCAATGGGCGGCCGTATCCATTTGATACGTAAACTCTTCAACCATCTCCAGGGAAGACAACATGAGTAAAATGTGGTCTTTGTGGCCTCTTCAATACACTCCATAAAATCCCCCCCTGGTCTGTTAAAAAACAATAGGTAGTTTCACACACACACACACACACACACACACACACAAATAGAATCCATCTGCAGGAAAGGAACTCTCAGGATTTTAATGTTTTTAATGTTGGAAACCGCCCAGAATCTTTCACTACAAGACGAGCGGCAAATAAATTCAATAAGAATTTAAGAACCATGGTAGCACTGTGGTTGGAAAGCAATATTGCAGGCTAACTCTGCCCGCTGCCAGCAGTTCGATTCTGACTGGCTCAAGGTTGACTCAGCCTTCCGTCCTTCCGAGGTCGATAAAATAAGGACACAGATTGTTGGGGGCGGTGGGTAGACTCTGTAAACTGCTTAGAGGGGGCTGTAAAAGCACTGTGAAGCGGCATAGAAAGTTAAGTGTTAGTGCTAAGTGGAAGGGAAGGAAGGAAGGAAGGAAGGAAGGAAGGAAGGAAGGGGAGGGAGGGAGGGAGGGAGGGAGGGAAGGAAGGAAGGAAGGAAGGAAGGAAGGAAGGAAGGAAGGAAGGACTGTTGTGGTGCAGTGGTTAGAATGCCGTTTTGCAGGCTAACTCTGTCCACTGCCAGCAGTTCGATCCTGACTGGCTCAAGGTTGACTCAGCCTTCCGTCCTTCCAAGGTCAGTAAAACGAGGACCCAGATTGTTGGGGATGGTGGGTTGACTCTGTAAACCGCTTAGAGAGGGCTGTAAAAGCACTGTGAAGCGGCATATAAAGCTAAGTGTTAGTGCTAAGTGGGAGGGAGGGAGGGAGGGAGGGAGGGAAGGAAGGAAGGAAGGAAGGAAGGAAGGAAGGAAGGAAGGAAGGAAGGAAGGAAGGAAGGAAGGAAGGGGAGGGCGGGCTGTGTTGTGGTGCAGTGGTTAGAATGCCATTTTGCAGGCTAACTCTGTCCACTGCCAGCAGTTCGATTCTAGCTGGCTGAAGGCTGACTCAGCCTTCCATCCTTCCAAGAATGATACAATGAGGACACAGATTGTTGGGGGGCAAGATGCTGACTCTGTAAGCTGGTTAAAGAAGACTGTAAAGCACTATGAAGTGGCATATAGGTCTAAGAGTGATTGCTATAAACAAACTAACAAATACTTCCTATCTGAACCAAACTCAAGACAAAAATATGTTTCCATGCTTCTTGTGGATAAGACCTTCTGAAATGTTGGAATGATCACGCCACATCTATTCTCGGAGAACAGATCAACAGAACCCAAAATTAAAGTAGAATCAACCTCCCCCAGGGCCAGGCAATTCTGTTTTCTAAAAAAAGCTTGGAAAAGAGAAGAAGGACAGGACGGGGCATCCAAAATCATAGTGCAGCTAAGGTCACGCCACCACAGCAAAACTCAACACTCTTCCACAGACTGGGGTGCAAACACTTCACTTCTGCTTCAGCTAAGGATGCAAATAAGATTTAAAATAAGTTCATTTCCAACTTTAAAAAAAAAAACCCACCGTAAAATGATTTGAATATGTAAATGCTTGTGTTTCAAGAAGTCTGCAATATCCAGGTACTGCATGTAAAACCTAACACTTGTTTGATCTTAAGAGCAAAACAAACGAAAGTCCGGAATTAATGTTATATCTGGTCGATATCCTTATTAATATCTGTCTCATAATGTGTTCCACTTCAGAGAGGTATTAACGGAGTCCACCACATTTTAATTATAGAACCAGCAGTGTACGGCAGCAGCCAAAAAAGCTAATACGATCCTCAGTTGTATAAACAGAGGCATAAACTCAAAATCACGTGAAGTATGAGTACCACTTTATAAATCCTTAGTAAGACCACACCTGGAATCCTGCATCCAGCTTCGGTCATCACACTACAAAAAAAGACATTGAGACTCTGGAAAGAGTGCACAGAAGAACAACTACAATGATGAAAGGCCTGGAAACAAAAACATATGAAGAACGGTTGCAGGAATTGGGTATGGCCGGTCTAGAGAAAAGAAGGATTAGAGGGGACATGATAGCAGAGTTTCAGTACTTGAGGGGCTGCCCCAAAGAAGAGGGGGTTGACTTATTTTCCAAAGCACCAGAAGGCAAAACAAGAAACAATGGATGGAAACTAATCAAGGAAAGAAGCAACCGGGAATTAAGGAGAAACTTCCCAACAGTGAGGACAATTAACCCATGGAACAGCCTGCCACCAGAAGTTGTAGGTGCTCCATCACCGGAGGTTTTTTAAGATAAGTCTAGACAGTCAACTGTCTGAAATGGTATAGGGCAGTGAAGGCTAGCCTTTTTGCCATTGTGTGCCAAAAGCTGGAGGAGTGCGGAGTAGTCATGCGCGCGTGTGCCCACACCCATAATTCTAGGCACCCTGCCTCCCCCATGCATGCACGTGTGATCCCCTGCTCCCCCCCCCACTTTTGGCATGTGACAGCATGGTGGGCACGGTAGGCATGTTTTTTTGCCCTCCCCAGGCTCCAGAGGCTTTCTAGGAGCCTGGGGAGGATGAAAACAGCCTTCCCCACCCCACCTGAAGCCTTACAGAGGCCAGAAACAGCCCGTTTGCCAACTTCCAGTGGGCCCAGAAAGCCCAAAAATCAGCTGGCCAGCGCGCACATGCATGCTGGAGCTGAGCTTGGGCAACGCTCGCATGCCCAACAATTATTCTGCCCCAGCTCTGGATTCCCGAGGATATTGACACACACCAACAGTCCTTATCAAATTTATTAAGTAGCAAGAATAAACCAAAGTCCGGCAAAGGTTGGCAACCAGCCCAGAAAACAAGATACGATAAGACTTTTCCAAAAATGCTCTGATGATAATTACAAGTTGTTTCCAGCAAGAAATTTACTAACGGTGTGCGACTTAAATAGGCTAAGGGAGTGGTCAATTATCCTCAAGCCCTACTCTCGAGGAGACCTCCTCCTCCTAAGTAGCCACTCCTGCCTTTTGGCAACCCTGCGTGCTCCAGCATTGAGGAGAGGCTCCTCCACTTCGCTCTCTCCACTTGAAGGAGCCTCTGGAGGTTCTGAAGGCCCTGGCTGAGTCTCTGCCTCTGGCACCACATCCTCTTCAGCATCCTCGCTGTCCGATGTGAGCGCCAGCCGCGCAGGCTGCTGGCGCGACACCATACCAGCCTCCTTGTCGTCGGGATCAGCCATGATCTGCGCAGGCCGCTGGCGGGCCACAACAACATGGCTCTGCGTGCCACCTGTGGACGCCTGCCATAGGTTCACTATCAAGGGTATAGGGTCTTCTGTTTGAGCAGGGGGTTGGACTAGAACATCTCCAAGGTCCCTTCCAGTTCTATTCCGATTGATTGATCGTCAACAGATATGAGCCGAGGTGGCGCAGTGGTTAGAGTGCAGTACTGCAGCTACTTCAGCTGACTGCTAGTTCAGCAGATCAGCGGATCAAATCTCACCGGTTCAAGGTTGACTGAGCCTTCCAATCCTTCCGAGGTGGGTAAAATGAGGACCCAGATTGTTGGGGGCAAGAGGCTGACTCAGTAAACCGTTTAGAGAGAGCTGCAAAGCACTGTGAAGCAGTATATAAGTCTAAGCGCTATTGTCTGTCCTTCCTTTCTTCCTTCCTTCCTTCCTTCCTTCCTTCCTTCCTTCCTTCCTTCCTTCCTTCCTTCCTTCCTGGCACAGTGGTTACAATGCAGTATTGCAAACTAACTCTGCCCATTGCCAGGAGTTCGATTCTGTATGGCTCAAGGTTGACTCAGCCTTCCATCCTTCCGAGGTGGGTAAAATGAGGACCCCAGATTGTTGGGGGGCAATATGCTATTTAGTATACTGTCTTTGCTGTAAGCCGCCCAGAGTCCTCGGAGAGTCCGAGAGAAATATGAATAATAAAATAAATAATAAACAGTGGCTTGGCTTAGCCAATCTGAACCGCAAAGCAAACCAGTTCAACCACTGCAGAAAACAAATATCCACGTTGCCGAGTCTTAAATCTCCATCTGGTTTAAACATCAAGGAAGTCCATTATGCTCCTGTTTCCTGTGCCGACAACCCCAGAAGTTTGGGAAGGCAGGAAACACACTTGGTGGCCTTCAGGTCCCCCGCCTGCCTCGTTGTTGTTTTTTTTCTCACCCTTCTGGCCTCCTGGTCCAATGATAAAGACCGAAGTAGAGGAGAAACCATATGGTGGAGTCCATTAGAGTAATTAACATCGGAGTGATAAATGGTTGGGTCAAACGGTTGGCACCTGTCAAAGGGAAACCGTAGCTATTTTGGCAGAAGCAGCACGTCAAATCGGTCCAGGGACACAAAGCGATGGTCAAGGAAACGCCCGCATCTAAAACGGGCCCAATTCTGGGATAATTAAGAATTTGACTGGTCTGGAAGGCTGTAATAGATCATGGCCGTGCCAAGTGGAAGAAGAGCCAATCCAAGTGGAATACCTCCGCCTGAAGACGCATTGCTGCTATTTTCAACGCAACAGCCACTTTGATTTAAATTGTTAGGTTGAAACTCTCTCTCTCTCTCTCTCTCTCTCTCTCTCTCTCTCTCTCTCTCTCTCTCTCTCTCTCCTCCCTCTCTCTCCCCTCCCTCTTTCTCCTTTCTCGTCTCTCTCCTTCTCTCTCCCCTGAAAGGAAAGGAAAGGAAAGGAAAGGAAAGGA